GTTTCTGGCTCACAGGCCACTGCCCTGCAAAGCAGACGATGCCTTATTCATCATGGCGGCGAGCGAGTGGCCAGCGCTAGCACAACGGACACGGGCACGGGCACGGCCCTTAGCTACTGTCCTTGTTCAACTGTTCAACCTACGTCGAATGCTCGCGGCCTCTAGGGTAAGACCGCTATAGACGCACGGGCGCCATGTTCGTTTGAAGGTGGCCTTGTCCTTTCCCGTGGAGTAGCCCCGGGAGCGCAGGGCCGTCAAAAGCCTTCACAGGGCTGCAAGCGCCATTGGCAGGCCAAGGAGCCTCGGACGCCTGACCACATCGGACACACCCTGCACTGTCGTCTCAGAGGCATCATACGAGGCCGCCAGGCACGCAGCTCTCAAACTCTATCGTTCCTGCCATCGAAAAAATGCGTGGTTGCAGGGGTACGTTATGGAATGTGCCCCTTGAGCCCTCCAGCACGGCTGCATGCCTGTCAGCAAGCCACACCCTCCTGTAAGCGATGTAGGAGGTCATATCTGATGCCGAGTCTCATGTCAGTGTCGGACGTCCTGACGGCTGTCTGATGCCCACCATCAAAGCCGTGCCTCGTCCTTGACTGACGCCTCTTGGGTCGGAGCTACGACTGCCCTATCAGGATCAAATCTTACCGGACAGCATGAGTGCTGAGATTACGAAGTCACGCTTTCATCTCGAGCGATGTTACGAAGGCGCACGCCTGGTGTTCAATAGAACTGCGGCGAGGCCATCCGGTCTAGGGATTGCTCGAAACACTTGAGGCAGAGCAGATGACCCAATGCATGACATCCAGGGCATCATCGCGGCGTAGCATTGCAGCTTGGACAAGCTGTAGTCAGGACCCAGCAGTCTGGAGGCAGCCGGGAACGATTGGATGGGAATCAACCGACACAAAGGACGTGATTGCGCTCACAGGGCCGGAAAAGCCAAAAGCCAACCCAAAGCACTCTCTGCATTGGCTCTACACCGGCTCCCACACTAAAACATGCTTGGGTTCGGTGAACACGACCTGCCAATGATGTGGCAGGACCCAAGCCCATATTGCGAAAATGATGGCAACCGTTTGCAAGCTCGAAACTTGGCCATCGGGGTAGCTTCCTGCCACCTTGCTGCGATGGGTTGTTGGTGTTCGGCGAAGCATCGCAGCAGCAATTGCCTACCCGACGGTATGGCACACACAGCTTCCTCACTGCTCTCTCTCCTGAGTTTTCTTTTTTTAATTCATGGGCAGAGCCATCCCCACAGATGCAGGGACTTTCCCGGCCCAAGCTTTTCTGACCATCGCATCTCCTCCAATCAGCTATGAGGAACGTTCTGTCGGAAGTATGTGTGGGCCCTGGCTCTGCCCAGAAGACGTCAGCCACAGCTATTCCACATCAGGAGGCAATCCTCGAGGGACAGATCTTCACCCCGACTCGTCAGAAAAGGATTGTTCGCTGCATGCCGTCACAGGGTGTCACCATTGGTTTGGGTTTCACAAAACAACGATAGACAATTGACGAGAGAAACTGTCCCTCGGCCTTTGACCCAGATTCATCTGCTTGTCCGACCCGGCCAAGTTTTTGACTTGCAGCAGAGAGAGACAACAACGCCTCTTCAGACGGGGCTTCTGAACCTTTCTCACGCAAATTGTGATGGTCCACGGGAGAGGCTTGATGCTCATTCTTCGGAGGCATACTGCGACGAGTTGCATGGGCGTGTCGTTGGGATGGGAAGGTAATGTCAACAGCGGTTTTGTACCTGCTCAATTGGCAATATGTACGAAATTACCGAAGAAAACTAACCCCGGGTGTAGCCCGGATGATAAACGAAGCTTCTTTTTTCGGAACAAGCTTCTCGTACCCGGTGGTCGACGAGCTTCGCGGGGTGTTGTTTTGGAGCGCGTGGGTCTTTGTTTTAGCGCTTAATGCTTCAGAGCCACTCGAAGCGATGACAGACATTCACACAGGGCCCAGGGCGGACTGCGGAGCGGGAGAGGTTCATTCTCGTTGCCCCGAGGCATGTTTCAAGATAAGAAAGGGAAGTCTTACCCATGCATGGAAGGAGACAACAGGGCAAATGTGGTCTGCACCTGCCGGCACTCACGCGAAACTGACCGGTTGACCAAGGAGTGCGAGCGCATCCAGGCCTGCGAATGGACTTGCAAACGGAGAGACCGACAGAACAGCTTTGAATTGGCTTTGATTACAATACCAGTCACCACCATCTCAACACTCCTCGTGAGGCAATCATCCAATACAAGCACTGACAGCTCACAACGGCTCATCAGCCCGCCTTCTTGGCCAGAAGAATGCTTGTGAAGGTGGAAGCGGTGCCTAGCTGGACCATTTCCGCAACTAGACAAGCGAATGCAAACAAGATGCTGACTGTGCACGGAAAAGGCTTGGTGACTGCTCACTTCGTACTCGGCAAGTGTGGACGGATAGCCAGCAGGAGTTCCATGACACAACAGTGATGAGAGTACGACACTCGGTTCTGCACGGACATTAGAAATAGCGATGACGACCTGTCAGCATCGACATTAATGCCTATTACAGCAGCGGCAGCAGCAATGCAGTCACCCTGCCGATGAGCCTCTCAGGCGGGTGTGGTGATGTGATGCTGAGAGGGAAGAGGACATGACACCATACAGTAGCCGGAAGAAGGGTAGTGCGGTAAGGCTGTGCACTTATTTCGGGAATGTCACGCCTGTGCACTGCTGGGTGGTGGCCTAGTGCCGCCAGTAAACCCCAGTCACAATCGACCGACCGACCCCTTGGTGCTCGGGACAACAGACCTCCCGGGCGCACGCTGGTTGAAGGGTGGCCTTCCCAGTGCATCCGTTGTGGGCTGTACAGTTACCACACACACACACACACACACACACACACACACACACACACTCCAGCTACGCCGAGTGTCACGTTGTTGCCTACTATTGACGTTCATGATGATGCTTACCTGCGCGGCAGTAGGGAGGTATGCTTGATTCCTGACCGCCAGGCACGGCCACCGGCAGCCGTGTGCTGCATGGCCCCTCGGTGTGGACTGCATGCGCTACAATTTTGGCTGGTGCCCATCTTGCATATTCGCAGCACGGCGCAAGAGACATGCATCGTGATCGATCACGAAAACAAAAATAGCAGACATATGCCAGTGAGGATAGGGCCTTCGCAAACCTTCGACCTTGCAGTGGCTGCCTGTGGAAAACAAGGCCGCTCGCGGCACTCGAAGTGGGTGACGTTTCAGGGGCTTGTCCTTGTCGACCCAGGCCCGAAGCGATCTGGATCGTCGCCCACGACAGAGCTTGTGACCTCACCAGCCCAGGCCCTGATCCCCACCGACCGTCGGTGCCGAGCCCGACCAAGGCTCGGAAGAGATGGGAGCCAGATTGATAGTGCGCTCTTGGCCTGCTGTCGCTCAGATGACTGGCTGGCGCTATTGGACAGGGTCCGCGATAGCCCTGCCTTGGGACAAACCTACACGTGATGTGTGGAAGATGGGAGATCCATCTATATCAGTAACATGATATGGGGCCTCCCTTCCGCAATCGGGCACCGGCGTGACCTTGAACTGTGAGAATAAGCTTCGGGGAGGTGCCGGCGAGTGCGACACTGCAACACGTCTCCACGGCCCAGAGCCAGGGCGCTGGGAAGGAGACGGACGGGGATCACAGACTTCCGTGCACAGTGACGAGTCTGGCGCGGCGTGGCCCCAAAAAAAGGAGGTGTAGGGGGGACGGGGGAGACATCAGATTGTATACTACTGTTGCCGTCTTGTTGCGCAGCGATAATGCGATGATGAGACGGACTCCCAGTGCACGGCAAATGAGATCAGAGGACACACTCAATCTTACGAGCAGGCATGATCCTGATGTGTCTGTGCAGAGACCGGTAGATACAGCAATCAATCGACTGGTTGTTCTGTATACAGAGAAATAAGAAACGAGAGACATGCGGTGACAGGCCAGGTAAATTTGACTTGCGGTCACAGCAGTCAGAAACCAACCGACCCAGGCGGCCTTCGGAACCTTGGAACGAGCGAACGACCAACGTCCGGACTAGCACCGTACGGTAGTCCTTAGCCAAGCACAACGGCAGCAGCGATAGGTGGCCGAGCACAAGCAGTCCAGCAGAGACCATCACATCACGGGTTAATGCCACCACCAAACAGAAGGGTCTTGATGAGTTAGCAGTATGAGACGTATCCCCAGGCCCGGTCCCAAGTCCCGCCAGGCCTGCGTATCAGGAGCAAATAAGCATGCGCCGTGGATCGCAAGACGCTCTATCCATATGCATGTCTCAGTCAGAATATAACGGGATCTCCATGCCTGTCTTGGAGCAGAAATCTTGGAAATGTCTCGCTTGCCCACCCACGTCCCCGCAGCCGCTATCTCGTTTCCGGCGAGGTCGCTTGACGAAGGAGAGTGGGCAAAAAAAAGCGAATGCGTGTGAGAGTTCAGATCACCCGCAGCTTTGGTCTCCTCGTGTTTCCCAGGCCGTGGAGGGCCAACCCTGGAAGGGCTGCAGAGACAGCAGAAACTCGGCCACCAGGGCTAGAGAGACGTGACCATGACCAGACGGGACTAAGCAGCGCAGCCCAAGCCCAAAGCCCAAGCTACGTAAACTATGCCAGGACCGGCGGGCGGACAGGACGGGCGGGCGCGCGGGAGCGACGGCCAGAGGAAGGACTGGGGGAGGACTGGGGGAGGACTGGGGGAGGCTGTGACTTCAAAATAGCGGGTTCCCAAGGTCCCATCCTTGTCTGCGACAGATGACGCCGTCACTTTTCGGCGCTGCGGCCTGGACCGCCAGGCATTGCTGTGCTCTGGCTACATCTGCGTCTGTGTTTGTCAATGTGGTAGTGATGGGGAAAGGAGGACTCCAATCCCTGGAAGTGGAACAAATCGCATCTCTCTAGGTATTCTGTTGTATGTGGCCGACATACGCTCAGCGGGAGACCCTGGAGCCAAGCATCGTTGGGTCCATTTCAAGAATCACGCATGCCTGTGGATTCGACCGTCATGATCATGGTTAAACGGCCAGTAGCAGGAGGCATGCCTGCATTCAAGCTCATCAGTCAAGACCCGGCTAGGCATTTTGCCTACAACCAACCAACTGGTCACGGCCTTTCAGTCAGAAGCAAGCAACGCAAGCACATCCCACTAGAGGTCGTTGACGCCAGTCGCAAGTGTCTGGTCGCCAGGACAGCCATCGCCCAGGCCGTGTCTGTTCGTCAGGAGAAGGCTCAGGGGAAGGCATTTGCTAAGGAGTGCCAAGGAGAAGAAGAAAGCATAGGCGGGTGAGCAGCAAGGGCCCTAGAGGCCTTACCAGAGGCCCCAGTAAGCGAGGAGGGCTGCGTAGGTACTGCAGGTACGTATACACACACATACCTCGCGGCGGAAGTGTATACCTGCGAGATGGGCAGGGCGGTAATCAGTCCAAAATTTGCAGGGCGGGCGAACGAGAGAGATGGGCGCCCAGAGGGGGACAGCAGTACGTGACAATACACGGTACGCCCAAAATACACATGTCGCAAGTAGACTAGTAGGAAGACCCTTTTTGTCCCAGGAGTATGGGCGCGGTCCACATGGAACATGAGCGCAATTACCGCAGAAACGAACAGGACCAACATCACCACCAGCATCACATCTCATCTAATTCTCATCGCATCATCACACCCAACAAAACAGGACGGAATGGCGCAGTTGACCGCAGGTTACCGCAGGCTACTCGCAGGCTATTCGAATTGAGAAAGATGCCATGCATAGTAGACCATGCTATTCCACCCCGGTCCCCCTTTGGCAACATCAACAACAGACTCTGGGGCGCATTGCGCGTTCGTCTTGTCTGCCAAGCTGGGTGGTGTGCACACACACACGGACACACACTCTGGGAATGTAGCAATGTATCAAGTAGCAACAGCACAGCCCACGGTGCCTGTGTCTGCTTTGCCGTCCCAAAAAAAGGCCCTCTGAAGGATCGGTACCCGCATCGCATTGCAGCTGTTTACCACGAGGCTTTGAGATGGTGGAATCCTTCGACTATGCATCAGTGGGATCGCCATGGTACCAGAAAGAATGCTACCGCACTGACTCCGACCCGTGGGCGTTCTGTCCTGTCCCATCATTCCCCGGGCGCCCCAGGGCCCGTCCAGAAAGGTACTTTTGCCAAAGCGACTCTGGACGGCCTGGACGGTGTCGAGGTTACTGCCCAAGTGGGATAGGCCCCGTAGGCAGCAGTTAAACCGCACTCAGCAAGATGCGACGGCCTATTTTGGTAAGCAGCCTGCAGTTTATGTGCGTCCACAGCCCACAGGCCAGCCCAGGACCCACAGCCTTGGGCACCGCACTGCAACTCCCAGAGGGCCCCAGAGGCAGAGGGCCACAGACAGTGGGAGCGAGTGACGAGAGAGGGAGAGGGAGGGCCCGCGAGCGGAATTCGCTTTTTGGGCGTGGGTGGGCCAGGCAGAGGCCAGGCGTGGCCCAGGGCAGGGCACCCTTCGCGGGCAAAGGAACCCTGCTCAGTCCCGTCGATGGCTTCCACCCCTCCCCTCTGGTCCCACGCCAGCAATCGAGCGACCGGGCGACCTGCGCTGCTCTGGCTGCCCGGGGCCCCCCTGGCTGCCCTCCCACACCAAATGCTGACATGGGTGCAAGGCCGGGGCCAGGGGGCAGGGGGCAGGGGGCAGGGGGGCAGGGGGGCAGGGGGCAGGGAGGTGGGGGTACGTACCTGCCCTGCCCTGCCCTGCCGTGTCCAGTGCCCACTGCACAGCACGGTACGGGTACGGGTACGGGTACCTTGTATCTTTTTGCTTCGCCTCTGGCCCTACCACCAAGATCCAATATGGAGCCCATCGACCCAAGCCATCCGCCCGCCAGACACGTAAAACACCACGCCGTCTATATCAACCCCGAGGGCCCCCAACCCATCTTATCCCAGCTGACTCCCCTTTCGCCCTCATGGTCCCCAGACATTCCTGTGATATCCACGGCCTCGCTACGCTCCATCTCCACGGTTTCAACCTCGCCAACACGCGCTCCACCGCCGCCCAACACCGTCTCCCACATCGCACGCCCACCGCCTGCCTTGGCACATCCGGACAGACGCACTCTCGCCTTGCGCCTACTCCTCACCAGGCTGGGATATCTCGAGATCTACGACAACTCAGCACGTGTGAAGGGGACCAAGGGATCTCACAAAAAAGCTTGAAGAGCTAGGCCAAAAAACCCAGAACAGCCCGGCGCAAAAGACTCGGAGACCGCCACATCGGCACCGTCACCTATCTCACCAGGAGTCAACCTCGATCCGCGGGCACCAAAAAAAGACGACAAGCACGTATGAGCTTCTGACCTCGGCTGCTTCTTCATCCTCTGGGACTTCCAGGCTCTCATCAGCATCCCACCTCAGCACCTTCCTGTCAGGATCTGACCGTCTGGTATGAGCTAGACATCTGCATGTAAGGCTTACGCCTCGTCGCTGTGTGAGACAAGAGCCGTCTTGACTGACCCCATCGCCGTAGCCTGAGCTCCGTCGCCACTCTCGGATCTGACTTCTCTGACGGAGTCATATTGTGAGACCAGCCTAGTTGTATTCTGTCGCCACCACCATGGTATCTCTTGAGCATCACACTTTCGCCATGTTGCCCAGACACATGAGTGAGGAGCAGGAGCACCTGAGCTCCATCTACCCTGATCCTCCCCAAGGCGCCTTCTCTGCTGCCGGCGTGGACCTGGGCCTCACCTCCGACGTCTACTTCCCACGACTCGCCCAGGAATTCCCCTCAAACATGAACGGCTTTGACCACCACCTGCCATATGCCGCCGACGGCCCCACAGGCTGGTCGTATGGCGGTCGCATGTCACCGCCCATATTCCAGGAAGACAGAGAGATGGGCATCCCTTCAAACATGTCCACTGCTTCTGCCCCTTCAGCGCCTTCCTCAGCAGTCGGCTCACCACAGTCAAACCACGGCCAGCCAGCACCAGTACCCGAGTGGGCAGGCCCTCAAGGCGTGGCCCTGAGCCCCGGCATCGTCGGCTCTCACGAGTACTTCACCGGCTCCGAGTACAACAGCTACGTCCCACAAGGTATGGAGGATCTCACACCTTTCGCGTTCGCAGACAGTTCAAAACCACCCGGATATGTTGGTGAGTCACCAAAGACTTCTACATCCGTTGCTCCCGAGCATCTCCAGCAAGAACAGCGTAGTTCTGCTCCTGTCTCCCCTCCTGTGTCCTGCCAATCATCATGTACTGTACCCGCCGAGCCTTGGTCTGCTGTGGATGCTTGTTCTGTCGCCTCGCAGGCGCAGACGTCGAGTTCGCCGATTTCCCCCCAGTCGTCCAGAAAATCCAGTGTCTTCACTTCTCCTGATTCCGTAACTCCGTTTTCTTCTCCCACAGCGGCTGGCTGGACAAGTCCGACAACGCCTCAAGTGGTTTCTTCTTTCTTTTCTCAGTCTAGTGGTCATTTTATTGCTCCTCTCGGGTCTTCTTGTTGGTTTCCTTGATAATCTCTTCAGCTCTCCGAAGAGGCATTTTGCTGACTTTGTGATTTCTCCATCAGACCCAAGCTTGATCCACCACGAGATCAGCCGGCCGCTCATGCCGCCTTATGACGCTGGTTTCCAGCAGAACTCATCCGCATACCCCAACTCGCCCGCTCTCACTGCATCCTCACCACACCTAAGGACAGGCAGCCAAAGCCCATTCATGCCACCCAACGCCAGCTACCACTACTCTCCTTACCAAGCACCGATCGACCAAGGACGACGGCCCAGCCTGGTCTCGTATCAGTCCGGCCATTCTGGAGCGTACAGCGACAGTGACTCGAAGGAGAAGCAACGATGCCCGCATCCCGACTGCGGAAAGACCTTCAAGGACCTCAAAGCCCACATGTTGACTCACCAGACGGAGCGCCCCGAGAAGTGCCCCATCACGACGTGTGAGTACCACATTAAGGGCTTTGCGAGGAAGTATGACAAGAACCGTCATACCCTCACCCATTACAAAGGCACCATGGTCTGCGGTTTCTGCCCAGGCTCCGGCTCCGCAGCGGAGAAGTCCTTTAACAGGGCAGACGTGTTCAAGAGGCACCTTACAGCGGTGCACGGAGTGGAGCAGACACCACCCAACAGCCGCAAGAACAAGAATGGTGCCTCCACCTCAACATCCACGGGGAAGAAGCCAGGGCCCGGTTACGCGCCCGATGCCACTGGCAAGTGTTCGACATGTTCGCAGACGTTCAGCAACGCGCAGGACTTCTACGAGCACTTGGACGACTGTGTTCTGCGCATTGTTCAGCAAGAAGACCCTGCTGAGGCGGTCAACGCGAGGAGGCTCGCGGAGGTCGAGAACGACCGCGAGGTGCACGCCACGCTGGAGAAGAACAGCCTGCCGACCACGACGCAGACGATGATGACGGAGGACGACGATGACGAGGAGCTGATGGAGGACGAGGAGGGCCAGTTCCTCGACGAGCAGAACCTGATGGCGCTCGGCGTCAAGACCTCGGCGTCGCCCACCAAAAAGTCCAAGGGCAACCCGGCCAACGGCGTGCAGAAGTCCCGCGGCCTGACGCACTCGCGTGGCGGTGTCTCCATGTCCAAATCCAACGCCAGCAGCCGGGCGCGCAAGCACCGGAGGGAGTACCCGTCGTCGTGGGGTTTCGACAAGGGCCAGATGACGATGAAGAAGCGGGTAATGGCCGTCTTTGACGGACCCCGCCGACTGGCCAAGGACGACATGATGCTGTCCACGGAGCGCGAGGTGCGGGTGCCACTTGCGGACGGCAAGTCCTATGTCACCGACCTGGACGTCCAGACCATGAAGCGTGCCGAGGGCTTCCTCAACGCCACCGAGGAGGAGAAGGGCATCTGGATCTCAGATGACCCGACGGAGGACGACATCAAGGCCATGCTGGATGCTCAGATGCAATGAGCCGGCATCGTTGATGATGCTACCCTCTTTATATACCCCACACAGATTCGGGATGCGGGGCAGGCCCGACGCGCAGGAGAATCTTGATACCCACTCTCATCACTCCTCGGCACTCACGAATGCGCGGGATATGGTTTTTTTTTTTTTTTTTTTTTTTTTTCCTGACTTGGAAAGCGAGCAAGCAAAAGTGACTTTGTTTCATTCTTCTACATGTCTTCTGGGGACGGCGGCATGAGCGGGCGGCATACTTTCTCGGTGTGAAAAGATGCGGAGGGAAAAGGGTGTGTTGCACCATGTGGACCATTCCTCCCTACTTACTTACTTCCTACTACTACCACTATTCGCCTTATGGCTGCGACGATACCCGGGTTACATGGTTATATACTTTTGGGAGGAGGGCTTCCTGGTTTGGCCCTCTTTGTTTCTGGCTTTGGGCGGGAATGCGCGGAGTTAACGTTGGATTGTATTGGTGTGTGGGGACAACCACCATTTATAATCTGTGCTGCCTTTGGGAACATGATGATGGACCTGAGCGCGCGTGATGGGTGTAATACTCGTTGAATCAAAAAGCCCTTTACTACATGTCCAGTTGCTGTTCTTGTCCCGCCCCCGTAATGATTCTCGCTGGTCCCCATGTGAATGAGCTCCGTCCCCCACTGGGTATGCTTCTTGTCCGGGCCCGTGTCAGGCCAAACTGTCCGTAGCATCTCGAAGTTAATATGGATGAAACCTGTAGTAATCGCTGTACAACGTGGGCAATCACTCTAAGGGCTGCGATTTGTTTCGACCAGAAACCTCCACACGCACGGATACAGACAGAGAGAGGCACAGGAGATAAAAGCCCCAGACCGAGACCAAGTCCGAAAGACGGTTGCGCTTGCTGACTGTTGGCGCACGGGCCACTTGTGCCATCCCGGGCTTAGGTTGGTCAAGAGCAGGGAATTGGTAATTGAATGACGGCCGGCCTTCCGCTCAGCTCACTGCACAACTCCGAACACTTCAACGTGGCATCAAGCTGAACGACAATCCCAGAGCACGCCACCTCCCCGCCAGCTGCGTCGCCAACTACTTCGCATCCCGACTGCCACTATGGGCACTTGACCGACGCCACTGCCCTCGTTTGTTTTCCCTTACCAGACGACGCAACCGAATCCTCTCAAGCCCGGGGGACAGTCGTCAAGATGCGCTTGGCCATGTACGCCGGGGTATGTGCGCCCCAGCTCCAGCTCCCAGCTCCAGCCCAGCTTCCCCTCCTCCGAACACATTCCCCCTCCACCCAAGTTGCAACGCCTGCCGATCCGTCTGTGTGGGCCATCATCCATGGAAACCACCCAGTCGTGGCAGCTGTGTTGATGATCGCGAGACCGGCCCGGAGCTGACATGTGTGTTTTGTATAGGCCTCGGCGGCCCTCGCGGCCGCGGTTGTCACGTCGGCCTTCTACCAGCGCGCCAACTTCTACTCGGCCATGGTCTATCTGTCGCAGAGCAACCTCTGCTTGATGGTGAGTCCCGGCCCAACCCCCATCCGTCGCACCCCACACGTCGACGTCGGGGCACGCGACCATCGATGACGACCCAGCCGAGACTGACTCCCCCCCCTCCCCGACAGATCCTCGTCAACCTCGTCTTCCTTGTCTACGGCTCCTTCATGTACGGCCTCCAGCGCCTCTGCTTCGGGTCCCTCCGCCCCGTCGAGGTCGAGCAGCTCTACGAGAAGGCCTGGTTCGCCATCACCGAGACCTGCCTCGCCATGACCGTCTTCCGCGAAGAGGTCGGCGCCTTCTTCATCGTCATGTTCACCGCCCTTATCACGGGTAAGGTCTGGGGCTGGATCGGAGAGGGCCGCGTCGAGGTCTTTGAGCAGCAACCGCCCGCGAACCCCCGCCTCTTCCACGCCCGCCTCGTCGTGTCGCTGCTCTCGAGCATCATATACAACTCTTGGCTGCTGAGCTACTGCATCAACACCGTCGTCGCCCAGGCCAAGCCCACGATGATGGTCATGTTCTTGTTCGAATTCGCGGTCCTGGCGGTCGGTTCCCTGCACACCGGGTTGCGATATGTTATCTCGCTGGTCGAGGCGAGTGTCATCAAGAGGCAGACTGCCCAGAGGTTAGAGCAACGAAGGCGGGAGGTGAGAGAGCAGAGAGCAGAGATCCTGCGAAGAAGAGAGGCCGGGGAGACGACCGAAGATGCCGAGACACTGCCGGACGAGGACGATATCGATGAGATGGATATCGAAGTCCCAGGTTGGGATACGAAGGGCCAGTGGATCTTATTCCTGGACCTCTTCGCTGGTGAGTCCGAGTGCTGGTTATCAATCTTGGAACGCGGTCTAACGCAGTAACAGATCTGCTCAAGCTCTCGGTCTACACCGCATTCTTCTGCGTGTTGCTCGTCTTCTACGGCCTACCGATTCACATAATGAGAGACCTTTTCATGACTACAAGAAGCTTCGTCAAGCGACTGACAGCCCTGCTGAGATACAAGCAGGCACTGAGGGATATGAGTCGATACCCAGACGCCACGGCGGAGGACCTCGGGCGCGAAGATACTTGCATTATCTGCCGAGAGGAGATGCGACCTTGGGACCCGAACGCCGGGCAGGTGGAGAGAACAAGACCGAAGAAACTACCATGTGGCCACATCTTACACTTTGGTTGTCTCAAGAGCTGGCTGGAAAGACAACAAGTGTGCCCAACCTGTCGGAGCTCTGTCGTGGTCGACCAACCACCGAGAAACGGCCAATATCGCCCTAGAATGGCGTTGCATATACAACCAAACCTACCAGGCGGGCAGAATCAGCCCGCACCAGCGAACGGTCAGCCACCCGGCGTGCAGGATGCACAGCTTAATGGGCAGGCCGGACAAGACGGTCAACAACAACCCGCAGGCCCTAGAGCCGCCATGCGATACATCAACCTCGGCCCAATAAGGTTGGGTTTTGCCCAGGGTGGGCAGGAGGTGGCAGAGCTGGCGAATAGAATGGGCGTCGACTTGAATGGCCCCAATCCCCCTGCGGCGGCACAGGCGAATATTCCCGCGACAAATCCTGTGGATCTTTCGACGATGGAGGCTGTTCGTAATAGGTTGCTGGAAGTCGATCAAAGGATCCAGCAGGAAGTCCGTGATATACAGCAAGGCATACAGAATGTCCACATGGCCCAACACGAACTGCAGCTCATCAACATCATGCTTTCTGAGCTCGCACGCATCCGACAGCTTAACCCTGGCCAGCAACAACCCACAACCCAGCCTGGCCCGCCGATACCTACCCCTAATGGTGCTAATGCTCCGGCTGGTGGTGTACCTCCCCAGCAGCCAGGTGCCGCGCCGATACCAACGCCGGTCGCATATCCCGCTGGCCAGATTCCTCTCGCGACGATGCCCCAGGCCTCAAACCCCTTCATTCCTAGGATGAACTCGCCCACCGTAACACGTCACGGGGCCGTTCCACAGACATCAGCTATTCCCTCTGGCAGCGCAGACCTTCCCGAAGGTGTCGTTATCCCACCAGGATGGTCCCTCATGCCCCTTCAGCGCCTCGACGCGGGTGCGGTCCCGGCAAATGGGACTCAAATCCACGATGGTCTGACACCAAACCACCCGCCAGAAGGGGCCCAGCAAGCTGGAAACGGCCAGCCAAATGGGGCCATACCACCCCAGTCGTCGAGCAGCACTGGTGGAATGGCCTCGGGCATTAATGGAGGAGCCACATCCGAGGAGATCCACAGTACAGACGCTCATCAGGCTCCCCGCCAGTCGACAGCCGAACCACCCCAAGTGGCAGCCCCAACACCGGTGACGCCAGTCTGGGGTGGGTCGGCGCAGCTCTTTGGCGGCGGCGGTGGGAGTGGTGGGTTGCCATTCGGGCTAGAAGCGCCTGGCTCGAGCCGGTCTGCATCCCAGACACGCGAAGGGGAGAACAGCAGCAACCAGGAGACTGGTGATGAGGGCGCGAGCGCTTCCGGTGAGGCGAGTGCGTCAGCTGCTCCGCCAGCGGCCGAGGGGCACGAGGATTCCTCGGCGGCCACGAAGGGCAAAGCGCCTGCTGCTACCGTAGAGGATGCCGAGGACTGAGTTGTGGGCGGGTTTTGAAATGGGCCATTATTTTAGCTTTCTTGTAGCACTCATCGACAGCGAGACATACGGAGATACCAAATCATGGGAACCAGTCTTTCAACCGACGCAAAGAATTGCTCTACTGCTGGTGATTTATGGCGAGTACAGCAAGTGTCGTGGGTCAGCGTTTACACTCCATTGCCTGGCTCTAAGTGTGGATGATTAATTTGCTGCTGTAAGTCGCCAGCTTATTCCTTCCTGTGCAGAAGCAAAGGCTTCACTGTTCTACCGCTATCGGCGTTCCGACAACTTGGGAAGATGCCGCGAACTCCGTGCTTATTTTTGCCCTGACATCTGAACTTTCCGATTTGCACCAATGTGGCGCACTGCACAGGCAAGCGCGTCTTTCCGAAAGAATGGCGGCATTGGCGGAGTGCAGCCGGTCCTGTACACATCGGTGTGCGTACACAGGATGTACTGCGCTTAGGAAAGCTATTCGCTGCGGAGATGCGAGACGGGACACGCACTTGTTTCAACGGCGCGGAAGGCGATCTCGAAGCAAGATCAAGCGCCGGGCCGTCCCGCCTGGCTTGGGAACCGTCGGTTTCTTTCCACACATTAATTCCTCGGAAGTGGGCGCGGAGGCTGCCTGCGTACTGCATAATGCAAGCGTCGATCTCTAGACTGGACCGTGGTCACCGTCGCCGGTCGACCCCGAGAGCTCCGGCGTCTTCTTCCGCTCGGTGATCGACGCGGACCGGAGGGTTGCTGTTTGGGAAGGGAGGGACATGGGCTAGAGCGATACATACTATAATGGCTTTGCAAATTTCGCGTAGATTTCCCGACCCTGATAAAGGGCAAAGGGCCAGGGCACCTACCAGTGAGGGCGCCTGCGCGGGTATCGCCGCGTAGGGCAGCGCCAAGACAGTTGTCGGAGCCAGGAGTAGCTGGAGACGTGATCTTACAGATGCCCGTCGATTCTGAGGCGGAATCTACACTGTTCTCCGGACATGACATGTGTTTCTGTTACGTGGTATCGGTGGGAGGCCCCTCGAATCAGTCAAGCACCGATATTTGCCGGTTGTAGATTATTTGAAGCCCTGGCGGCCAATGTGTGTCTGCTGCGCAGTCACCTAGAGCGGGCCCTGCTGGTATGGGGACAGACTTCAGGCCCGTCCCTGATCCAGCAATTATTGGGTGGGTAACTGTGAAAAGTCAGCTTGGCTACAGCCGCGTACTCAAGAAAATGATGAGTGTGTGATGCCTGCGTCAAGATCTGATATGCCTTCCATCTGTCAAATTCATCCAGTAGGTCTCGGATAGGTGAGGCGTCCCAGGTTGTGTAAGAATAAGCCGTTGAGAGGTCCCTCCCGCGATCGTCGACCACTACTATCCCGCCATCTCGACGTCGTCACCGCCCGCTTTCCTCTTGGTCTCAGCCCGGTGCTTCATCTTCCCCGTCGCGTCGTCCACCCACTTCTTGTACGCGTCCTCGCCGCCCTCCTTCAGCTTCGAGGCGACCACGCCCCTTCAGGACCTCCCCGGCGAACCCGACAAAGTTGTGCCGCCTGAGCGCGTTCTCAAAGCGCCAGTCCCTCCGCTTCCTCTGCTCCCGCTCCAGCAGCTCGTGGTCCCCGATCTCCCTCGCCCGGATGCGTAGGTCGCGAACCATGGCTAGCAGATTAAACCTGATCTCGGTCGCGTCGTACCGGCTCACCCTCCGCTGCAGCACCTCCATCACCTTGGCCGGGAACTCCTCCTGCGTGCAGGTGCCGTGGCTGATGGGCGCGGGCTGCAGGCCGTCCATCTCGTACAGGGTGCCGCCGACGGGGGTGTAGGCGACGAAGTGGTAGACGTCCTCGGCCTCGCCGCTCGTCCGCTGCGTCTCGTCGGCGAAGGGGCTGCTCTTGGCGAACGAGTTGTGCACGTCGCGGATCAGCTCGCTGTTGGACAGGGCCTCCCCGCGGAACTCGGGCGGCAGCGCCATGGTGAAGTCGCGGAAGTCGCGCAGCTTCTCCCCGATGTCAATGTGGCCCGCCTCCCCCTCGGGCGACCGCTCGTCCTGCTTGTTCATGAGCACCGACAGGAGCGCCTGGGTGCCGCACGCGTTCTGGATGGTCTGGGCGGCGAAGAAGAGGCGCTCTGCGGCGTCGTGGTCGAAGGTGCCCTCGTGGGGCTTCTCGGCCGAGGTGTAGGGTGTGTCGGTGGGGTACTTGAAGAGGAAGATGACGCCGTAGACGGGGTGCAGCTGCGCGAGAGAATCGGGGTCCATCGTTATGAGCTCCTCAAACTGCACATTTTTCACACCGAGGTTGTCCAGCAGGTAGGTGAAGACGCCCTTGTAAGTGTCAGCGCACGGCTCATCCAGATGAGCGCATAGAGGAGAGCTCAGGGCGACTGTTGCGGCTCGTTAGTGGCGGGCGTAGAGGGCGAGAACGTACCGCATCGGACTCAACTAGGACCAATTAGCATTCTGGAGCTTCGCCGACCATAGATGCCTCTTTGAAGGAGGCGAAAAACTCACTTGTGTTCCAACCGCCACTCATCTTGACGGTCTGGGAGACAGTCCGCGATGAGGAGAATTAATTACAGTTCCTGGACGAGACGCAGGTTGGAGAGGTCGTGATGGATTGGGTAGAGCACAGAGAAAGAAGACGGACGACCAGCCGCAAGCGTATCTCATTTAATACTGGCCTGGTGAGGTTGAACGCTTGTGGTTATTGGTTGAGCTCGCGGTTGAGGATAATGAGAAGAGCTTCTCATGGCGTTTGGTGGGGAGCTCCCGATGACGTTGAAAGACCCCTGGTATCGGGGATGGGCCACCGAAGCTGTCTTATCGATAAGGCTTAGAAATCAGCTTGCCCGGCAAGTGTGCACCACTGTCTAGAAGTAGCTTTCCCAACCTGCAATTTGAAATGCCATTTCCAAACCGGACCAGTCATTGTAAGAATCTATGAGAGTGGTATATTGCAAGGCCTATGACCAGCTCACAGGTAGATATTGCACTGCTTCATGCATACCCCACGCGAGCTGACACTCTCCAGCAACATTTAAGAATGTCATTTCCCGTCAGAAAATTTGAAACTGCTGTCCATTGATAGCCCGGTTATCATTGCCTTCTAAGATTATGACATATTCACTCTCCACAGTTCCGAGGACAGCACTTTCCAATCGAATGCACCTCCGGCAAGGTAATGGACTGCACTGGATATTCAGCTACTATTGATGCGGAGCGTATAGCACAATACAGCCGTTACTTAACGCGGTGGACCTTCAATTTCAGGATGTCCCAGCCGAGTTTCTGTCTGTCTCCAAGGGTGACGCTGTCACAGCACTTGATTCTATTTAAGAAAGAGTGTGCGCGACAACTAGTCAAGCCCTCACAGCTGGAACATCTACACTGACAGAAGTCGTAGGGAGAATTTCGCAATCACCGTAGCACTATATGGTCTTCATTTCCATAGGCCGAGGTCTGAAATCGACCAGTTACACCATTAAACGCGTGGAGTCGACCGTCGCATGCTTTTCTGGCTCTCTGGCTCAGGTGTACGGTGTTCAGGGGTTGCGTGTTGTTGACTTGAGCATGATGCCCCTCGTCACGACGGCTAATCTACAGGCTACCGTCTATGGGGTGTCGGGGAGGGCAGCCGAGCTGATCAAGAAAGATCGGGAGTAGTTTTGATGGGAAGCTGGCGTGCCCATTCCTTGGGTTTGACGACGGTTGGCTTCAATGACAATCGACAAATGCAGGGCTCCTTGGCCATGTGTTACATACTGTGTAGGCTTTGGGCATGAATGTGGCCGGGAAAATACGTGATGGCTCATCTTCAATCGTTTCACGACAATGGTGCTCTTAACTTTTCAAAATTCTACTGATCAATATTACCCTTATATGTACGTACCCTATGTATCAAAGTAAGGTTTGAATTGATCAGTCTCAAGTATGCAACGGGGTCCGATCATGTCTTGTTTCTGTGCAAGTTCAATGTTCCACATCACTCTGTGGTGACTTTTCTTATCGTGAATAAGAGACACTCGACGGATCAGCGGCCAACTGTTCAAATGAAAACCCAAACCATCTAGTCTAGATAACATTTTCTTTTACATCCTCCTGATCAGTGTAATTCGTAGCGAAACGTGTATCATGAAGTATCTTCACGTCGAGCACGAACGTTCCCCTTCGTAACAAAGAGCAGCCCCAGGCTCCTCGCGCAAAAGACCGTTCCCCAGGACGTCTGTCGCACATGACCAAACAAAAAGTGACGAGGGCCGGACAATATGTCTACTTGTGGGGCGCAACATTCACCTGCTGCGGTACCACAAGGTCCATCTCATGTGCCTCCCCCGCGCTCCCATCCCTGCGGTGGTGGCCCTCAGAGGGCATCGCCGACGCTCTGTGAGTGGATGCGGCAAACGAAGTGCCGACGTGCGAGGTGCGCGTGCTGTCGAGGTCGACCTCGGACATGGCGAACTCGTCGTGGTGCTGCTTGGCGCCGTCGTCCCCGGACCGCTGCTCCCGCCGCCTCCGCTCGTCCTCCCAGAACCTGCCCTTGCTGAAGACGCGCACGATCCACGGCTTCTCGCCGGCGGGCTTCCAAGTCCAGTACTCTTTATACTGGTAGTCTTTCGGCTCGAGCCCGCCGCGGCTGAGGGTCATTACCGCCCAGATCATGCCGTTGAGGGCGGTGTATACGAAGAGGCCGCTGTGATTGTCAGTCAGCATGGACCCGTGGAACTTCATGTAATAAAAGGCAGGGTAGAGTTTACGCAATGAGTCCGTATGCGACGCTGTAACTAAAAGGGATGAAGGCGATCGTCACGAAGGATGGGATAGCGTCGCCGACATAGCGCCAGTTGACCGCGGTCACCTGGCGAATCATCAGACAGCCAACCTGAGGTGCAAAAGTCTTGTCAGCGACGCTTCGACTGGATAGGGGGACTCGGTATTACTCACAAGAATCAGGGTGCATCCCGTGGCCCAGGGGGGTATCGAAGCAAAAATAGGGGCGAAGAACACCGAGACTAGAAAGCACAGCCCTGTCACGATGGCCGTGAGCCCCGTCCTCCCGCCTTCCGCTATGCCTGCTCCGCTCTCGATGAAAGCCGTGACGGGCGAGCAGCCCAGCAGCGACCCGACGGAGATGCACGCAGCGTCGGTGCAGTACGCCACCGTCGACCGGGGGAAGTCCCCGTCGCCCTTGCGCGTCTTGTTGCAGAAGCGCGCCATCGAGTACAGCGTCGCGGTGCAGTCGATGACGTCGACGTACAGGAAGGTGAACAGGGCGAGGGCGAAGCTGGCGCCGTAGTTGCCCGACAGGTCCCACTGCTGCGCGTTGAGGGTGTGGGTGATGGGGTGGAAGCTGACCACCTTCTTGAAGAAGTCGAAGCGCTCGTCGCCCTCGTCCGTGTTGGGGAAGTAGGTGAAGGGGGTGCTGCGGGGCCAGGACAGGATCGAGACGAGGGCCACGCCGATGATGATGGCCGCCTTGACCCGGAAGGCCATCAGGAAGGCCGTCAGCAGCCCGCCGCACATGATCCCGAGCCACATCTTGGAGCTGGTCATGAGGTGGCTCATGCAGGCGCCGGTCTTGAGGTCGAGATACGCAGCGTCGCAGCCAGCAATGGCCAGTGGCGTCTTGGGGTTCCCGGTGATGATGCCGATGCCCTCGGCGTACGACATCCCGACCATGGTGAGGAACAGTCCGATTCCTACGCCGCTGGCGGTCTTGATGGTTCCGGGGATGATCTTCACAAGCCAGTGACGCATGCCAGTCAGGGCGAGTATGATAAAGATGAAGCCCTCCACGAAGACTGCCGTCAAAGCTAGCGAGTATGGTACCGGACCCCTACCGCGAATACCGACGACCTGGTAGGCGAAGTAGGCGTTAAGCCCCATGCCTGGACTACAGGCACAATTAGCACACTGGTTCTTGGGACAAAGAACAAAAGCCAGATATAGTAACGACTCACGCCAATGCCACCGGAAGATTGGTGAAGAAACCGAAGACAATGCTGGCGAGCCCCGACAACGCTGCGGTCGCTGTTATAAGATCTCGCTTGACCACTGCAGATATTTAATGTCAGGTACTCAGGTATTCGTCTTCGCCCTTCTCGTACAGGACCGTTCCTTACTGTTCTGGCAAGATAAATACTCTGGCTCGTTTGCACAGGTATCTTGGGGGCCAAATGGTAGGTCACACTTGCAGGTGCCGCCGGTTTCTGACAGTATGTCTGCCTGCAGCGGATGTTAAAACTTCTATTCGACTTTTCGGGTTCCTAAATGGCGATTGAAGACACTCACGTTGACGGCGATTATGTATGCCATCGTGGCAAAGGTTGTGAGGCCGGCGCGGATCTCTGTATAGAAGCTGGCATCTTGGATCTCTTGAGGCTGTATTGTACGTGAAATTATCAGCCCAATACGTTCACATCCTCGGATCATCGAAAAGGGGAGACAATATCATACATGGCCACACCCACCGAGTCGAAAGACCCGGCCGAACGTCGATGTGTTGACTGAAGATTCGAACCTCCTCAGCCGGTCCGTCATCCACTCAAAGCCCCTCGCCATTCGACTTTGGCTTTGAACATAGTCTATTTGGTCCTCCATTGAGTCTTGAAAGATCGAAAACCCCTTTGGCTAGAAGGACACCCGGATCTTGTCAGACTTAGTCGTCGGCGTTTAGTGAACGAGTGGCAGGCAGGACAACCAGCAACAAGGAGGATGAGGAAGAGAATGAGAACAAGAGAAACGTGGGATGGAATCCCGTGGTATAGTGGGATCAGAGCAGAGACACTTTTGAGTCAGGGTGTGTCACGGCACCCGCCTCCATGTGTACACTGGAAAACATGGGGAAAGGGGAGGCCCGGAAACAAGAAGTCGCTGCATCAGACTCGGAAGCACATATTAGTGCGAACCCCGGGCCATTGATCTTAAATCCGCTATACGGACGTGGACGTTCTCGCCCATACAGAGTGACTCAAACACATCTTGGGCCCCTTGGTTGGCCAGTTTCTGTCACGCATGTACTTGAGTAGCGACATATTGGGAGAACCCGAACCGTCTCGCGCCTCCTCCTGCCGGTGAGCGTGAGCCTTGTTGGACATCCTCGCTCAGCGTACAGAGAGGTGACCGGTTGTGGCCATGGGCGACAAGTTCGACCTCTCCCACACATACAATTTTTGCCACTAATCAAGAATTCTGCTCGAAGCCCGTGGTGTATGAAGGAGCACACATCAGCTCCACGACCTGCTGCTCCGTACTGAAACCTGCTTGGTCAATACGACCGCACTTTGTTTGCCTGGCGCATTTCACCAGGAGATTATCCAGATGTCAGAGCCACTGAGGTGTTCGGTCGGGGTTCTTCGAATTCGCTGAGCCCGTACAGCCCTCGGTGCTTTCTTCGGCCCACCTGCTGGCCATGCAGTCGAAGTCATGTCTTGCTCTGCACACCGGTGTCACCTACGGACGAGCTCGAGTTAAGCTGTCATTTGCCAGCCTCAATAATGAGGGAAAAGCCCAACAACCCACTGATTCAGCGGCATAGACCCGGGAATGCCAGTCATTGGCCAATCCGACTCGAAGACATGCAGCTGTGTCGACTCCGATCGAGCTTTCTCTTTCCGGCATCAAGTCCCGTCGCACACCTCCGTGTGAGCGACGTGCTTAATCGGCAATGCGCAGCTGGATATCGGGCACAGCAAGATTAAACTCGCTTAGCATGCGCTCCACGACATGTGGAGATGCACCACTGCCGGATCTTTTCAAAAGATTGCATGCACAGGACGCGCATGCGACGTCGGACCGCTTTCGCGGAGGATGGAAGAGGAAACTAATACCAGCCATGGAGCAAAGGCATCAAACTTACCGACGGGTTCATTTGGTTCGCAAAGGCACCACAACCCCATTCACACAATGTGTCTCCAGGTTCCGGTTTCCGTGTGAGCCCGACAGCTTCGAGGCTTTGGCAATAGAGAGACGAGGGATCGCAGGCCTAATGCGGCCGCCCACTCTGTCCCTCCCGAGGAGGCCGCCATGGCCCGCGCCATTTGCAACCTAGACATGGGAAGGCTTTACATTGAGGTGGCTAGCTACTTACCCAGACGGGAGAGATGGCGGCCATGGCCTCGCGGGTGGCTGCAGGATGAGGGAGCGCGGGCGTCCATAAGACGTGTAAGGATTACAGGGAGGGCGAGAGAAGAAGGTGATTGCATCTCAGGGCCCGCCGGGACGGAAGTAGCACCCTCGATGTACTGGGGCTTCCCATATCACCGGTGTCGATTGCGTCGGACACCCAAAAACTCGAGAGCGAGTGATGGCATTGCGTACATACTCACAGCCCCGTTTTTGTCTTCAATCCGTAACACTCGTCCCCCAGCTGCCCGAGACTCCACAAGACATGTCATCGCTGGAGCAAAGGAATTGTCTGGACGGCTTACCCGAACGGGCCACTGACGGACAGAGGACAGAGAAACCTACAGGTCGGTGTCTTGTATCCTTGTCTCACCCAAGGAAATGTGTCGACGGTAGGGTTGTGGGGTATAGAAGCGATTTAGTCTTGACTTTGGAAATCCAGGAGTAAGAGCTAGCATGTACCAGCCCTGAGGTCTAGCCTGGCCATTGAAAAGACCATGTGGCGAGCACAATGTAGTTCATTCGATGGGAAAGTAAGGAGGAATGTGAGCGCTGAACGTTACGATAGCATTCCAGTTCATCTCCATAGTTAGGCCAGGCGAATTCCACTAAGCACCAAAGTACTTTCTAACAAGCCTGCCTGGGATGAATGAATTCCGGCATCAGGCTTGACAACGCATCTTGCGGCTGCGCCACGTCATGCGATGCCGAAATGCGATGGCAGTCGACGGCAGTCAATCTATTGGCAGGTGAGGCATCGGTCCACGAGACATGTCCCTGGGTGTCTTGGGGCGTCACAGCAGGTAGCTCCGGACCGAAGTCTTACTGTAGGTAGTCTGGCCTTCTTTGTCCAAGTCGTAGTCTACTCCTAACCCCTGAATGATTGTAGCTGAACGAGGCAGACGGCCCAAGATGGCTTCGGGAACCAGCATGTCATCTGAGCCTCGAGCGACGCCCACTGAGCATGGGAGTTTGACGCCCGAGAGAAGTCTCAGCCTCCTTACTCCCTCTAATTCCTGGGTCTGGAAAAGATAAGATCCTTTCTATTCATCGACAGCTCCAAGCGTGTAGATAGCATCACAGTGCCTCTTTAAGTTGCAGCATTTCTGATCAATTTCCCTGCAGAGACGCATATTCATGCCGATCAGCAGAATTGATCTTGATCACTCGCTTAGCATCAGAGCTCCCTGGTTACCATCCGGCCAGGCGGTACCTAGGTACGTCTGAGCTTTGTATACATGTATTTCCATGGGCCAAACTGTGTCCGTCCTCATCCGCCTGCCGGGGATGCCGGCTGCAGTCCCGTGCACTCGATGAATTTTGGTGCGAGATGATTCGAGTTGTTGAAGTCGTTCCTCGACCGGTGACTTGAGAACCAATGGCTGGATATGCCGCGTAGTGACTTCCTTCCGACAAGAAAGAAAGCCCACCGGTTTCTTCCTCTCCATCCCATATGCGTTCGTACGAATCGGACTTCATTGTTGTCCTAACTTCTGAACGGCCTCTGGAGCCATCAACTTGTACCGCTGTGCGATGGTGCGCTATTGTGGCTTCATTAGGTTGTGGCCACTTCCTTCCATTGCCTGCCATCTGTTCTCTGTGGTCCCAATTGAGATACGGTTCTGATAAAATCTCTTCAAAATTGGTCATGCCTCCACCTCAGCTGCCAATCACCTCCACCAGTACATGCTACTCCAGGAAAAGGGGCACTGTTGCCACAAGACTGTGGAATTCGTGTTCACAGAGTGAGGAGGTGCTCTCATGCTCTCACCGACATGACCCAAGGCATGCTCTGGGTCTTGGAGTGGATGTTTGCCATTCTGCTTGAGCTACCCATTCCAAGTCATCCACAAAGACGCAAGCGAGGGCTGCGTAACTGCTCCTTCTGTGCTGATGCTGCGGGGTGCTCTGCATTACCTGACATCAATTCCCTCCAGGCGATCGAGTCCCTGTGGCGACGGCACCACCTCCCTCCCCTACTTCTCTCTTCCTGGTCATACCCAGCCATCCCATGAACCCTTTCAGCCCCAGAGCCTTGGCCTTTTATATTTCACCCCCTAATTGTTTTCATCTGAAGGTTGTGGTAGATCCAGGTTGCCCCGCAGGCTGTTTGTGCCTCCCTGTCAACTACTACCTGGCCGTCCACTACTGGGCTTCAGGCCATACACCAGAATCCTGACCAAGGGGCGCGTATTCACTCAACGTTCCTTTCGTCTTTTCCTCCTTTATCCCCTCGGGCGAAATTCTCCTATGTTAAGTTCTATTGTACTTCTGGCCAACCCTGTTTGCACTCAGCAACAGAGGCTGTCCTACATAAGAGCCTGGATAACTGTCATCGCCTCCCAAAGGAAGGTTCCTCGCCTCTCTTTCCCACAGTGCCAGTTGGCAGCCTCACTCTGGAATCAATCATATCCACTGTAAGGACCTTGTGGCTATCGATAGCATGAGGTATGCCTAGCCATCATGCCAGAGCGTGAGTCACCTCACAACACAAACACACAAACTCCTGCCAAGGAATCAACTGCTGATAGCCCACAGCCTCCTGAATATCATCTAGACTTATAGCGCATCTTGGACTGGCCGTGGTGGTCACTTCTTTTTCCATCATCTCCGTGCCAGCATTGGCTAAACTATGCAGAGCCCAACGTTCGTTTCATACAACATGCCCCGTGACTAGAGGTCATCGGCTGGCAAGATGTTTGATGTTGATTGGAGTGACCCGAATAGGGAGTCGGTTGGTGACAGGAGGGCAAGAAAGCAGAAGGAGAGAGAATTCAGTGACAAGGCCAGCAGCAATAAAGACAATGCAGACAAGGATAGCAAGAGGGACGGGCAGAGCAGCCAGGCATCAGGCTCAGGCTCAGTCCGCAGCTCCATATCCTCGGTGGACAAGCAGTTTGGCTTCTTTGGCGGCAAGAATAGGAAGAAGGGCCGCGCCCTGGGGAACAGCAAGTCAGCAGCCAGCTCCACCACCGGGGCCCCAACCATCCACGAGCAGGAGCCCACAGAAGACATCGACAACAACATCGTCGAGTCACCAAAAGAGGCGTCTTCTCACGTGCCACAGGATTCTGAAGTGGTTGATACAGAAGACCAGCATCCCAGTGTTTTTGTAAAGCCTCACAGCAGTAAGTCTCTCCCAAATCAGCACCATTCGCAGCTCCCGGCCCACAAAGCTAGACCTGTGTTTCCCAATTGTGTGTGCATCCTACACGCCCCTCCAGAACCACCAATCACCACATCTTGCTCTGGGAGGACGTGGTTGAAAGCACTAACAACGCTGTAGGCTTTCCCGAGGCTGTATTCAACACGTGGAACGAGAATCTCCCAGGCGGCTCCCTCTTGGGCTACGACATGGCGTCCCCCAAGCCGGGATTGAAGTCCACTCTGACCCAGCATCTTGGGGACGGAATCTCTTTCATCACGAAGACCACTGAGGTCAGGTCGCAGCCTCGAGACAAGAACGACCCTGACTACCTTGTCTCCAAGGTGACGCTGTCAGCAGGTCCTTCTGAAAACGAGTCCAAGGATCTGTCTGCAAAACCTACGTGAGTGACCCCAAATCCCCAGTTTGTATGGGACCAAGCGGTGTTGACAGCAATTCTTCAGCTCATGGCAGCCCCCTCCACAGGTCACAGGCGTGACTCACAGCCTGGCAACTGTTCCGGAGTCACCCTCTGCTTCAAACCTCGAAGATGTGCATCATCTGGTGCCAATGATCACTGATCTCTCCCTTACTCCTGCAACCAACAAGGCTCCTACCACGGGGGCCGAGCCCAAGCATGGGTTGAAGCGCAAGCCGAAGGCCCCTTTGAAGGCGCCGGCGATTGTCCCTGCCAATCAGCAGTATGTTGGGAACCCTGACCTGTGGAAAGCCCCAGAGGTATGGGAGTACAGCGCGAGTGAGCCCGAAGTCTCACCCGTCGACGAGGCGGCTGTGCCCATTGGCTCGGATGAGATCAACCAACTCGCCCTCGACCTGGCGAGTATGCAGCGCGAGGCCAATCGAATGCTTCAAGCGAGCCCTCGGACCATCTTGCTGCGCCTCAAGGCGAAATGGGGAGACCAGGACATTCACGTAGCTATGGAGGCGGGCACGGAGAGCACGCAGGAAGACGTTGATATCGCCGTCGACCGGGCGCTGATGTACAAGGAGCTCGAGATGGACAGGAAGCGGTGGATGCTATCTGCGTTGCACCACATGGAGACCGACACGAAACCAAACACCCCCATGTCCAAGCCCAAGGTGAAGCCCAAGGTGCAAAAGATCCTCTCCCTCTTCGACAGCCAAGGTATGTTGGGCCAGCAGTCTTGTCCGTCACAAACTACGCTGACTTCCCTCATCAAGCCGTCACCTCATACCTCGCGATTTCCAACCCGAGCGTCCCCATCTACCACCTCTCCCCAGACCCTCTCTCACACAGGCGGTACCCCAACATCCACCCCATGACCTGCCCGGCCATCTCGGCCTCGGCAGTGGGCGTGGCAACAGAGGCATTCTCCGCCGTGAACTGCCTCCCCATCGCGTCGATCCTGCCGTCGTCGGACCTGCCGAGGCTGCTCCAGAACATCTTCCGCGTCCTCGCCCCGGGCGGCTTCCTGAACATGGTCATCGTCGACCCCCTGCCCACCCCGTCCTCGGCGGGCCCCGCCCTGAGGCAGTGGCTGGACGAGAACCTCATCTTCAACCTCGAGCAGCAGTTCAGGTGCACGAATCCTAGCAGGAACTTCCCCGTCTGGCTGCTGGAGGCTGGGATGCGCGCCAAGGGCAGCGTCATCACCACCACCCGCTTCCAGGCTGTCATCCCTCAGGGCCAGGCGGGCGACGGCAGCGGCAGCGGCGGCGGCAGCAGCAGCGGCAGCGCCTCCGAGATGGCCACGATGAGGGAGCTGCGCACAACAGTCGGCCGCATGCTGTGGCGGGAGATCTGGGGGCCCTTTGTCGGCGCCGACAGCTGGTGGTGGGAGGTGCCCAAGATCGTCGACGAGTGCTTGAGCCGGGACACGTGCTGGGAGTACAGCGTCATCGCCGCGTGCAAGGAGAGCGAGGCCTGAGCATCGTCCAAGGGGCCACTATTGACCGTCCCTACCTTTGTGCTTCCGCAGCTCGTTTCCCAACCATGCATTGGCGATCATGCTAGGGATACGACATGTTTTGCGGGCGTTTATGGATGGAATCATGTACGTTTTGGAGGAAATACCCCGGTCCGGTCCAATAGGCAGCTGGTTCTAATTGGGACAGGAAGAGATTCATTCGAGTGTCACCGATTGCATGATGGCAATCACGCCACCGAGCAAGCATCTACACCGACTACGGGAGGTGTTAGACCTGACCATGAATGCTTGCAATGAGAGTCGGGTGGAAGGAGGGTGCTTAGAGTGAGGCATGACCAACGCTAGCTAGAGAGGACAATTCTCGGACACATGGGATAATACCACGCGGCACAGTGAAGCTGCTTCGTCATCAACGATTGAGGATAGTGACCACCGGAAACAGTCTTCTGTGTGATGTCCAGTCTCATAGCTGCGGTGACGTTGCCCTTTCGGCCTCCCCCGGGAACCCACCCTAGGCCATCATGGTGTGCAGGGTCTAGAGGTCGTAAACTTGCACGACCAAAAACGCCGAGCAAAAACCGCCGAGTACTGGGTGTACGGGGTGGGCAAACACGCATCCGGGCCGCGGCACGGAACCAGAAGATCACACATTTCGCAGAACTCGGTAGCCGCACGATCTGGGATGTGTCTGAGGGCATGCTTGGGTGGTTGGTCACGTGCGCCTCCGACACCCAAGGAGGTCTGCTGTATCTCATGGGAGGACAAATAATGGGGGGAGTCTGCACTTAATAATAATGATTGTCAGGGCCTGTTCCTCTGATCGCAGATCACCACTGAACTGAAGCCCAGGGTTCAAGAGCCGCCATCGTCGAGCCACCACGGTGCCGTGTGAACTCAACCAATCCTCGGATTGACACGGGAAGACAGACTATTCATCCGCAGGAAGAAAGCAGCCCACAAAACGTCAGTCATGTGCCAAGTAGCGTGTTCTAGACTCCAGCCCCAAAGCTAGAGAAAGTGCGCCCAATTTGTCGGTCTCCTATTCCCACCCTTGCCGAGTCTAATCCGGAGACCCTGGCCCTGGGCTAGCCGGCTGCAAATCATGTCGGACGGCCATAAGGTTTGGACCAGCGAAATGGCTTGGAGAAAGAAAAAAAAGTCTCATTGAGGGGAGATTCGGATGGCAAGTCTCCCGCGAATCTTGGTCGTCACTGATCCACCCCCGGACAGCGAGCTCCCAATCGAGGAGTGGTGGAATGGCGGAGCAAGCAGCCTGCAGGCCCGCACGTTGTCGAAACAAGACTCGGTGCCCAGAAATTTCTCCAGCAAGACCCATGGGGCTGGGTGGGCTGGCGGCGGAAAATGCCCCGATGTCACCCACTGATCGGCCAGGGGTGGAGCCCTACCCCGGACTTCTGACAGCTCCAAACGCCGGGGGGGGGGGCAACCCATGCCGGTCTGCCATGCGAGTCGAGGGCTGGGAGGGTGTGTGGTATCAGAGTCTGTTCTAACTCAGGGGTCTTGTCCCAATCGGGAAACATAACGCATGTGGTGTGCTGCTCCGAACGCAGTGCACGCTGTCGTCTGGATGCTTGCCGTTCCCACTCCTCGCCAGCAATGCTATGGTATACACAGCAGTAGCCTATGAACGCGGGCAATGGAGTGGCAACCTGCTTCACAACCTGCACCTCTGCTGTAGGTCGTCCCAGCTACTGCACTGTTAGGGTCTGCCGAAGGTGGTGATGGGACTATCTTTCCCCTGCTGGGGATCGGTCCCAAGTGATCTATCCCATCTCATTACGTCTGTTGATGCCCTCGATGTGATCAACCGACTGGGTTGCCTGCATGCCTAGCGACTATGGCCAGTGGCGACCGATCAGTTAGTCACTGTCCCCACCGCAGTGGGAACCAGAAAAGAAGACGGGGAGGACGGCAGCGGGAAGGGGGACCAAGAAACCACAAGCATTTCTTCCCGGGTCCCACCGTCTGATGGAGGGAGCCCACCGCCTGGTCGGGATCGAGATATACCACCAACCCCAGAAACAACCACATGTACCGCATACCAAACCCCCGGGATGGACAGTCCGGCAATTAAGTGAGGCCAGCAAATCCCACCATGTCGAGGCTTGGCAGAAGACCCCGGGCGGGTCCCGACTGTGAGGATCTCGACGGCCTCGACTTAGTAGTTAGTCGACCGGCCAGGGCGGTGCATGCCTCCCGTGCCTCAACCCTTTTTCCGACCACGTTACGGAAAAGGGCCGCCACGACACATGATAGGCCGTCTTGGTTAAGATTGCGGCACACTCCTGTGACGCGCTGGTGCAAAAGTCTAACCGGGAACCCTTGGTGCCCTACGGACAGGAACCGGAAATAGCCCAGTTTTCTTAGCCCCGGCGGTGCCTGGGAAAAGCTTCACCTAATGTAGGACTGGTGGGATAGCAAAAACACATGACGCACGCCCCTTCGCCGAACAGGGACCCGGAAAGGGCAGGCTGATCTGCAAGCTGCGTTGCTGTCGAAAGGGAAATCCATCGATCCCCTTCTGCCCGAGACCCCTGGCCGGCCCGATATGTCTGCGTGATGCGCGGCCAGGGGCGGGCATATGGAGGAGGAGTTGGGTGGGTGGTATCCAGTCCAGGGGCGAGCATGATAATGCGAGCGGTTGGTTGGTGGTCAGCAGTTTATCATCATTCTACGGGCAGGGATCCTGTTCCACCACCCGGGAGCTCCCCCCTTGCCCGGTAGGGGCTAGCTTCAGGCCGCGTACTTTGGTACACTCTCCAGGCGGGGAGAAGAAGGAAAAAATCAGACCCAAAAGGGGGAAAGAATGACGAAACTCCTGGGCCACTTGTTAAGCTGCTCGTACAGACTACAGGCCAGAGGCCATCGGAGGCAGCGATGCCATCCCGACTCGAGACACAAGCAAGAAAACCTTCGTTCCACCTGGTGCGTTGGAGGCCATGAGCGGTCAGGTCGCAAGGTTGGAGCTGGGACAAGCCAAGCTTGCCCTGATGCGACGTAGAGACGCGGCGCAACGCAGCCCTGGGGCCACGCAGCGGCTTGCTGCTGTGCGCAGGTTACATCCCGTCAAAAACCTGGGGTACTGCGAAATACGCACACTGAGTCGGCACGTAGTTTGAATGGATCACTGCTAGAACACCCGTCACAGGCACACGGCGGAGGGTGATTTGACACTCTCACGGGAGCAAGCTTATCGTGCTTCTTCCCCACGGTGCTGGGACGGGTCTCTCAAAGGGTCCATCTAGCAGGTCCATGCCGTCACCGGATAGCTGTGCCAGGAACGTGTCGCACATGGGACGAGATGAAGAAAATAATGTAATTAGCTTGTATCGTGGCACTCACTGAAAACAAGTCACCAGATCAAAAAGTACAGAAAAGAACATTCGTCAAGAACAGTCGGCACTGTCATACCACTCCGTACCTCAACTCCTCCGTCGACTCCGAGCTCGAGCTCAAATTCGACGCTGTCCTCAGGTTCCGCCCCTTGCTCATCATCTCAAACGTACCAGTCCTTCCAGCCACAGATATATTGTCGCGCCGTCCTCCCAGCCGAGACCTGCTTGTCAGCCGACTCGGCACGTTCGTCTTCCGGCCCCCCTTGGAGGAGTAGCGAATGTCATCCATGAGGGTTTTGCACGCTTTCCAGCTCGTGACCATGTAAATGACAGCGTTCCAAAAGCCTTGCAGTGGCAAAACAAAGGCTGACATGTACTCGAGAGGCAAGCTGACTCCGTCGGGCTGTATGACTCCGTAGACTCTGTTTGCTGTCGAGGGAATCCACGTTATCAGAATAGCCGTGAAGAAGAGGATCGAGCATTTCGTATACGACCATGCCGCGCTGTTGGCGTCATGTGTGGCCTTCCTACGCCCCGAGCGCTGCATCGTGTTCTCGTTGCTTCTACCGCTGGCTGTTGCTGTCGCCATGGTCGCCCCTGCCGCACCCCCTGGCCCATCTGCGGAGATGCTGACTGAGTATGCAGACGGCTTGGACTGACTGGCCGCTGAGCTGTCCCGATGAGCGCGGCCGAGTGGTGCGAGGTCGAGGGTCGTTTCTTGCGTCGTTGTGACTATCTCAGAAGTGACTGAAACCTCGGTAGTCTTGACACTGAACGCATCATTCGCCGGGTTCGCTTCGGGTTCGTAGCGGCTTGTGTAATTCAGTTCTCTGAGCTGTTTGTGCTTCCTGTAGATTTCCCGTCCGGCACGGATGTAAATAAATGTCGTCACGGCGATCGCCGCCCTAGACCTTGTTAGATCAACTGTGATGTCAATGGTCTGGAGACAGACTGGTATCTTACCATACTGGTCCGTAGAATGTGATGATTCGAAAGATATCCCACTCTCTTTTGACCCAACACCATAGAGTGGCATCGCCATATATCTTACCCTTCGTTGGGGACGACACAAAAATAAACACCAAGGCCACCACGAACGGCACACCGTAGCAGAAGATCAGGTATGGAATTTCCATCTTCCGAAGCTTTTGCGCGTCGAATTTGGCATAGAATGTCAGATAGACGTTGATAGCCATCGCCAATATCCAGAAGGCGTCGGCGGGCATGAACCTAACCAGCGTGTAAGCCACAGTTACATTGGTGACTGGGGTGATACCAACATTTGGATCAGAAATGCCTGAAACTGGCAACCGGCGGATTCAGGAAATGGAACGTAAACCCTCGCCATGAGCGTTGCGACATTGGTCATCATGTTGCCGCTGGGGGAAGATGGAGTTAGTATTCATCCAACGCTGACGTCGTTCTTGGCATAGGATATGGGTTCCGGGGATGCCCAGGCGTCGACACGTACAATGAAGCATAAAACACAAGACGATTTATCGGTTTGTGGAAAGCGTCCGATACGCAGAAAGTTATAATAATGAAAATGCATCCCACCAGGGACAACACCGAGCATGTTCGCTCGATGACATTGAAAACATCGAGCTGGGTGCCGAGATTTTCGATATTGTCAATATTGTCGGAATCCATGATTATCTAGCAGAGTGGTTTCGAGTTCGAGCCTCGTACTGGACCCTGGAACATTGACACCAGGACAGAGAGAACGACAGAGGAATCGGCGGTCCGAGAGCTGCGGGTGAGGTCCATGTATTGGAGCAGTGGTAGCAGCCCAAGGGGACGAAGATCAGGCGGAAGCAGGATACTGAATCGGGAGCCGGGTCGGCGCCTTTAAAGTCCAGATCCGTATTATATGTTCGCTCAGCTCAAAATGCTGTAGGAAGATATCGGGTTTTCGGGACTGAAGCGTGAGCCGTTCTTTGGAAAAGGATGCCTTGTGCTCCTTTGCCGATTTCAGTTGCGTAGGTAAGGTGAGACACGAATGTGGTCAGCAGGTGGAACGAATGCCTCGACAGTGAGGAGCTGGGGTCGAAATTAAGCGAGAAGCAATTATGGCCTAGAATGGACTATGGTATCCCGACAGAATGTGGATGCGTTTGCACGCTGAACTTGTTTGTTTGGTACCCAGGATGATGGTGAGACCCAGAGATGTGGATCAAGACAGGCGGTGGCGCGAGAGAAGTTCGAAGGCGCAGATTGTAGAAAAGAAATCACAGATGAGGCGTGTCCCAAGACCTCATGGCAAACTGACTGGGCGAACGGTCTGTATAAGTTTTTGTACAAGACGGGTAAAACACTCAAGCGGCAAGGTGCGCTGCATGGGCATAGGTATGAAGTGGGCATGATCCATCACAATCGGGGATCTGGGAGGATGTGCTCGGCAGGGATAGACATTGATATGCCATCCTTGGTCAAAGTCAGGGGCCATGATTGTGTGATGAGACCAGAACTTGACATGGGACCCATACCTAGCTCATGAACAAGGCCTGCGTGTTAGCTATGCGAAGAGACGTGCTCGTTCATCCGTCCCAACTTTGATACTGTACCATGATAGGCGAGGCCAGGGCAATCACCAATAGCAGAATTTCGCAAACTTGAGGCATCGGCTTGGGTTGACCCGGTGCAGTATCGGCATTGTACCGCAGCAAAGAGGCGCAACCGGTTGATCGTGCACGAGATCTTGAATGAGGCCGCTATTCACCATCTACGTTGGGCTCCAGCGCCGGGTGGTCTCTCTCTTGGGGGCTGCACTAGTTGGCTGCTGCCTTTCTATCTCATGCGGCGCTGCTGAATTGAAGGCTCAGTCATGAATGAATCTGTCGTCCATGAGCGTTTGATTAGATGACGGCTGTTGACGTTCAAGCCGTGATTCCTAATGCGATTGTTGCCGGCCTGAAACCCGCTCGATCAGACGACGACGCAGATCGCCTTACGACACCAGTCACCCAAACGTTAGCCCGAGAGCGAGTTGGCCGACGACAGGCGCTAGTTTAGGAGAACTAGAGGGCAGATCAGTAGTCTCAGGTCGCCATCTCATCTGGGTGGTCGAGTGCCACGGCAGAGGGTCAACGTCTGCTGCGCGGCGAAACTCTGCTCGCTGAGCCTTGGCCATGCCTCTTGGGTACGTCTGCAATAAGCTGTTGCGGAGTTGAAGTTGCAGGCATTGGCCCAGGTCAGATCGCCAACTGGGCTTGTGAAAACCGGACCTAGCAAGGCAGAGGGATGCCGTGCCGTTCTCGACCGGCTTGACCGGACGGTAGGTAACACGGAGCAGGTGGTAAGCAGCACACGTGGAAGCTGATGCCATCTGCCGGGGAACCAGGAGGTGAACCCCAGAAGGGGGAGCAAGATTGTGGGGCAGCTGAGGTCAAGGTCAAGGAGGGGTCTCTGCACATCCACACGGAGGGTGGTGGAGTTGTGAGTGGGGCGGTGGAGCTGAAACCTCTGGTCCCTGGTCCAGACTCGAAGCAGACTGTTTGTGCCTCTACATACTGGGCCGGCCTGCGAGAATTGCGTCGACTAGGAGTTCATCTTGGCTCTCTGATATGTCGGAGATTTGGGACGGGCCCTTTGGTCCTCGGTGGATCTGAACCGAACACGTTCGTCCACACTGGACCGATGGCCCAGACCATGCTGCGCTGAGGGCGACAAGTGTCGATCCAATGCAAATCAGACAGCATCGGCGGCAGTTGCGTCGTCTGATTTTGACCTTGATGCCCCGATCTCACCAGTGCTGTGTGTGTGTGTGTGCTGTGCCCTTGCGTGTCTTTTCCGAATCAAGTCGTCAGACCAGGACCAGAACCAGAACCGCAACGAGGACGGAGAAGCATTGCAGTAGATGGCCTCGAAAGTGACGTCGAGAGACGAAGGTGTTGAGGGTGAGCTAGCGAGAGGCAAGCCTGTGTCACCGCGACCTCGTCTTGGCGCACAGATAACAAGCTTTCAACGATCTTCGCAGTTCAACATACCCCAACGGCCAATGCCTCGTCCGGATCAGGATTCCTCCCCCCTAGGACTTTTTATGACCTCTTCTGCTGACATCTGAAGTTTGTGCTCTCAAGGTGTCTCCTCCGATGGGCACCGTGGCCTCCTGACAATGCATGCTGCGATGTGCAGCCCGTCTCCCATCTGTCCTTCCTCAACGCGCTTCGCTGTAGTCACCCCAACATGGTCATCTGCCGTGTTTCGAAAGTTGCCGTCGACTTCAACGTGTTGATATGGGATGTTTGCTCGTGTGTAGAGTTTGTTTCGCCACCGAACTCTGGTGAACCGTGACCTCCGAAAGCGAGAGTCCCGGGTGGTGAAAGGCATCCTTGTGGCTGGCTTCGACCTTCAGCCTCGCGAATCCTCAGGATCTCAACCGCAGGTAACGAAATAAACACAGCCTTCCTATCATGATACACAGACTCTCGGTGGTACTAGCTGGCCGGCAGCACCCCGTTGCTTCATAAAGACAGCCCTCAGCCGCCGGTGTGCTTCGCAAACCATCACCGCGCATACAGGCGTGCTGTTACAGCACTTAGAACGGCGGGTGCTGTCACCTCTCACTAATCGAAGCATTTTTGCCACCTCTATCTGCCACCCATTCCCTATCACACCGTTGCTGCCACATCGTGGCCATGCTTGCAAGCCCACGCTGTGTCCTGAGGACGTGCGATGTGCGGCTGTAACCCTGTCACACCCAATCGCCCGAGACGCAAGGTTTGACATGCGTGCCGCCAGAGCCGCAAAACCGATGCGACTCTGCTTGTGCACCAGAGACATAGTAACAAGGTATCAGTTGGAAAAGCTTGACGTCTAATCAAGCAAGTGAGCAGCTACAGCCTCCTTCTGCATGATTCCTGTCCACAAAGTCAAAGCATATGCAACACAGGCCGCCATCCACAAGCGTTCGTCCTTGCACCTGATCCATGTTGCCCGCATGCGGCTCATTCATGCCTTGTATAACCCTGCAGACAGGATTGGCCCGGCGGAACTTTTCAGCCTGGATATTGATGGCTTTCTAGCTCTGTCGCAAGTCCCAGCAGGTGGGTGAGGCCGTTGTGACCGGTGAGGCATGGGACCAAGCCTTTGCCCCATCTCGCTGCACGATACTGCAAGTGATACTCGTAGACAGCATTTTGTTATGTGAAAGGCCCAGGATCCCACACTTGTGCCGAAGACCGTATCTCGGTATTGCCACATTCTAAGACTCCGCGGTTACAGGCAGCCTATGTTGTTAGACACAGGACTCATCCGTTCTCTAAGACGGGAGCTCGGACGACTCCTTAATCAGGCTGGGTAGGGAGGCATAGAATCCTTGTTTCTAGCAATGTTGGTAGGCGGCACAAGAGAGATATAGGGCTTAGAGTTGGAAGATACCGCGCAAACCTGTTCTCTTGAACAAGGATGTAACGCTTCAATGTTCTCAGCTTCCAGATTACTTCCGCTCGGCCATTGTACAAAAACATATTCGATAGCCCTTTTGATTCTGCAGAACACCTCCGTCTGAAGCCTTGAAATATGGGCATCAACCAAGTACCATGATTCAACGTTGCCTCTTGATCAAGTGTCAGCCTCAGTCGTGGACAATGTTTGCGTGACGTTTCATTGTCTTTGACTTGACTCAAGGGAGCAACGTGCCGTTACATCTCGATATCCTCAACGGGAATTCTCGAATGTGTTGCTTGAAAGCCCTTTCGTCTGTCTCACGTTGAAACTTTCTGCGCTCATCTTCCAGCCACGGAAACAAATAAAAGGCTGCCCATACTCAATCGATAAGCGCTCGCTTTCTTAATCCACGTGCTTAGCAGGCCTCGCTGGACTGAGGCGATAGCATAATAGAGTAAAACGACGAAGACCCCTAAGAACAATACCACCCAGGAGACCAACTGTGGCAGCATAGACTTCAATCGCACTTCATCTGATATTTGCCGTTGTGTCGTGCCGACCAATACTCCCTATGTATCTGAAAAATGTTGTTCTAGGTTATGCTGTCGACTAAGGCAGCGTTGTGTGCCTACATCGTGTCTCGCATTCTGCAACTGAGTCTATTCTGGAGTCGTCCATCACTTGTCTTACAACAAGTCTTCTGGAGAGTCTCATATCGAAAGAGCAGGCTACTTGTTTCGTTTCCCACTTGTTCTCTTCTTTCACTCTTTTTCCCCAATGGACTCGGCCAAGGCTGATGTTTCCTGGCTTTGTCGCATACTCGAGCTGTTGACTGCGCCATATAAGTTGACCGGGTTTCTCCTTTCCCAAGTCATCGAACCAATTCTGACAACGGCCAAGTTACCATTGGCATTCTGAGCAGATTTCCGTCTTCTACATCTGCGAGCTTTCCAAGAACTCCTACTCCCTGAAAACCCGAGATTTTGCTGGGACGATCATGTCCAGGGGCAAAGGTCGAGGCGGCCCACGCAGATCACGAAATGCGTCGGGCTGTGCCAGCGATGTTGAAATGAAGGACGCCGACTTCGTACCCAACAACTCCAGTCTCAAGCCCAAGAATGAGTCCAATAGACGAGGCCGAGTCGGAAAACCCTCCTCTCCACCACAAGCGGGAGGCACCCGCGGCGGCAAGCAGAAAGGCGGCGCCGGCGGGCCAGACAGGTGGAACATGAAGATTCCCGCGTACCGAGCCAGAAACAACAACCGGCAGCTGAGCATCATCTCCGCGGCATCGGCAACACTCCCGGGGCAGGACGCAGGACCGTGGTGCGACAAGTGCACCAGCCTGAACCGCCAGCTCCACGGCTACCTGCTCGAGATCCTGAAGGACGGGGAGGACGCCGTTGGCAAGTGGGCCTACGCGGTCGGTGCTTCTCCTGACCAGATGGACTGCGAGCCCGCGCCGGAGAGAATCATCCCGGAGGGCTTCCGGCGCTGCAGTCGACAGCACCAGCTCTGTGGCGTGAGGACAGAGGGCGATGCGGGAACTGCTCTGTCTCCTATACCATCCAGGTGGCCTGTCACCACGTCCCCTTCCGCAGTCTACTCGGGGCAGCCTGTAACTGCACCCGTTCCGGCCTCGGCTGGTGCTGGTCCATGCTCCCAGCTCGGCTCGAGGTCGGACCTCGCCCAGCGGATGCAAGAGACAAATTCTGCTCCTGCCGGCGGTGCCCTCCAGAACCGCCAGAGCCTTTTCGCAATTCCCGAGCACGCGGATTCGTTCGCTCAAAGGACTGGACCTCCGTCGCAGGCGCAACTGCCAGCTCCACAACCGCTTCAACCGCCGTGGAACGGTGCCTCCCAACGACCTGTCGCCATGTATCCTAGCTGTGGCCCCTTGCAGAACACAACGTATCACTGGGCTTATCAGCAACGCAATGTGCCCAATGCGCCGCCAGAACACAACAACCCCCAGAATATGGGGACAATGCACAGACCGCCTGGTTCGATGGCTTACAACGAGGTCGTGAGTGGTATTGGCCAGGGCCGGGTGGTGCAGGAAGTGCAAAGTTCATCGGACTCAGATGTTCCCAAGTAGCAACCAATGAGGCAGATCTGGACGGAGACAGGCCATACCTAGAACATCAGTCTTGTTCATCGCACTGGCTCGATGCTCACGGATGGAGCAGGAGGAAGTAAGTAAGGTGCGGCGATGAGAGGATGGCTCTGATGACTGTGAAGGGTTCTGAGAGGGAAGACAGCTTTCTGCGGAACGGACAAGAGACACGGAATCGAAGGAGCCAATGAATGGTACTAGACAAAGTATTGAATTGGAATATTGGGAAACCTCATGCAGTCAAGGGCTTGCTCGAGTTACTCAGGTAGGCGTGACACCTCTGCCAGCCCCTGCATTAGAGCGCTTTACGCAACTCGAGTAGCTGCTCGACCATCTCAAAGAGTCGAAGGGAGCCAACGACTGTATTCAGAGACCATATGGAATCACTGTCCAGCAATGTGGCGATTGACCTGGTATACTCGACGTCTCAGGTAGGAAGGGTATTGAGCTCCAGCAAGTGGGTCCTTGTTGATTGATGATGAATTGATGAGGTGATAAATATTGTGGCCTTCTGCAGAATCAATAGCAGTTGTTCCTGAAACTTATGATTCTCGACCAATAGTCATGTTCTCTCACAGTATGTGTCCAAGCTAAATACCCAGAATCGAACATTTCCCTTGGGCTCACTCTGTCTCGGCGTGGTGTTCTTGGGATTAGTTCAGTTGGCTTTTGCTGATTCCTGGTGGCCGTCCCCCTCCCCGACTTCTCCCATACACAGGACTCTTTATCCCATCTTCGTGCCTCAGCCGGCTCCTTAAGGCGAGACAGAGACTAGAGGGCCACAGAGTCGAGCTGTTGTAACACACATCAACACCGGACAACGAGGAATACCTTGAAGTTTTTGGTCTACCGTACCCTCGGAGAATGTAGTAGAACACACGTGTTGCATTACACGTAAAAAGCCTGACAGATGATGCCCATGAACGCCGTCTTTCGCCCGTGCCGAATCGAAGAGAGAAAAGCCATCCAACCGACAGAACACCCTGAATCATCAAATAGCAATAGAAGAGAGCAAATCCAAGCTCAAGGATCATCAGCTCACGGCACAAACTCCTTCTGTCTGTAAACTGCCGACACCATCTAAATGTTGTTGTCAGCAAGATTCTTCGGTACAAGCGACAGTGGCAAATCAAAAGAGCCCTCTCAGCGTCCAAGGGGTGAGGGATGCAATGCATGACTTACAGCGTGATCTCTCTCGTAAGGCTCCAGAGTCAGCTGCTCCTTGGGGAAGAACTTCTCCTGCCTCAGCTTCTCGACCTCTTGAGCAAAGACTTGCTCGGGCGGTGCGGTGGAGTCAATGCAGTTGGCCTTGATGGAGATGAGCATGCCACCACCTTGCTTCAAGAAGAGCTTAGCATTCAGAGCAACTATACGGGCTTGGTCAGGTTGAGCAACACTGGAGGAGAAAAGAAGTTAGCCTTAGCGCCTAAGTTTCCAAGTTGCGCAGTGACAGCTTACTCGGCGAAGATGAAGTCGACCATGTCGACAAGCATCCGGTACTTCAGAGGTTGACGAGCATCCTCGACAATGGGGACCACGTTTGTGCGGCGGGTGGCCATGTTGATCAGGTCACGGCCAGAACGGTGAGAGAACTCGACGGCATAGACAGTTCCGGTAGGTCCAACGATCGGCGACGTGGGAGACGGAGGTTCCCGAGGCGGCACCGAGGTAGAGGGCCTTGGAGCCAGGCTTGATGTAGATGGACTCGAGACCACCCAGGATACCGGCAGCCAGCTTCGACCGGAAAGGGTTCCAGACACGGTATTCGGTCTTGGTCGCAGTACCATCCTCGCTCTTGGCGTTCTCAATCGCAACACGCTTCTCGTTGTAGACGGACTCGCCGGGGGTAAGGTTGGCGGTTGCCAGCAGGTCTTCCTTGCCGCCGCGCACGACGAAGACACCCTTGTGTCGGTGGGGTTCCTGAACAGGGCGCATGTGAGCATCAAGACTGAGATGTGCAAGCTTGCTCGTTCACCTCCGGGGACATTGCATACCACAATCATCTTCTTTCCGCCCTTGGGGCCGCCAGCTGCGCCGCCACGGCCGCCACGACCACCGCCTCGCGCACCACGGCCACCGGGACCGCCACGGCCACCGCGACCTCCACGATCACCTCCACCACGGCCACCTGGTTTCGATTGATTAATTGAGTTGTCTAGAGGCTGCGACAGAGACTCCAGACAGCTTACCTCGGAAGCCACCGCCTCCTCTGCCACCACCGCGGCCGCGATCACCGCCTCCACGGAAGCCGCCTCCACGACCTCCGCGGTCACCACCACCACGTCCTCTCGGGGCAAAACCCATGCTGAAAGGTGATACTGATGTAGTGACTGGTAGTTAGGAAAAATGGAGCCGCAACGATCGATTAGACCTCTGCGTGACTGCAACGGGGCAGAATATCAATGCCCGTGGTGAAGTGAGGCGTTGTCGAGTGTTGCAGTTGCAGCTGGTGAGGCCGACCCAAAGAGCTTTTGCTGCTGCAAAAAAAGTTGAAAAATTTCAAGACCAGGGTCGCGCCAGTACCAAGGTACCCCCGCCTAGCGCTGGATGCAGCTTGCGCTCGGGCGGGGCAGCGGCGGCGCGTGTGATTGGCTGGAGCGCAAAATGATTTCACCGGGCTGCCCACAGTCTGATTGGGAAGGAGCGGCTCGTCCTAGACCAGCAAAAAACTTCCCAGCCAGCCAGACCCGCAGACGACCATCAACACCCAACGACGACGACGACACCATCTCCACATCAACACCGTCAAGATGGTGAGTGCACACCGATTTTCGAGGCCCAGGACGAGCGAATTGCCGATTGCCCTCAGCGCCCCAGGCTGCCGAAAGCTTGGAAACCCGCGGGCAGCTGGGGGTTGCGACGGGGGCAAGGGGAAGGCCGCACAGGGCGAGGCGAATGTTGAGATCGTGACATTGACCGCTCCACCCACAGGTTCGCTACGCTGCCACCGAGATCGCGCCCTCCAAGTCGGCCAAGGCCCGCGGTGCCTACCTCCGAGTTTCTTTCAAGAACACCCGCGAGACCGCCCAGGCCATTAACGGCTGGAAGCTGCAGCGCGCCGTCAAGTTCCTTGAGAACGTCAAGGAGAAGAAGGAGATCGTCCCCTTCCGCCGCTACGCTGGCTCCATCGGCCGTGCTTCGCAAGGTACGAACGATTCTACTCAACCGCACACAACCCGTCACTGGCGACATTGGACATTTCGAGAAATGGTGGTAGGGCGCTAGACCGACGCCAGATGGGCGATGGAAAGAGCTTGGACATTCGGGGTCAAATTGCGCTTCGATGGAGTACCATCTGGGCATCGAAACAGTTGACATCAGGTCACGGTTGTCATCACGAATCGACGTCAGGCTGACAGAACATGATAAATAGGCAAGCAGTGGGGTGTCTCCCGTGCCCGATGGCCCGTCAAGTCCGCCGAGTTCCTCCTGCAGCTCCTGAAGAACGCCGAGTCCAACGCCGATGCCAAGGGTCTTGACACCAGCGCCCTTGTCGTCAAGCACATCCAGGTCAATCAGGCCCCCAAGCAGCGCCGACGAACTTACCGTGCCCACGGTCGTGTATGTCTGACCCGACATCTCATCAGAGGCGACACGTGACAACCAAGCGGAGACAGAATCTGACCTATGTGTGATCTAGATCAACCCCTACATGTCCAACCCCTGCCACATCGAGCTCATCCTTACCGAGGCCGAGGAGGTCGTCCAGAAGTCCGAGGCCGTTGTCGGCCGTGAGGAGCGCCTGAACTCGAGACAGCGTGGTGCGCGCGTGCGCAAGGCTATCGCCTCCGCCTAAATCACCCGGGGCGGACTCGGTGGTGTTGTGATGGATTGATGGCTCATTCTCGAGCCAGCAAATGGGCTTTTGTGCAAAGGGACGGGCTTCGCTTTTTCTGGGACCGGTGTATTGAGGCATGGCATTTCGGGCAGTAACGGTCTGGCTTGCGAAAAAATATCCAAGACGGATAAATCATGAATGAATTTTCCCCCGAATACCGAGAAACATACAAGCGAAATTCAGGTCGCGGTGGTTGAGACGGGACCGGGCCCCAGACAGACAGGGTGTGTGTGTGTGTGTGTGTGCATGTGTGTGCTGGGTAGAGAGGCCTACTCTTGCCCCGTACCAGCTACCGGCCAACACGAGTGAGGCGATTAGACCCAAGGACAAAAGTGTGTTGTGGAGCGAATGCAGACGATCAATTCGTGAGCAGCATTCTCGTGACAGTACATAAGAGGCCATAATTTACGTCAAGTGAGACTTTGCAAGTCGTTAGTTGTATGCGCTGGGTACCGCTGTATAGCCCGAGTAAATCCAGTCCGTTTCGGTTGACGCCAATCGGGACGTAAAGGATACCAAACCCGCATGCGTCAATGCGAGCTCGATTCGAAAATTAAAAGGACTCAGATCAGCCCTGTATGCACACATTGTCATCGAGCAACCGGAGAAAGAGTACAGTAGTAATTTTCATTTCTATCGAGAGCTCAAATTCAACCCTCTGACTAGCCAACATGTCCGGCTCAGACAAGTTTCCTCGTTCAGTATCTGCCACCCTCCTGATCTCCCACAACTTGCAGCCCGAGATGAATGCGTGGTTGACCTCACGCCAACAACAGACCCCCAATTCATCAAGACGGCGATTCTATTTTCGTACCTCTGATGCCTTATATGACAAGGACGACCTCTTGTTAGGCTCGGGTGAGCAACATCATGACATATGCGGGCGATGCGCCGGATGTTATGTCTACAAGAGGGCCTGATTCCTGTTGCTGGCCGACACAGTATCATGAGGGAGAGGGTTCCGCCTCTAGCCTCGCTGACCCAAACTCCCTGGCCCTTTACCGACAGGGTGATGAAAGACAATACTTCCGTGATGATACATCGACTGGCAAGGATACAGCCGGATACTTCATTCTTTTCTTCGGCCTTCTTGTCTCTTTCCCTTTGCTCGCGAATGTCTGGCATTTTTTGATTCATGTCTTGCGACATTAAATTTGGCCGTTGTCTGAAGCGTCGTCTGTGGCAAAATCGTGCTGGGAAAGATCGTCATGTGAGGCAGCACCCTGTTGCTCACTGCCCTCGGCAAGATCCTCAGGTGAAGCAACACCCTGCTGCTCAATGCTCTGAGAAAGATCATCCTGCGAAGCGACTTCCTGCTGCTCGCTGCTCTGGCTACGAACACCTCGCAGCCTGAGGACCATCTGCTGGCTTCCCTGAGCAAGACCATCCTGCGGCATGTCCTGTCGCTGGAAAGTCCGACTGCGAACACCTTGCGAACTGAGGAACATCGGCTCGCTGCTCCGACTGCGAACACTTCGTAACCTGAGGACCATCTGCTCGCTGCTTTGGCTTCGATGATGAAACTTTGAGGGGCGTGGCATGTTCTGGGTGTATCTCGCCAAGTTTTCCGCCGAAAGACCGTTCTCTGGGATTTCAGCTCCAGGTGTACCTCTGGTGTATTCGAGCCAGGTCTCAAGTGAGACGTCGTCGAAGTCAGCATCGCCACTATGGCCCGGGCCGCCGTCCAGGCCGCTATCATGTTTGTCGTCCATGTCATCCTGCTCCGCAGGAGCCACATCGTCCTACGTAGTGCGGCTCGCAATCTGCTTTCCCTTGGCCTTCAGACTGATGGCCTCCGTCTCGACAGAACTGCACACGGTGCCGTGGAAACGACCAGCGCCAGGCTCAGGGTTGCCATCCGTGATGGCGATCTGCGAGACAATATCGTCGTAGATATCATTCCAGCCGAAGGACAGTCCGAATATGCGGCCCAGAATCCGCTGCTCTTTGCCGGGAATGTAGTTGAGGATTTTGCCGAGCAGGCCGTCGTTACAGATCAGCATCTGAGTATCAAGGTCCTTGAGTTGGTTTGGAAGGTCGACGTCGTGTTGCACCAGGAGTGACTCGTTCGGGATGATCTTCCAGTTGCTAATGTGTGATGACTCGATGAGAGCGTAACCGCAAGACTTGAACGTGATCGTCTTGAGTCGGTCCTGTCCGCCGCGGTTCTCAAGAACGTCATTGAACATCTTGGAGAAGCGTTGCTCGTTCGCCTTGATATTGCGGTAATAGTCATCGTCAATGTCCATGTCTTCAAGATGGGCGTGAACTGCTTCTGGCGACATATCGAGGCTGGCAAGGACATGAGGCCAAGAAAACAGACGCCACTTGGAGATGGCCGGAGATTGCCCATCCTGCTGGACAGGGGCCGAAGCTTGATTAACGGCGACAGCGCCAGATCCATGGTGGGCGAGCAAGTGGTGTCCATTTTGGTTCCAGCCATGCAGGGCTTGGAAGTTTGGAGCGCCTGCTCCTGCGCCTGCTCCGGCGGCGGCAGCGGCAGCGGCAGCAGCCAAGTGAAGACCATGAGCAGGCACGTTGTTGTTGTTATTATTGTTATTGGCAGCAGGTCGTTGAAGCTGAAACCAACTACCAGGCTCCGCTCCCGCACAAAGAGGCCAAGGCCAGTGCGACGGTTTTCCCTGAGGGCCGGGATGAATGCTGGGTTCATTGGCCCTTGAGGGGGGCCCGGTCAGAGACACAGACTCCAGCTCGAGGTCTCTGAGCATTTCTCTCGACATCTTCTTGACAACGTTCAGAAATACATGGGGAGTAAACCAGCAGTTCTTCAGGGACAGTTTGTCGACGTAAGGTAAACCGATGACATCTTCTTCGCCGAAGCTGTTTTGCAACTCGGCCATGTTGGGTGCCTCTGCGAGTACAGGAGCAGGCATGATGTAGCGGTCGCGCTGACTCTTACCCACAGCGAACTCGCCGCCAGAGATCCACTCAAAAGACACATGCTTGATATTCTTCTGCTCCCCGACAAATTTGTGCAATAGGTTGAAGACAGCTCCGTAGGTCTCGATCGGGCTGATGCGGGTCTGGGAAACACCGCCCGTGTCGTCTTTGTGGAGCCGGCGCCAGTCTGGGATGACGCCTAGGTGAAACGAACGGAGACAGGTCATAGTCTCCCAAAACTCTTCCTTCATCAGCGAAGGAACGTGACGGCCTGAACAGCGTGCGATCGTCAGTGTGCTGAGGGCCAGGAATGAGTCCTTATTATCCATCACAGCGATGACGTAGGAATCCATGAGGGCTCTGTGGGCCCACTCGAGTTCTAGGAGCATTTCGACCTGGGAAGCAGTAAGGTTGTTGGGGCAGAGGCCATAGACCCGTGCATGAGCTGCGCTGGTGACATTGTCCTGATCGTCCTCGCCAACAAGGCCCTCAATGACCTCAATGATGTCCTCTTTTGTGGTATCCTTGTTGACCTCGAAGAGAGGTATCTTCTGGTGAGAAGCCTCCCCAGAAGCAGAAACATGCTCAATCCACTTGACTGCGCGGCCCTCGTCCTCAAGCAGGCGCAGCACAGCCCTTGGCCACTCGTTAGAATCGTACCCTGCGTTCATAGCCATCTGCTTTAAAATGATGAGGCTCATGGACCGGTCACTGTCCTCGTCTGATCCCTCCTCCGAGTCGGCTTCGGAATCGCCGTAAATGGTAGGCCTGAAGACCGATGGTTGAACGCGACGGCAAAGAGGGTTCGTATCCGGGCCTTGTAGGTAGCCTAGGCCAGCATCGCACGAGAGCCCAATCTCACTGACGACTCGGAGGAACTGGAAAGCTCTCTTCATGTGCTGTGTCTCGTCCGCGAGCTTCTCTATGCCCTCTAGTTGAGCGTAGCGCTGATAGTCCATTATGGGCCACCGGTACAGACCCCACGGAGCTGGAACGATTTCCTGGTTGAGCTTCACAGGTGGGCAAGCCAGGTCCATCTCATCGAGCTCGAGGGCCAGGGCGAACTTCTTGATATGGGTGCGCCCGAACTGTTCGAAAACCCGATACCCATCCGAGAGCAGAGACTCATCACCCTTCGCTGAGGGGCTTGCCCGAGCTTGAATGTCGTCGCCATCCTCGGTCGCGGGGGTCTCGTCAGCTCTCTTCTTCAACACCAAGCCGTACTTTTGTTGCTCCGGCGAGAAGCCCAGATCAATGTTCAAAGTACCGTACAGTGCCTCGAACTCTGGGCGAAATGGAACGACGACGTTTCTGAAGAAGGTGTCGGCAAGTTTGGAGTCGAATTCTCGACTGACTAGTCGCATTGCCTGGACGTCCTTTCGATTGAGGTATGAAATGACCAGGTTGAAGATCTCAACGGGAACAGCATCCAGCGGCCACGTGGCATGAGACAGCTCGCCCTGTGGCTGGCTGGACTCAGTACCAGGCTGAGTGTTCTCGGCGACTTCATCGGCAGACATCGTAGAGTCGGACCGCAAGGAATTCGGCTCAACCTCCGAGGGGGTGGAGTCGGACGTTTCGGGTACCTGGACACTCGAGGCCGAGCTAGACGCGGGCGGACTCGCGGACATCTTGCGGCGCTTAGCTGGTCGTTGAGATGGACTCGCGGTGCCGGACATCGTTCGTTCGCGGCGCTGGAGAGCAGAATGGTAGATTGCAAGGGGTGGCGGTCCTTGTGAGACGGCCCTTCTTTGGTTGAGCCTGACGGGCGAGTGAGTCAATTCAGCTATCGTTCTGCTGGGCGACCCTGTCCGGTCACAGGATGATGCGCGAAGAGACGCGCAGGTGGTGAGGTTGAATATCGGACTGCCTCGTCACTGCGGCTGTCGATGGTGGCGTGGGCCTGCTCGCTAACGGCTTGCCGTCAGTCGCAGCGCAACCTCTCGTCGACAGGATCTCTTTTGTTGTTTTCGCAATCATCCAGTAGTCATGTCGCCCAAGCAAAGAGGAGGAATGAATGGCACGCGACGAGTGCTGCGACGCGCGAAAAGGAAGTCAAAGGGCATGCGACGTTGCGCAGCTTTAGGCAACGGTGATGCTGGCTCTGCGACCGACGAGTTTTGGATAGTGGGCAAGATGGAGCGCGGAAAGACTGCAAGAGTAAAGGGGTTAGAAGGATGCAATCGCGAAGAATATGAATTGCAAATGCTCCCAGGATTAGCCCGTGTTGTTGTGAGGTGGATGTTCAAGGCGACAGCAGTGACATGCCTGCGCCTGTGGGTGCCCAGTGGTTAGAAGTATGACGGAGTTGTTGCGGGCACGGAGGTGGGGTGACGGTGGCTCTGGGGGTACGTTCCGTTTTGGCAGCCCCCACTACTAGACTAGACAGCAATCAATCTACCTTGCAGCACTGCAAGACGGGCACTTGCGTATGAGGAATCCCACGAGGCTGCACGGGCACGGCTGTGCTCGGGTGAATGTGCAATTGAACAGCAAGCCAGGATCAGACGGGAAGTGCGCTGGGATGGGAGCATGGAGGCCAGCACTCCAGCATTAACAAATGAAGTCATAAGCCTTTGCAGTTCGAGGCTGTCATATCTGCCTGCCTTCATTCACCCCAGATCAAACAACGTGGACAGAGAGTAGGCTACCTGGTCTACCTGCATGAGGAGGCCAAGGCAGGAGCCGCAGTGGGGATGCATCCATCACAAGCTGACATGGGATTGTCTTTTTTTCTTTTCTTGATTTTCTATTGGCTCCCTGGGCCCGGCTCTGGAGAAATACCCGAGAGTAGAAAAAAAAGGACCCACCCCCTGACGGACTGGTCTAGACCCATTCGGGCGGCTGTCACATGCAGCTACTGAGCCGTTGCTGAGCCGTTGCGTTGGCGCAGCACAAATCAGCCCTTCAACAAAGCATACAAAAGGTTTGTGTCATGCAAGGCTTCGTCAAGTATAGGACAATAGCATCTATTTGTGCTTTGATTTCAGCCAAATCTTCCAAAGCTATTGGCACTGCAAAATCATGGAACCCAGCATGATGAATCCAAAGACCTTCAACGTCGAGATTGAAGCATCATATGCAGTAGATACCGATTCCCAGCGACAAAGAAAACGCTGGCCGCCTTCCAATCGCTACTACCACATGCTCGCTGCCCGTGTATAGGCAGGCATCCATAAAACTCATTAATTCATGGTGTTGGATACTGTTCAACTCCACACAAAAGGAACATGAAATGGAGAAAGGAAACCAGGAATAGCAAAACAAGGGACGCTTCTTGCGTCTCTCTGTCGTCATGATTGTCACGGCTGCCGTAGCATTACCACCGTGTTCAGTCTGCCCAAGAACTTCAATCACAAAAATATAGCTGAGTGGTTGTTGAGAGAGCTAGCGAAGCCCAAACCCGTCCAGCAGAATCCAAAGGTGAAGAAAAGACGTAAAGAAAAGAACATGGAGCAAGCTGCCAGTCGGGGGTCAATCTCGAGTGCTGCCACGTTAAACCCCTCGAAAGCGTGTAGGAGAGAGGCTTTTCGCAGCACCCTCGGATAACGTATTGTAAGAAAATTTGTCCCGAGCGGAAGCGACAACTGTGACGTCTGCGCCGAGTGGAATAGACGTCTTCCCGTAGCGAAGCATCCGACGGTTCGTTGTGTTGATCGCAGTGACCCAAGCCTACGACCCTTTGCTCCTCTTCCGATGACCGCTGCGATGGCTGTGGCCGTGGCCACTGGTGCCCGTGCCGCCGGGGTGCGACTTCTTTGCGTCCCAGCAGTCGTCAACGGCCTGCTGCACGATGGGCCAGTCATCGTAGAGAATGCGACCGACGAAGAGCACCTTCACGTTGTGCTCAACGGTCACGAGCTTCGAGTAGTTGACCCTCGACTCCTCCGAGATGTGCTCGCCGGGGTTCATCTCCATGCAGATCGGTTCGAACCTGAGGACCGGCTCGTTCGGCAGTCTGACCGGCTGTTGGCCTTTCTCGAAGACGATGCCGTGATGGTGTGGCTTGACGCCGTTCTTCAGGCACCCGAGCTTTCCGTACGTCAAGATGGGTCTGTTCAGGATTTAGCAACTGCACACTGCGATACCGGCTGGTCCAAACGAGACGTCTTACACGCAGCTGCAATGGCCCTCGCCATTTCTGATGACAATGAAGCGCCGGAAGCCTGTCCACACCCCACTCATATGGTCTTGCAGAAGAGTATCAGAAAATCTGCTTCCCCCACCGGGGATGGTGCCTCCTTTTGGCTCGGACCACATCACTTTGAAAACCTAGCAACCTAGGTTAGTGAGGGGGAAGTAAGTAAATGGACTCGCGAGGCGATCTCACATTTCCGGGCTCGAATCTCATCGAGGGCTCAACTCGGTACCCTGAAAGTGTTAGGCCTACTGGGCTTGTCGTTCGATCCTGATGTGATCTATCCGACTTACTGCCGTCCAGATATTCTGAATTTGCCGGTATGCCTCTGATGACATCTGACTTCGTCGATTTCGAATGACTCTTGGGCGACGCTAGGTCGTCGCCAGCGGCAGTCTGGTATGTGGAGCCTCGGTCTGTGAAGTTGTTAATCAATTAACATGCCAAAAATATTTGTCCTTTATCACTCACAACCCGCCGACGGCCCTCCACCTCCGCCTCCTTGCTCGTACATGCCCCTGGTGAGTGATTGCAGGTCCCCGTCGGTGCTGCCGACAGTGGCGTCAACGGAGATGTCGGGAAAGCTTCTTGGGGCAGTGCCAGTGGGACTGGTGCCGAAGCGCGATGCTTGTGTATGCTCGAATAAGTATGACTGCCTGAAAATATCACATGTAGTGACTGACCTTGGATGGGCGCTTGTCCACCTTGTCCTCCATAGCCACCCTGACCTGCATATGAACCGGTCCCGTGGTTGCCCGCCGCCGGAACCATAGTGGGAATAGTTTTGGTAGTAATCGCCTTGTGAACTTCTGTCAGTGCTAAGTTGTGGCACATTGTATGCCAACGACTTACCCTCCCCGCCGCCGCCGCCACCACCGCCATATGGATCCGCTTCCGCTCGGCCTTTCCCCTTGGCTTTACTACCGTGTTTGTGCTTTCGTGACCTGTCTTGGGCTCTGGTGTCTGTGAAGGTCGAGTCCACTGAGATCATGTCAGCCCATGACGATTACGGTGGTGGGAGGCAGCGCCCTTACTGAGCGTAGACGACGAGACACTGTAACCATCACCGTACAGTTGATTACCCCCAAGTGCCCCGTAGAAGTTGTTCCTGGGTGCGGTCTGTTGATCATATGGAGACGTGCCAGGCCCTGGGTAGGAAGGTGCAGACTGCTCCCTCATCACACCATCATACTGTTGTTGGTGACCTGGCCCACCTGAGCTCTCTGATTCATAAGTGCGTTGGGTATGGCTGTCCTGGTAGTGCGCATCGGCTCGGGTGCCTTGTGGGGAGGTGTCTGGGCTCTGGGAATACAAGTCAGGGCCAACCTGCTGCGCTCCAACCGCGGGTGCCGCTGTAGTTGTTGGGCCGGCTGTTCCGTATACAGAGGGCCGGCGTTCAGACCAAGTTTGTCCCTGGCTTGGGGCCGCTGATTGAACTTGTGAGCGGTCCCGTGCTGATCAACACGCGGATTGGGTGAAGGTAGGAGGGAAGGATGCGTACCTGGGCTGGACCCACCAGGCTGGACAGTCGTGTAGTGTTGGGAGTCGCCCTCGTAGGACCCTACAGGCTGGATGCTCATAGCCTGCATGCCCGCCGCAAGGGCCGAGGCATCGTTACGAGGAGTCACCTGGTAACTAGTCCTCGGGTCATGTTGAGCCGCTTGACCATCATCAACCGGGGGGTACTTTCGAACTCTGGATCCATCTGAAGACGGTGGAATTAGACTATGGAGCGTTCTACGTCAAAGAAAAGACGAGGTAACAGAGTCGTGAGCGCACCAGACCTCCGGCCCTCGTAGTACCAGCGGCCTCTTTGTTGGTCGTAAACAGGCTTGTCGTAGTTCCAAGTGACAGAGTCATCCATGGTCACATCTTGGTTCGCCCAGGCCGGACGAGCGAGAGATAGATGACCATGTGACACAACGGAGAGAGGAAAGTGACTGTCGGCACAGAGATTTGATGGATCAGGAAGACACAGATAGAACCAGAAGATTGAACAGAGGAATTTGAGGGGTTTGGCCTCCAGATTAGGAACGGAGTGGGACCCGTGGTGATCTGCTAGTCTGGCATTCGCAGAGAAGCTCACAGGTGGAGTGGGTCCCAGGGTCTCATTGATATGCTGGGTGGTGTCTCTTGTACCTGCGAGGGGGGGATTTTGAGCCGCAACTCACCGGTCAGGGAACGGGCCTGCGGCCACAGGCAGTGTGTGGTGTCGCGGCAGGATCTGCGGCAGCGTCACTGCGAGCAAGCAGAGCGTTCCAGCAGAGGGCCGGCGTAACGGATGAGCTGTCTGTGGCGGTTGTGCGTTCAGAGAGCATATCACTCTTCTTCAGAGGCTTGAAGCTAGGCCGGAAAGGAGCCGGGCCAAGCGCATGCATGTTGTGGACCACAATCCGGGACTTGACTTTGCTTGTGACTGTGAGGCACTGCGCAACACCCAACCCCACCCTCTTACGATCCCGCGCCGACGCGTGATCCAGCGGCAGCCAATAGCCTCCTGGATCAATATTCCGGACAATCTAAAGGCTCGGGGCACACCCCCTGGATAGGCGAAGCGGAGACGGTTGACGGTCAAGGGCCTATCCTGCCATCCTGCCCATCCTGCCGTCTTATGGCGGGATGGTGGTGCCGGGTGGAAGGCTGTGGGTGGTGGACGGGTGGGTGGCCGAGTGAAGCGCCCAACAAGCCTCCAATCCTGTGACATCCAGAGCAAAGAACGTGGGATGTCATTTATTGGCCCAGGATCTGGAGCCACCGCACCTCGAGATAAGCGACAAAGAGAGGGGCAGCCCTGTCGCTCGGCGCGTTGAACCATGCATCTCTCCACAGTGGTGAGTAGCTGGAGCCGAAGACCCAAACTGTTCTCATCCGGCTCAGAAGCACGGGAGCCCGTAAGTCTCGAGAGGAGAGGCAGACCTGGGCTGACAAGCTCTGAAGGGAGAGGGTGCGGCACAAGAGGGTGTGGCGACGCCAATCCGGTAGTGTGTCGGACTGCGGTTGACTGGCTGCCTTGTGTCCCTTGTAAGCTCCGTGACTCGCATCCGCAAGCAAGCAGGCCGCACAGTCCGCATGGATTGTGCAACTCTTCGCGCGCCTACTCGGTCTTGAAGCCTGCTCCATCCACCGAGCCCCACCACATGCTGCAGAATATCCTACGGCAGTATAGGCTAAGAGGTCCTACTGAAGCAAGTCATCCCGTAGGAACAGTACGCGGGTGACATCCTCAGATCCTGTACCGATGTCGATGCGACCCCTGCGAACTGTGCTGTGCAGTAGTGTCCTGTAAAGCGCAGTACAGGAAGGTAGGAATGGGCTGGCATCGGCTTGTGGCCCTTCGCGACGAGCAGCTCCCCAATCGGTGCGACGAAAGGAGCAGGCTGGGGCTGGCTGGGTGGCGTCATGGGCAAGGATCCGCAGTAGCCGGTCGAACAGGACGCTGGCCCCAAAGCCCGCGCTGTGTCGCACAACGGCCAGAACGGTTGACGATTAAGCGGGCAGGTGGGCTGTCTGCCGAGTTGATTGGAGGCTCGGTGATGATGGTTGATGGCAACGTGTGCTAATTTCTGCGGCGCATCATCTCTTCTGCTCTGCTGCTCTGCTGCTCTGCTGCCGCGAGATGGCTGCATCCTTGTCCGGGCAGGAGCAGTACAGGGGCACCCTTTCCATATTTTTAGCTTTTCCAGGCGGACGGCCCGTCCCTAACTAGCTGGAACCTGGACGCGGCCGCCTTGGACTTCAGCGATGCGTTCGATGCTAATAAGCAGACCGGGCGCCTGACAGCCAACAACACCCATCAACATACCCCGGGACTGCCTCTGCTGGCCCACTTCACGTCCTCGATCTTGCCTTCGGATGTCATGACACATCCTGCTACCTCTGTCTCCGCCCCCGCGCTTCCAAGGACACAGGCCTACCCACACTTCCTTGCTCAGACCATGAGCATGAGCCCAACGTCACATGGAAGACAGCGAGCCCTTCCGATGGCTTCCCAGGATTCCGAAGCTATCGCGACGACTACCACTTTCTGTTGGCACAATTCCTCCGAACCAGCCACAAGATCCACCAGAGAAGGCACCGCTGAGCTCTTTTAGAAGCTCTTCCGTGCCTCCATCTCCACACCCGTACCTTCCGGAAGGGAAGCCGACATCTATTCATCACGGGCTTGCTGGTCCAAGCTTAAGTCACCCTGCTTTCCAGACGAGCGTGGCGGCGGAATCAAATTGGTCCTCGAGCGATGCCTCCAGCTCCATCAGTTACGAATCTTCGTCGTCCATCAGCGGGTCTCAGCTCCATATCGGCATTCCTTCCCCTGTTACAGTTCTCCCAAGGTTTGATACAAGGGCACGCTACCCATTAGAACACGGAGACGACTTTTCATTCGACACACAAAGATGTGGTCCCTCGGAGGATAGATGGAGGAATCTCGAGGCCAAGAGGGACGAGGTCCGAGGAATCCGTGCGGACATCGTGCGCTTGAGACGGAAGGCACAAAGAAGACGAGTGCGCAAAGATGCTGCCGACAACATCTTCATGTCTTTTTTGCGGCCTCTGCTGGTGTATAGCGCCAGCACAAACTTACTTGCTACGTCGCATGCTCGCCTGAGGGAGCTTTTTGACCGCATGCAAAAGGCACGGGACAAATGTCAACATGTGGAAACCACCTTGGAGTCACTGGAGGAGAAGCTGGGTCACAGGGAGGATCAACTTGACTCTGCAGAAGATTCACTCATCAATGATCTCCGTCCGGGTGCCGAAACTACCGACAACGGCAAACCTCCAGAGCCTTTGAGCCGCCGACCCCCTTCTTCTCTCCCGCCTCTACTCCTCGGTATCGGCCCAGAGAGACCCGAGGACTTCCACCCTCTCTACAAGAAATTCATGTCAGCGGTCGGGTACCTCGAGCTCGCCGAGGAGCACCACCAAGATCTTCTCTTCCGAAAACAGTCCATCGAACGCGAACAGGGTCATCTGAGGCTTGCTCAAGACTACCGTCCAACCGAGAACAACGCCATCAACAGGCAGCTCGAAAACCAGGATTTGAAATTCCTCCGCGATTTTGATCTTCACATGAAAGAGAACCTCCTCGAGATGGAAAGACTTTGTGAAGAGGTGGAACGGCTTCGACAAATATGTCAGGATCGAGGCGTGTTTCCCAAGCACGCGCCTCTGCATGAGGCTTATAGATTTGAGCGGGACCTTGGTGACGACCTGCTTCTAAATCTCAGTCAAACCGAGGGCAAAGAGGCCGGTCCATTGTTCACCTCCCGTTTCGCGGTCCTACTCTACAGCCCCAACCACCTTATCGAGGATACTCCGATTACAGCAAAGGCAGCTTTGAAGAGAGCCGTAAGCGTCAAGGATGGCGATCCCCTCTATCCATTCAAGGCGGAAATGTTCGCCGCCGCCGCCAAAGAGTTTCTCATCGAGCACCTTATCCAAGATGCCAATGAGTCCGACAAGACTGACTTTATCAACCGCTGGCTGCTACACAGACTGAGGACTTCTGCCGTCGAAGTGGAGCTTCTCTACTCATTGTTTATCTCTTCCTCTTCCTTAACGATTCTCAACATGGAACAGTGGCAACAGGACGTTCTATTCTACTGGACAAGGGATGAGCAGGCACGGCTTCCACCCGAGCGGTACATAGGTCCCGTTACATCGGAGTACACGCAAGGGCAATCTGTATTCACCGAATCGTCTGTCAAATCCAGCCTGCAGAGCGACCCACCCGAAGAGCCCTCCACGGCTGCACCTTCAACACCATGATGTCCGCCTTTGATTTTCCTCCTGAAAGGGAGGGTTGTTGGAGGTATGTTTCACGACATACCTTCACGATACGTTTTGCTGCCACACGGCCGAGTTCCAGACTTGGCAAAGGCGCCACGAGCAGGGACCCGCTCGACCGCCTCAGTGAGGATACAATGTTTTGATACCCATTCAGCGGCTCTCTCTTCTGCTTGTAAACAGTTCTTCGTTATTTCCTAATCAGCGAGGCGCTTGGGACTAGCGTGGGACTGCAATCCATAAACCAAAAGCGTGGAACCCCATTTCATTTTTCTTCATGAGATACCCGGTTGGCAGTTGGCATTACAGGTTCAGTGGTACAGCTTCCACTGCACATATTGTATTCTTATGAAAACATTGCTCGAATAGAGAATTGGGTACGCCACATGTGATGAGAACATGTACATTTAGATGAGCAGAATGTCACAGAAGGTACATATCGCCTAGCATCCCTTGATCAATTTCAATCATCTTTCCGCAGTCCTCCCCAAAACCCCGTTTTCAAGTGTTGCTGCTGATATCAATTCATAATACGAACTCGACCCCTTTTCTGGATCGCGAACATCGAAAAAAGAAAGTGGCTGCCTTGTTTGCCTTGTATACGACCGAGCGAAAGTTTTCCAACCATCGCCTCCCACAACAAGTACCCATGACCACGCGGTACTCCTCCGAACCTTCACAGTCGCCTCGCTTCCCCTCAGCCCGTGGCGGTGGTGGTCGCACCCGGATGGGGGCCACAAAGCCAGCCGCCATCACGCAAGTGCCGACCACAGGGGGCTCATCTATCTCTCACCGCAACCCGCCTCGCCAGCGAATGAGAAGCCTGGTGGGTGACACATAGAAGGGGGTAGCGCGTGCGGTCGCGCAGTGCCACCATCCTCTCCGTATCTCCCCAATAGCCGGCGCCAGTCTGAGCCTCAATATCACACCTAGGGAGAAACCGGGACCAGCTGCAGGCCAATGATGGCACGGCGAAGAAGTTGTTGCCTTCTTTCCTGTGGAAGGGTTTACATCACGAGGTTGGTTCGCGATCGAGGTCAGGCCACGGTTTGCTACCGTACCCGGCTCTGGGCTGCTTGCAAGGGAGGCTGGGCCATGTCATCAACAGAAACGACAACGCCGACTTCAGGCAAACTAAATTCGCCAATTTCCACTGACATTTATGTTCAGGGTTGGACAGGAATGTGCACTACTCAGTTCGGGAAAGCCATTGCATATATGCCTGTAGCTTTGCTTCTGGCCCCGAAGAAGAAGGATGGGGGGGGGGTGGGTGGGCACAGTCAACTGTCAGCTTCGCCATTCTCGAACAGACTCAAACTTGCCACGACCGTCCAATGTAGTTTCATGGCCTCACAGAAATGTACGTGTTAGATGCGCCATCGGTGGGCCTTCCGCCCCGTTAGCTGCGTTGTATGTGAATGCTCTGCTCCAGCGACCCACCTCAATCACTTCTGACAGAAAGTTTCCACCTCGAGGTATCCCTTCTAAGTAATTTTACAGAACCCTGGTAGAGTTTAATTAGTTCATGTATTGAATCAGCCGTCGTTACGAACTGGCCCTCTAGGGCGGCACCGGCGGAGCGACCCCTGCATCAGATCCGGCAGTTGTGCAGGAGAGAAGCGAGATCAGGCATGTAGTTCCTGAATTGCCCCTGGATTCCCAGATCCAAGAGATCTCCAAGAGATCACAACGGCGGCCTTATTATGAAGCCAAGCTTAGTCTAGGGATACCTGCATGTAGTGGCGTTCGCCCGGTTAGAATGGACCACAGCACACTTCCTTGAGCCGTAGTACGGAAATGAAGCTCGTTGAGAAAACATTTATCACGCGGAAAGGTCGTATTGTGGGTTTCATGTGGATTTTTGGTCTATCGTATGAAATTTAATTCGCTGGTTGATACAACTCAACAGTCCACACATGATAATACTGGCGCTTGTTTGATATCGGGGGGCAGAAAACATATCTAGCACTCCCAGGCGATCATCACGACTACGATCTTTCTTTCCAAAGATTCCTGAAACGCTTGACTAAACCGAAGCACTTGCTCGCCTTCGACTGGGAGAGCCGGCGCAGCCTCGACTTGAGTGATGGCTTCCCAAAGAACTTTTCGTCGACATCCTCTATGCCACATTGAACTGAGAACTTCTTCTCAAGTAACGCTGTACGGCTGGTGAGCAATCTCTCGTCTCTCAAATGAAAGGACGAGTGCGAGTATGGCCTGGTCTTGTCTTTGAGAAGGAGATCGAGGAACTCACCGGCGTAGTCTCGGATCGTGTCCGGCTGGTCCTGCTCGGTGCTCCACCGCTTCGAATCCCTGGCAAGCGATTTTACAGAAGCCGACGGTGAGGGGGTTTCGGTGTTGAGATATCGCTCGATTGGACATAGAGAACTGGAGCACTCGTACATTGAAGTGCGAAGACGTGGTAGAGTCGGCTTGCGCGAGAAACGCAGAGTGTCCACGGACACGGGTGCCTCGACCGGCCTGACAGCGCGGATCGTCGCGTCGACGAACCTGATATGCTTGCATGGGGAACTCGTCGGAGATGTGGAATCATCTTTCTTTCCGCAGCGGCCGGACGTCTTGCTTGAGGGGGAGCTGGACTGCCCAGCCTCGGACAGAAGTGTGTCGAAGGCCTCCTTGTCGTCATCCTATGAGCAGCAAGCCGTGTGAGACCAGGCCGTGCTGGATATATCACTCTGTCCGTCGTCACCGGCGCCGAGTCTTTCTGGCTGTGTGGTAGCATCCGCCGTAGATAGGAAGAGATTCGTGGGCCTGGTTTCCTTGGTTAAAGCCACCCGTCCGTCTGATCCAGGGAATGAGGCGGCTTTTGGTGAGGCGTTGGGCGGCGTCGAGTAGGCCATTCTGCCGAGTGCTGAAGTGGGTGTCTGATCTGGTAAGTGTCAGGTATCTGAGGATGGAGTACCCCATAAGGACAAGATTGGAAGAGCCCTTGAAAGTTTGCCAAAGAGCAGAAGCAATGGAAATATGTTGTTGATTCGTGGGGTGACTGATGGTGTTGAAGCTGGCCCAAATTGTTGTTCAGGCATGGCAAAAGTAGATACCGGCGGGATCATGGTGTTGATGACTTCAGAGGGTTATAGGCCTCCCGGTATTCCAAATCCATACGAAGCAGTTGCATGCTTGAGCGAGGAAGGCGCAATCTAGGCCTGTTTGACAGTACCACGGCCGTGAGAAGGTGGCAAGGACTACTATCAACGGTCAGCTGCTGCTGATGAGTCTCTTGTGGAAGTGGGTCAGCTGGCACACAATGGTACTTCTTGTTGGATGCTGAATAGAAACCAATCCAGACTGACCTGACTTTGGCTATCAGAAGAGTACCCCTTTCGGTTTTCTCAATAGCCATATTGCTTGTTGAAATTGAGGTAGGCTCCGGAGACTCACAACATTGGTACCATGTAGTGTAAATTGGGTGTGTATAGCTTGGATGATTTTACATTTCCGACCAGATGGCTGGTCCTCCTACTCCTCATCGACCCTTCCCAAGGCCTGGCCCATTTTGACCTTCTGCCCCTTCTCCACATTCCAGACCCACCCGCCCTTGAGCTTGCCGCTCTCATCCTCCTGGCCCAGCGGCGCCTCAAAAACCATCACGATGGTGCTTCCCAGCTGGAACCCGCCCATCTCCTCACCACGACGCAGCGCGTGCCCTTGCAGCACGGGACTCGCCATCTGATAAGCCGCCTCAGAGAAGCCGGTGTACGGCTCTCCTCGTGCAGCAGCCTCCTCGGCCGCGCGGTCGGCCGCAGTGTCCGTCGTCAGGCTGTTGGTCCGCAGCTCACGATCGAAGTTGATCTTGATCGACCCGACGTTGGTCGCGCCAACGGGCACATACGAGAAAAATCCCCATCGCCATCTACCCAGAAGCACCACTCGCTCATTGAGCGTGAAGAGGCCAGGGAGAGTACGTTGGAGGTACGGAGATACGCTATACAGCTCGCCAGCAAAGTGTCGTCGCCGCTCAACAACCCAGTTCGTGGGCGAGTGGAATCGGTGGTAGTCGCCAGGCGCGAGGTAGATGACGGCGTAATACAGCGAGGTGGGGTTCTCCTTGGATAATAGATCATACCATGGTTTTTCGCCGAGGGCGAGATCCGCACGGACTTCGGAAACGGATGTTGGTGAGGCGCCAGTGGACTGATCTTCGGGACGGCCTTTCTGGTTCTGGGATATGGCAGGACCGGTCAATAGGTTTGGCAGGGTGTACGAGATGCCGTTGACACGGGCGAATTCCTCGTCTTGTTTGACGATCTCCTCGTTCTTGTGCTTCTCTTCGGCTGCAATACCATCCGAAGCAGGTGTACTAGTGCCGGACCTTATGCTTGGTGTTGGCGTATTCTTGCCGAGCAAAGCATCGATGCTGTAGGTCATACCTTTGACCTGCTCGATATCACCTCCCTGGATCTGGCCAAATTGCAGCACCTTGCCGTCTGAAGGCGAGAGCAGAGCGTTGGGGTTGGGATCCAAGGGGCGGACACCAGGCTTGAGTGTACGGTAGAAGAAGGCTGCGAGGTTGGGATACACATGCAAATCGGGCTCGGAGACCTCGTCGAGGCTGGACAGTCGTCAGTCGCTTGAACTGGGCACACCGCGAAGAGGAGCGCGGACTCACTTGACGCCAAATACCCAAGAATACAGCTTGAAGCCAGGAACACGGAAGTAGTAGGGAATGTCTACCTCGTTGAACCTTCCCCACAGCCTCGAGAGCGCCTTGAGAGGCAAGGTGGACATAACGCGAACCTGCCATGGGCCCTCGGGTCTCACCCGAGGGCGCCTCATGGGCTTCTTCTCGAACTCTTCATCCTCCTGCCTCTCTTTCTCGCGCGTGTAGACCTTGTAGCCCTGCACGAGTCCCAAGAAGCCAATGCCAACACCGACCGGGATGAAGTACCACTCGGTCTTGGATTTGCCCAGTGCCATCCGTAACCTGGACGTGAACCTAGGCCGCTGCTGGGACTGCTGCGAGTATGCGCGGCGGCTGGCGGGGCCGAGGGCCGATTGGCGACTGGGAGAGATCTGCCTCGGCCTCACAACTGTCTGGTGGAGGGCTTGCCGGCGAAAACAGGCCGGACAACGCAGGACGGCAGCAGACTCATCGAAGAGCCTACTTCTTGCGAGGCCGCTGCCAAGAGACCTTGACATTGAAGCCATCTTGGCCCAGGAGGAAAGCGGCTCGACAGATCGAGCCGACGCGCAGGTGGAGATTTAAACAGGACGGGGAGAATCCTGGCTTATCGATATCGATATGGGCAGGCCAGACCCATCGTACGATCAGGGGGCCTGGGGTTTGCGGTGAAGGTTCTTTGGCTGGGGAGGACTGAAGAAAGTCAACAAAACACAGCCAGTCGTGTCGAGGTGATGAGCACTTGACAAATGGGGCTGCCGAGGCGAGCTCCTCCTTCGCGGTGTGCGCGTGTGAGCTTGCAGCTCACCTGGACTATAGTAGGGAACGACATACCTAATTTATGACGCAGCTCCTGCAGCCAGTCCCAGGCCAGGTCCTGGAACGGTCTGCCCAGCCTGCCAGCCTGCCTGACCGTCCGTGCCTTCTAGCCCGTCAGGTACCTACCCGGGGCTACAGGACAGGTACCGAACCGGTGGAAATGGTGGGCTACCTTTTCTGAGTGGGCTGCTGCTCGCCGTTTCAGGTACCTCGGATCCTAGGCCCGTACTCCATTTACCAGACGGACTCCAGGGCTGAGTGGAAACGTGGCATCGGACATACAGTCATTATTCAGGGCCCGGCAGGCAATCTGACATTGCGAATCGCTTCCTCTGGACTTGGCTCCACGCATGCTCAGCCCAACACCCGAACGCGCACACACACAACACATATACGGATGGACTGGACTGGGCGTCGAGATTGTTCCTTTCCCTCCAGCTACGAACAAGCTGTCCTTTTACCTCCCCGGAAAGAGACACCACCAAGTCTCATCAACAAGTAAATCCCTGAAAATGCGATCCACTGCTTGCCGATGATCCATCACTCCTCCGAATCCCGATCCATAACTCTGTGCACGAGCCTGGCAGCCTCACTTGGCCCCGCCCTGGACCGCACTGGCGTGAGAAGGGTCTGGCCTCAAAGCTTGCCTGAAGTTCGCCATCAGTAGTACAATTCCATACAATACCACGCATACGACATCATCCTACCTCGTCATCCCATCGATGCCAGTGGAATCTAGGGAGTCGAACGACCTGAACACCCGCGAAGCTATTTGTAATGGCTGAAGACGCGCCCTCCTCGTCGAATGCCCCTTCCCCAGGGGAGAATCCGCCGACTGTCAACATCTCGATCATCTCCCCTTCGCTCGCTGTCAATGCTCCATTGAATTTCGCCGGCCTCCCGGCCTCTACGACCGTCGGCCAGCTGAAGGAGAAGATCCGTGAAGCGTTGGATGCGAAACCGGCCAACGAGCAACAACGTTTGATCCATCAGGGCAAGTTGCTGAACCGGGAGAGCGAGACCTTGTTGGACGTTTTTGGAGAGCAAAAGGTACGGAAATTCTCTCCTGCTGTCCTTCTTGGAGAATATTCATCTGACAGGCCGTACACAGCTTCGCGGCTCGGACCAGGTGGCCATCCACCTCGTGATCCGGGACTACGTCGAGCCTCAGCACGCCTCCAGCCAGGGCGCTCCCACCCGTGACCAAAGTCCTGCGCCGAATCCTCCTGCTCGACAGAGCGCTCCTTCTGTCCTCAATGCCGCGGCCACACCTCATCACCATCACCATCCTGGCCACCACCACCACCACCTACCTCCCCGGTTTGGAGGCCCAGCACCGCATGTTGGCCAAGCCCACTCACCCTTTCCCGCACACGGGCTGGGGATGCCGGCGGCGGGGGGCCAGACAAGCGCACAACTTGTTGCCCAACAACAACAGCTGATGCAACAATACCTCAACCAGCTTAACCAGCGACCAGTGGGACACCATGGTCAGCAACCAAGGGGCTCCGTCGGCTTGCAGGGTATGCCTGTGCCTGGCCAGGGAAGAAACAGTCCTCACCCAGAGTATCAAGGTTACGTGCGGGAAACTGTCGGGCCGAATGGTGAAGTCGTTCGCGTCACGATGAACTCAGCATTCATCGCTCCAAATGGGCAGGTTTTCCCGGTGAATTTCCAGAACCTACAGCACGGTAATGGAGGTGCTGCTGCACCGGCCCCCGGGGGCCCGTTTTCGACGAACGACGTGCAAAACATCATTCGCAACGCTGATGCCAGCCAAGCAACATCCATGATGACCAACGCTATGCATCGAAGCGCGTCCGGCGCTTCTCTCGCAAACCTGAATTTGAATGGCCAACGGCAACCGATCCAAACTCCTGGGGTCACAGTGCCTAGAAGGCCCGGGTCTACGGTGCCTCTGAGCAGGACCGCCACACCCGATCCCACGAGGACTACCAGCCACGGTAGCGTCTCGGCGCCTCCAACGAATTCCGCCCTGAGAATGCCGACTCCAACGCAGCCTGAGGTGTACATACTGAGCTCGCCCCAGGGGCCCCGAGCCTTGCTGGTCAACAACCAATCGGACCTGTACTACACGCCGGCACCACGATACCCTGTGCCTCCGGTGATACCCAATTTCACGTCTGCGTGGCTCCAGCCGCCCCAGCCTCACCAACGCCCAGGTTTCGTTGCCGATCACGCACAGCAAGCCGCCCACCCGCAACCTGGCGCCGCTCGAGCTGAACAGCAGGCGCCACAGGCTGGTAACGTCAGAGTAAACATCTTCCAAGGAGGTGCACAGCAGCAAGACCAGCAACAGCAAGCTCAAGCGCGCCCCCTTGCACCAGGCGGCCCACAGTTTCATCCTGCTAATCCAGAGGGTGGGCTGGCGGGGGCACTACTCGCCGCGCTTTGGCCGCACCTATGGCTGTTGATAAGACTGGGCGTCTTTGTGTGGTGGTTCACGTCTTCCGATACGAGCTGGACGCGTTGGTTCACTATCATGTCTATCGCCACGGCGGTATTCCTGATCAACACGGGTCTCCTGAACGGGGTGGCTAATAACGTTTTCAACCCCGTACGCCAGCATCTTGACGGACTCATCCCTCTCGCCCCCGGTGCGAATGCGAACCGCGAGGCAGGAGGCAACAACCCGCAAGCGGCGGACCAAGCAGCACCTGGAGGTGGCGGCGACAACGACGGAGAACGACGACCAAGACCTGGACAGCAAGGCGGGCCGGATCCCGCGCAGGCCGCTGCGCGATTGATAGCTCAGCGACAACAGCACAATGCGAACTGGTTCGTTGATCAGGTCCGTCGCCTCGAGCGGGCTGGCCTCCTCTTCCTGGCCAGCATCGCCCCAGGGGTAGCAGAGCGGCACATTGCGGCATTGGAAGCCCAGGAACGGGCAGTGGGGGAGCGTAGGGAGGCAGAGGAGCGCGCTGAACGAGAACGCAGAGAGGCAGAGGAGCGCGCGGCCGCGGAGGCGACAGCTTCTGGGACTGATGGTGCTGCTGCGTCCAGCGAGACACAGAACTCAGACTCTGCGGAGACTGTAGGCGGAGGAAACGAGCAGCAGCAGCAACAGCAGCCGCCCATCGCTGCGGCCTGAGGTCCAGTGAATGTGTGATTAAAAAGAAGATTTTCGCTTCGAAGGTAAATTGTATTAGTAGTGCGATTGATGTCAAGTTAGGGAGGGACGCCGAGATATCCTGCGCGAGCACAACAGCGCGAACCATTTAGCACGGAGTTGAAGGGCCAAAAATCACAGACAACCCATTTGCGGTGCATGTTCTCGGACCAGGCAGTGTGTTTACTACAGACCATAGATAATTCCGAGCACCCAGGAATCCGAGGGGCGGTTTGACAGTAATGATATGTATTTACACCACCGGTCGCAAAACCAGAAAGGGATTCAGTGCTGCGGACCAGTCTCCAGTTTCGCCGCCAGCTTTAACCCCCGGCCGGCCTTGCACACCCCGGTCCCTGTTGGCCGGCTGGAGAACCGAGCCTCGGTCCAATTCCCCGCAGACCGTCAGTAATCCGGGGCCATGTATCTATTGTACCACCTCACCTCATTCCACCTGACAACTACACATCCGACGGTTCCTAGTCCCCATATGTTGCAGCTCATTTGATATATCTCTCGTCCTGGTTTTCAATTGTGGGAAGACTCGGCACCAATTTCAGGTCTGCACCAAGAATTCGATCCCGGACCACCCGACTTCACTGCATCCTCGCAACGGTGAGTCTCGGTCCCGGCCGGTCACAAAGTCTCGACTGACCTGTAGCACAAGAATTACCTCGGCGCTATAACTTGTACCACACGAGCATCATCACCCCAATCATGGAAGATGTCCAGATCCAGGACTTCTCCTCGCTCTTCAGCGTGAAGGGGAAAGTTGCCGTCGTCACTGGTGGCTCCCGAGGGTTGGGTCTGACAGCCGCCTCAGCGTGAGTTTTTATGATAAATAGGACATATTGATGGTCCCGTAATTTCACTGACAAAACCCCCTCAGCCTCCTCCAAGCAGGCGCCTCCAAGGTCTTCATCACCTCCCGCAAGGCCAAGGCCTGCGACGAGGCCGTCGCATCCCTCAACAAGCTGCCGAACCTGTCCCCGGGGGCGCAGGCCATCTCGGTCCCCGCGGACAGCAGCACGGTGGAGGGCGTGCAGTCCCTCGTGGACGGCGTGAAGAAGCACACGGCCCACGTGGACATCCTCCTCGCCAACGCGGGCGCCACGTGGGGCGAGGCCTTCGACACGCACCCGGACAGCGCCTTCGCCAAGGTCATGGACCTGAACGTGCGCGCCGTCTTCAACACGGTGCGGCTGTTCGCGCCCCTCCTGCAGAAGCGCGCCTCCGTGGGCGACCCCTCGCGCGTCGTCATCACCTCGTCCGTGGCCGGGTTGGGCGTCGGCACCCTCGGCGCCCAGGGCACGTACGGCTACAGCGCGTCCAAGGCGGGCGTGCTGCACCTGGGCCGCAACCTCGCCCTCGAGCTCGGGCCCCGCCACATCACCGTCAACAGCATCTGCCCGGGTTTCTTCCCTACCAAGATGTCCAACGGCCTGATGGAGATGTCCGGGGGCGTCGAGAGGCTCGCGGCGGCGAACCCCATGAGGAGGCTGGGAAGGCCTGAGGATATCGCCGGGGCCATAGTGTATCTGTGTTCGAGGGCGGGGAGCCATGTCAATGGCGATGCCATTGAGATCGATGGAGGGGCCTTGTGGCAGCGTGGGGAGGTTATTGCGCCGGCTGCGGCGAAATTGTAAAAAATAGCAGTGGATGTAAGGTGTTGAATAATAGGCACGTATTGGTTTTCTCTGGTGTGATAATGTCAATTCTGTGCTCTGTCTGTATCAAATATCAGATTCGTTTCGTCTCCAGGTCTTTCTCTATGTGTATCTATTATGCAGTTCGATTCCATTTTATCGAAAGCAACACAAGTACTCCTCTTGATCTGAAGGGGCAGGTGTGGCTGTTCAAGATTCCCCCTTGATCTACCCCTCAAACACAGATGTGCTTCAGTCTCCGTCATTTATTTGGTACAGGTTGGTCCATCATTCACCTGTGACAAACACTAAAGGTGATTGTCAGGATCCCATCATATCTGCATTCCCATCCCACCGTCTGCGTGGAGCGAGAGGCCTTCAGGGCACATTGTCCCACTCCCATTTCCTCTCTAGCCCAAGACTCTTTCCAGTGTTCAAGCGAGCCTGATATCGATACAACGACGCAGTATTCACATAGAGTCAAGGTCGTCACAAAGATTACCCCCGTTTTCCTCTTCGCATCATCCGCCACCACATCTGAGCGGGATTCTGTGTGTTGTCCTGTGACTTCCGTTCTGGAGGAACACATGGAGGTCCGTGAGTGGCCTGCCGAGGCTTCCAGTTTCCCCCGCCTGAAGGGGTAGCCATCGTGACTGTGGCTCGCTTTCGCTCCACGCTAGACGGCTGGTTTGCGCGCCACCCAAGAGGACGCGTGGTAGACGGTCTGGAGCATGGACTTGGGGTCCTGGATGTAGGGAGCCCGGATGCTGGTCTCCCAGGCCTCGACCTTGAACCCGACCTTCTCAACCAGCGCCCTGACCTCGTCGTCAGACAGCTCGAAGTTTCCCGGGTCCGCTATGCCTGTCGAGTTGTTGGGGTCGTGCTCCCCGTCACCGTCGTCGTCGTGGCCGTGGTTGCCGGGAGCCCGGTCCTCGAAGTGCCAGAGGAGGGGGCCAATGTTGACCAGGATACCGCCGGGCTTGAGGCAGTGGAAGATAGTGGCCAGGTAGCGAATGAGGTTGGGCGCCGTGTCGAGGAAGAAGACGGACGCAACGGCGTCGTACTGAGCAGTGTGTTCGTCGTCGCCATAGAGACAGAGGAAATCCGACGCGCACATAGACATCGCCCCCACGCACTCCGTGTTCGCGAGGACAGTAGCAGGATGAATGTCCGGGATCTTGTAGCTTGTGAGATGGCGATCTCTTGTAAGATGATTGGAGAAGGTATGAACCCATGGGAATATCGTGTGCTGCCCCGCACCACGACAGTTGTTTAGTATATAGGAAGACGCCAATAATTGGTGGTAGGAGATCTCGTTGCCTTCCGTTTCAAAGCCCTCGAGGCAGAGATCAAGGACCAGCCGGCCCAGACCAGCCCCGGGGACGAGGACCTTGAGGTGCTGGATTTCCGGATGCCTGCTTCGCTCGGCAGCCAGGGCTCGCTTGACGGGGCCGTAACAGGCCTCCCTCTCCTCTGCTCCCTCTGCAGACCAGTCGCGATAGAACTGGCGGATCGTGCTCCTGGCTTTGTCAATGTCACCGTACTTGGCGACCCCAACCCACTCCTCTGGCATGGAAGGAAAGTCGCCCTCTGACGAGGTTTCCTTCACGGCCAGGCTCCTCAGCCCATGCTTGACAATGCCTCTGGCGAGCTCAGCGTTTGAGTCGATGGCCGCGTCAACCTTGTCAAGGGTCTCGAGGTAGTTGAATGGCGGGGCGGCCAACATTTTCCAGTGCGCCTCTGGCAGCGCATAGAATGACTGGCGCCGCAGGTGGGTACAGTTGAAGTGAGCCACCCTACCATATTGCCTGAAATAGTGTGAGCTTCCAGAGTTGTTGGGGTGAGAAGAAGTTGGTTGGGGTATAGGAGAAAAGCCAACGACGAATACAACAGAGCCCTAGAACAGAACGACAGACAGACAAGCAGGCACAAGAACAGCCGTGAACATGACAAAAAATACAATTGCAACATCAATCAAATTCAGTACGAGCCAATGTCAGTTCTCTACACGTAAAACGAGCAGATAGTGTGGCCCGCCAGTGGAAAAGAAGCTCAAAATTGAGGGGGCGGCAGTGAGGGGCACTCACAGAAAAGAGTCGAGGGCGCAGAAGATGACTCTGGCCTCCTCCTCGTCCGAGACGGTTTCCTCCAGACCCTGCCAGTCACGCTCCTCTGCAAGTGCTGGGTCGGCCATGGTGTCAGTCTCTAGCGTGCTCGCAACCATGTGTTGAGGTTGTGAGGTTACTTGGTGCTGCAGTGGTCGAGTCGTGGCCGAGGTCCTCTTGAGCCCGAGTCTGGGTCGTGCCCGAGCTGCTTTGGTGTGGTAAAGTAAGTCGGACAGCGAAACCGGCGGGACAACACAGGCCTGGTCAGTCACGGAGCACTCGGGCTACCGCTGCTGAGATGCATTTTGAAGGGGAGCAATTCAGACAAGATGGACAGGGCGCCCAAGAGAAGAAGGACAAGGAAAAGTAAGAAGAAGAAGGGGGAAAAAAAAGGAGAGCGTCTATGTCAGCACAGAAGCAGACATATTCGCGTTCTTGTTCATCTGCTTGTTGTTTTCCCTCAGTGACGACTTCCCCAGTGCCCAGGCCTGCGTGTGTCGGCATGCTGCAGCTCCAGCCTACCTGGCTCTGCTTAAAAGCGCAGGGGATGAAGAGCTGTTAAAGTGGGTCACACCCGCTACAGGCCCCTGTGGGCTAGGGGCAGCCTGCAAGCAGGGGAGCTCACTGAGGTGCTGCCTGTACCCCTAGCCACTGTGAGCATCCAACCACCTGGACTCCAATCTCGAGCTTGACCAGGCCAAGAAGAATTGTGCCGAGATCGTCGCCTTGGCTGTACATCTCGAACAACTTTATTCATCAGTAGGAAGGTGTTCCCGCACAACAAGCCTAGACATTCGTGGCTCTCAGGCTCTAAAGCTTGCCGCGCGGACTTATCTCTCGTCAGCTGCAAACCAAACCCCCAACGGACGTCAGCATTAGCATTGGCGATGGAGACCTTCCAGCTTTCTTTTCCCCTGCCACGGTCCCTCGAGGCCCGGATCTATGTCCACCTGACCATCCAGGCCAAATCCGTCATGATCTTCTTGACAACCGCGGCGGGGGATGAGCTAGGGACACCGCCTCCCATGGGCTCGTTCGTCTATGCCCTTCCAGACGTGAGTTGCTTTCGCCCTTGCGGCGAAACCATACCACTCATCCCAATGCTGATCGTATATCGTTCGTTAGAAGCTCAATCCGGGCCAGCCGCTCTCCACCCCGCTGTACACAGCCGGGTCGTCGGAGGAGTTCACAACGCGGATGGCGAGGCTTTTCGCCAAGAAGACCCAGCTGCCCGTCTACGTCACGAGCTCGATGAGCTTCGCGAGCACGGGGCTGGGCGGCACGGCCGAGGAGGAGATGGAGGCGTTCAGGAGGGTCGTCGAGGTCGTCACCGGGAAGCTGCAGGACGTGCTCGGCGTCACGAACGGCGTGTCGGCCTTGTCTGTCACAAGCTCATGAACCCTGCCCACGTCAACCTTGCTCAGCCTGAGCGAACCAAAATATCATGGCGTCCACTTCCAGTGTCGGCTCAACCAGGGAGGCAGCATGGCGATGCAATCCAGGCTAAATGTGCTAGAAGGTCCTCCTGCCGACGAGGGCTGCATCGTATACCTGGCGGGAAAGGGGAGTCGGAGCCGGGGCGTGTGCTACGTTTACTCGGCAGGCTCGACCCAGACGCCTGCTACGGTGGCACTCCCGGGTCATCGACAAGCAGTCAACGCACCTGGCCGGGTGGCACAGACATGGCATGTGGCCCCAGATCTCAATGCAGCGGAGGACAAAGTATTCGACGGTGCAAGCAGTCCTAAATACGAGGGACGAGGAGTTTCGTCGCGGGCCTCCTGCGAATCTGCCCTGGTACGGAAACTTCTGTCACTTCGCTTGGAAATACGGGCCTCCATTCTCTGTGTTCCTTGGAAGTCCTTGCGCGGCTACATATCTGAAGAATGCACCTGAATTGGACATATTCGGCTGCCCCCGGGCTTTGGCTCTGGAGCTCATCACGTTAGATGTGAAGCGTGACCAAGAATAGATCGAGTCTGCCTTTCACCGTTGTGCTCCAGTTTGCACGGCTGTAAAATAGCCAGGCAAGGGCACAAGTAGATACTTGTGTGACCTCATCTGGAAAACTTGCCATGATCAGCTACGCTCCATCTCACATGGCCCACGAGATTATCTGCGGAAAAGACTATAGATCAAGTTGCCCAGGCCATACAACGGTGTTAGGGTTCCCGTGGGGGTCATACGCTGGAAGATGCCGCTGAGAACAGAGTGCCTAGAAAGGGCAGGAGATAGAGTCAGGCGGAGGATCACCTCATGGACTAGGATCTTGGTGTGTTACATCCCTGTGCAGGCTGGGGGTGGGTTCGGCTGGCAAGCAGCGACGCTCTCTTCAGCAGAGAGCTTCATGAGTATAAGCGAGAGAAGCAGTACGGAGTGATTACTACATGGGCACTGAGTGGAAGTACCAATGCTTGACTGCACAGCAAGATGATGATGACAATGCTCAGGTGGCCGGCCACCCTCGACTGAGCCGCACTGCTGACCGGTCTCGTAGGCCCACAGGCCACGGGCGGCGGAGACACAAGGAAGCAGCCCGGCCTCTTCGGCCAGCAGGATCATTCCCGACCTTCTCTCGACGCTCAAATCGCCGGAATGGCCCCCAAGTTGGCAATGGGAGGAGAGTGGGAGAGTGGGAAGTTCAAGGAGGCAGGGAAAGGGGCCCGTTTCCACGCCGGATCCTGCAGAGCAGCAACAGGCCTCCTTCCCCTTCCCCACCGCTTTGTTTAGTGGGGTTCAGTACATGTAAGTCGGTAGGCTACGATTGTTGAGGTCACACATGCAGGTGGCACGACCTGGTGGCTGCTGGGCATGTGCATCCTGTCCACGACGTCGACAGTGCTACCAGAAGAGAGCCAGCAAGAAAGATGGGGAGTAGATTGCTGTGACACGGCTCACAAGAACACGATGCATGGACGTTTGGATGCTACGTCAGGCTGGCAGGCCGGTGGAGGAAGACCGGATTTTCAGGTATTTCGACCAGCAGCGGCAGCCGTGGTTGGGCCAAAGTTGCTCAAGACGAGGTAGGTTGGTGTGGTGTGGTGCTGAGAGACTCAGTGAAGGCACAGACAGACGTCACTGTGTCTCATCATACTCCTCTGGGATTGAAGACGGGGTTGAAAATGGGGTCTAGAGGGACCAGGCCACATTCTGGTCAGGGCAGGACTTGAGGGCCAAATCCGTGGAGCCTAAGAGCAGAGGACAAAACAGGCCCGGCCAGGCTAAGACAAAGACACTTGGAGAAGAAGGCGGGGAAGAAGAGTTGAATCTGCAAGCGGGAGAGAGAGTAAGTCCGTTTTGGAGAGTAGTATGCTTTGCTATACTTGCTGCACGCATCGTACGGTACAGACTTGCTCTGGAAGCATGCCCGCACCCCCGGACAGGCAAGGACAGGACAGGATAGACGGGCACATGGACAGGATGGGAGAGGGAGGAGTCTTCCTGTGAGTGTCAGCCAACCTCCCCGTCTTATCGATAAGGCTGGCTCAAACCGACCCACTTAGAATTCTTTGCCATCTATTTCCATCCCAGCTTTTGCAGACCGGCCGGTTGAATGGGGGTCCCCAATGGAGTGCAAGGTTCCAAGGTTTGCAGCATGTCGCCAGTAAAAAAAAATAAAAAATAAAAAAAAAATAATAATAAAAATTATCACTTCAGGGACTGCCGACCGCAGTCTCCATCCAAGGCCAGCAGGCCTGGAATCCGCTGACCAGCTGGCCCTTTCTAAACTTGGACACCTCCTGCCCCGACAGTATGTAGCAGACCCCTGGCAGGTACCGTGGGCCGGCAAGATTGTTGTACTGTATCTGCATGTACCTACATGCACACATGCTAAAAACCCACAAGCACTTCAAACTCAATAGAGACGAGCTGTGCAAATAATTCACATCTACGCAGCTGTTCCCTTCTTAGCGAGCAGTGTGAAGAGAGCGCTTGTTGTATATTGTCTTTTCTTTTGTCCGACTCAACTGTCCCTATTAACTGTCCCCTGAGGTGTCTGAGGTGTCGGTTTTGAATGAACAGGCTGTGCCTTTCCCTTCCGGTGCTGCAAAGAACCTGCAGGCGGTCTCTCGGACCCGTGATCCACTAACAAGCCAAACCTTACCCCACCACCACGACCACCACCACTCCCACTTCCACTCCCACTACCGCTACCGCTACTGCTGCTACTACTGCTACTCCCATCACTGCATCTGGGCAGACTGATGCGCTTCTGACGACGACCCACCCCGTTCCAGTCTCTTTCCCTCTCTACCAACTCAGCACTCTCGACAGCCCTGCACTGCGCACCTGCGATCACAATAGAAGAGCCTGCAGTCCTCCCCATTCTGCAGCCCACCACCAGCTAGCTGTCCTGGAGGAGGTGCCCGCTGCACACCCGCCCTCATCATGGCGTGGCAACCGTCCCCAGAGTCTCTCCAGACTCTGGCCGTTTACCTCAAGGACTCCCTGAGCGGCTTTGACAAGACTGCCCAGAAAAAGGCAGAGCTCGTAAGTCACCTGGTCCTCCCTGCTCGAGTCGCAGTCTGCGCGACTCCCAACGAGAGAAGAGCAACCGTGTTGACCCGACCCCCAGATGCTGTCACAAGCCAGGAGCTCCCCAGACTTCAACAACTACCTCGCCTACATCTTCTCCAGCTCCCAGCTGCCCCCGGGCCTCAACTTCTCCCCCGAAGACTACAGCCTTGTCCGCTCCGCCGCGGCGGTCATGCTCAAGAACAATGTCAAGCTTCACTTCAAGCAGATTGAGGAGTCCTCGTTGAACCTCATCAAGTTGGCTGTACCCATGGGTATCCAGGACAAGGCCCCCCAGATCCGTAGCTATGCCGGCAACATTGCCACGGAACTCATCAACCGGGTCGGCATCTACGGCTGGCCCGAATTCCTGCCTGAGCTGCTCAAGCTGATCGGAAACGAGTCTGGTCAAGTTTCCCCCGAGGGCCAGGAGGGTGCCATGGCCGCCATGGCCAAGATCTGCGAGGACAACGCGAAGATGCTGCAGCGCGAGCAGAATGGCCAGAGGCCCCTGAATTATCTGTTGCCAAAGTTCATCGAGGCAACAAAATCCCCTCTGTCCAAGGTGCGGGCCCAGGCGCTTACCGCTATCAACGTCTTCACGCCGCGCAAATCCCAGGCCATGCTTAATTGCATAGATGACCTTCTCCAGCACTTGTTCGTGCTGGCCAATGACCCCAGCGAGGATGTGCGACGCCAAGTCTGCCGATGCTTTGTGCAGCTGGTCGATACTAGGCCCGACAAGCTTGTGCCCCATATCAGTGGATTGGTGGACTACATAATTACGCAACAGAAGAGCGAGGAGGAAGAATTGGCCTGTGAGGCTGCCGAATTCTGGCTCGCGGTCGGCGAACACGAAAACCTGTGGCAGGCCTTGGGCCCTTATATCCAGAAGATCATCCCTGTGCTTTTGGAATCCATGGTCTACAGCGGCGAGGACATTGCTCTATTGGGCGGCGCATCAGATGATGAGGACGAGGAGGACCGCGCCGAGGACATCAAGCCCCAGTTCGCACAGGGCAAGTCAGCACGCAAGCCTGGCGCTCAACAGTCCGCTGACCAAGCGGAAAACGGCAATGCATACCAGAAGCTTGCCAATATGGACGATAATCTAGAGGAAGGCGAGATCGATGAGCTCGACGAGGACGGCGATGAGAACCCCGACGAGAGGTGGACACTGCGCAAGTGCTCCGCAGCCGCCCTGGACGTTTTTGCCCGCGACTTCAGGGACCCAGTCTTCGAGTGCATCCTCCCGTACCTGACCACACATCTGAAGCATGAAGAGTGGCCGCGCCGCGAAGCCGCAGTTCTTGCCCTTGGTGCAGTCGCGGAGGGCTGCGTCCAGGTTGTGACGCCCCATCTGCCGGACCTGGTGACATACCTCATCTCACTTCTGAACGACCCAGAACCCGTCGTGAGGCAGATTACATGTTGGACGCTTGGTCGATACTCCTCGTGGGCTGCGAATCTCAAGGAGCCTGCTCAGATTCAAGCATACTTTGTCCCTATGATGGAGGGCATCCTACACAAGATGCTCGACCCGAACAAGAAGGTGCAAGAGGCTGGTGCCTCTGCGATGGCCAACCTGGAGGAGAAAGCCGGAAAAGTCCTGGAGCCATACACGGGGCCGATCATCCAGCAATACATCCGGTGTTTTGCCAAATACAAGGACAAGAATATGTACATTCTCTACGACTGCGTGCAAACGCTCGCCGAGAACGTCGGGCCTGTCTTGGCACTGCCCCAGCACGCAGGTCAGCTAATGCCTGCGCTGATTGACCGATGGCAGAAGGTGTCGGATGAGTCGAGGGAAATATTCCCACTCCTAGAGTGCTTCTCATATGTCGCTATGGCTATGAGAGATGAGTTCGCTCCATACGCGCATCCCATATTCAGGCGCTGCGTGACCATCATCCACCAGAACCTCGAACAGACAATGGCAGCAAAGACCAACCACAACTACGATCAGCCAGACAAGGATTTCCTCGTCACGAGCCTCGATCTCCTCAGTGCGATCATCCAGTGCCTCGAGGACAACAAGGCGCAAGAGCTGGTCAAGGATGCACAGCCTGCGTTTTTCGAGCTGTTGAACCTCTGCATGGGTGATCCTGCAGATGAGGTTCGCCAATCAGCATATGCCCTGCTCGGCGACTGTGCCAAATACGTCTACCCCCAACTCCAACCACACCTACCTTCAATATTCCCCATCCTGTTACGGCAACTAGACTTCGACAACATTGTCGACGAGGAGATCGATGGCTACTTCAGCGTTATCAACAATGCCTGCTGGAGTGCCGGCGAAATCGCCATCCAGCACGGCAAGGGCATGGCGCCGTTCGTGTCTGACCTTATGGAGCGCCTGGTGCAAATAATGGCGAACCCGACGATCCCGATCAGTGTGAACGAGAACGCCGCCATTGCGCTGGGTAGGCTGGGCCTGCAGAACGCAGATGCTCTGGCGCCCCACCTGTCAACATTTGCGGACGAGTTCCTAAGCGCGATGGTCGAGCTGGACTGCACCGATGAGAAAGCCAGTGCCCTTAAGGGGTTCACGATGATCGTCGCACAGAATCCGCAGGCCATGGAGAAGAGTCTGCTGTCATATTTCATGTGCATCGCACGGTACAACACTCGACCCCCGAGCGACATCAACAAGGAGCTGCACGAACTGTTCCAGAACGTAAGTCACCTTAGCATGCGCGTCTCCAAGACACATTGTGCTGACGTCACTCTTAGATCATCAATGTGTACAGGCAGATGATCCCACAGTTCGACCAGTTTACCAACCAGATGCCGGCCGAGGAGAAGGGGGCTCTGAAGTCCAAATTCGGCCTGTGATCTTGGCTCCTTACCGTATGAAACTTGACAAGCTTTTCAATGAAACTATACTACGAACCAAATGAGGGAATTTGGATTGCTATGATCAAAGTGGAGACCAAATATCGGTGTCACATGTCTTGCTGAGTAGACGAGGCCTCGAGTTGGCAATGAGGCCACTATTACGACGATGGTAGTGGCCGGGTGGTCATGTTCACACCAACAAAAGACGATGTGTCACATCTGCATAAAAGTGGGTGTGGGCTGGCGCCCAGAGATGAGACTATCAGACAATGACAGGCTTGAAATGAGGAGTACTGGTGGAAGAGCGGGAGCAACGACGAATTGCAATACGAACTTGACGGACGGCATGCGTCAACGACGCAAAAGATCTAACGCGGGATGAAAGGCGCGGATAACCCATCAAAGGCTCAAGCCGTCAGTGGGTGGGTTGCCAGAACGAGAATGATGGATGGGTGTGCTGCTACTTGCTCTGGGAGGCGGTCGGCTGTTTGCCAGAGGGTCGGGGTGAGGTTGGCGTCGTCCTCTAACTGTTCCTGGTGTCAAGCAAGGCGCTTGTGGCTTGAAACCTACCCAGGTAGGAGGCGGTGGGCGGAGCGGCCGCGATTGCTTATAGTACGGCGAACAATCTTTGTCCCGCGCGACAACCGGGCGGCGGTTGCAATGCCAAAGCAGAACCAAAAACAACTTTTAGATAGTCTCGTAGATAGAATACCGGTGATACACATCATCATCATTATCAACTATTTGCCAATTACTTGCTTATAGCAAGCTGGACAGGATGTGAAGAGTACCAGGTATGTAGGTCTCCGTCCGTCTGTGAGCACTAGTGACTTGAATATCACATAGGCTTGTGGGTACTGCACTGGATGTCTCGTAGAATGGCAGATTTGAGAAATTTCAAGATGCCCACTTCTCGGCTTTCTGACTAGGTTGAATTATTCTTTCGCAAGTGAACATTATCTGGAACTGATATTTGTTCTAGGCGTTCTAATCTAACGGGAAATCATTACGGGAGTCGGGGGAGCCTCAAGACGATAAGTGCAAGGACTAGGACAGGTGATTATGCCATGCCTTCCAGAACCACACAAGCATCCACCAACTCCAACACCATCTACTGGGAGCCAGACACTCCGAATCCGCAAGGCCCTTAAAACAGCCATGGATACAGCCACGGGACCCAAGTACACACCATGTTCCTCAACAGCACCGGCCCGCTCGACCACTCGACGCGGGCCTTGCCCCTCGACAGCACGCTGACGCTCCCGCCCGCCCAGCGCGCGGCGCCCTCGTCGGCGCACTGCACCATCCCTCCCGCGACGTCCAGGAAGCTCACAAAGGTCTGCGACCCCTCGGTGGAGAGCTCGTGGCCGCGGCGGGAGTCCGTCGAGATCCCTCCCGGCTTCACGAACACGGCGTCGACCCACCCGGACCGCCGTTCTGCAGCGACTAGGTTGCGGCTCCTGCCCGCAGGAGCCCTAATAAAGAAGTGACATGCTGTGCATCAGATACACGTGCGACAGGGTAGGAATTATGGATTTAGTGCCAGTAATTTCCTGCGACCTTTACTCAGGCCCTCGGACGGAGCGAAAAGCAGATGTCCGAATCTATCCGTGATGTATATTAGTGTGGACTTTTGAGACTCACGCGAGTAGAATTCGATCACGCTTGCAAATGGCATCATGTACCGATCGGAGAGGTATTTCCTTGCAGTGCCCACATGTTATGCTCAAATCTGCAGGCAAGAGTAGAGATCTCGTGCTTTGACACAGCCAGGAAGTTTACGGCTTTGCTGTAGCCCCCGACTCATCCTTCCCCTCGGCCCCGTTCTCCGGATCCGTAGCTGCCCTCGCCTCGAACTCCCCCCCCCCCTTTTCCCCCCCCCCCACCGGCTGCAATACATCCAGATCATGGCCGGGCGGCCTATCCACCCCCCAGTGTAAACATACCGCCTTCCCTCATCATCGCCCCCGCCGCCCCCACTCATCCAGTCCGCCCCGTGCACTAACACGCCGGGCCTCTGCGCTTCGCTCTCCTCCGGTATGACGTCGTCCCGCTCCGGGTCCTCAACGTGGACGCGAGGCGGCCGCCCGCCCCCGTACAGGAACCCGCCCAGCCCCGCGACGAGGTCCTCCTTCGTGACGCCGGCGTCATTCTCGAGTCTGACGCTAGGCTCGACGTCAGGCAGGCAGCAGGGGCACGCAGGCCCGGCGGTGGGGCCCTGAGCGAAAAGGTTGACCCAGAACGTCCTGCTGGGCGGCGACGTGAGATGCTGGGGGATGCTTTCGTCCGACGCGACCCTCTCGCGCAGCCGCGTGAACACGCCGCGCCAGTAACCCTGGAAGTCGTCTGGCGAGGTCGAGTCGAAGACGGGGCTCTTGGGGAAGGCGGCGCGGGTCGCCTCGAGGACGGCGTCGACAGCCTCGTGCCACGTCTCGACCACGGGTGTTTGTGCGTCTAGGTCTGGATCGGCGGGAGAGGCCGTTTTGGCGTCTTCCTCACTGCCGTCCGGCCCCGCCTCCTGTGCGACTGCCCGAGCCACGGCTGGGTCTCGAGGGCTCATAATGGATGGCGAGTTACCTGGCCCGGTGAGTGTGGCATGACCTGCAAGACCAAGATACTGGTAGGGTTTCTTATTCATGGAACTCTGAGGGCATCGCAGGCTGCATGGCCGTCGGCCTCGCGTGAGGCTGGGTCGGGTGTGCCTAGCCAGCGCCCCAGTCAGCCTGCGGCGCAGCGCCATATTGTCGTTGTTGCAGAGTGGAAATCCCTTCGCGGGACCCCGTTCCTGCGTTTGGCCTCACAGGACTCACATACCAACCATACGTCTGCGCCGCATGCTCCTGCCAGGGGCGGCTCCAATGAAAAGGATGCATCCACGCACACATCCTTGTTCGAGTAAGACGCCAAGTTGCCATAAGGCTGAGACAACGACACCACGTAGAATGATGATCTGAACTTGCTTCATAATACATTGCAAAATATCTGGTATATATGGCTGTCATCCTCTCCGCGCCGAGCAATGCAAAGCGACACAACACAGAGATTCTAGATCTAGGCGTCTAAGCCCTCTAGCCTGATCTTATATTTCTCACCCCTTAAAACATTTCTCTCTCTCTCTCTCTCTCTCTCTCTCTCTCTCTCTCTCTCTTCCCTGGATCTTAACCCATCTAAGCAGCGCAGAACCCCTGAAACACCAGGCTCGATGCCCTCTCTCTAAGCGCCAAAGGTCTTGAACTTGGACTCGATGGGCGCGTACGTCTTCTCGCCGGCGGCGCCCGTCTTGCCGCCGAAGACGAGCTGGGCCTGCAGCTTCCAGCTGGCGGGGACCTTCCACTCGGCGGCGACGCGGTTGTCGATCAGGGGGTTGTAGTGCTGCAGGTTGGCGCCGAGCCCCTCGGCCTCGAGGGCGGTCCACACGGCGAACTGCAGCATGGCGTCCGAGTGCGCCGCCCACGTGGGGAACCGGTCCGCGTACAGGGCGAACTTCTCCTGCATGCCGTTGACGACGTCCTGGTCTTCGAAGAAGAGGACCTGATTTGTTTTCAAAAGTCAGCCTGGGGTTCTACAGAGTAGTGAGGGGAAAGTGGGAGCTGGTAAGCGAGACTGGTGGGTGCGAAGGAGACGTACAGATCCGGCGGCGCCCTTGAACAGGCCCATCTTGCCGGCGGTGCCCTCCCACGCGTCGGCCGGGACGATGGGCTTGAGGACCTCAGTGGTGATATCCCACAGCTTCTCGTGCTCGGCGCCGAACAGGACGATGACGCGGTTGGACTGGGAGTTGAAGGAGGAGGGCACCTCCTGCAGCAGGGCCTTGACGATCTCCTGGATCTTCTCAGGCTGGATGGCGAGGTCCTTGGAGAGCGGGTAGTACGACCGGCGGTTCTTGGCGAGCTCGATGAGTTGCTGGGCGGAGGCCATCTTGACGGGTGTTGTGGTGGAGAGGCGGGGTGGTGGGGTTGTCCGGCGGGTTGCGAGTGAGGAGGTAGTAGCTGCTGCTGCTGCTGCTGCTGCTGCTGCTTGTCTTGAAAAGGTGGTGGTGGTGGTGTTGGTGTTGACAGAAGAAATAGTGATGGTCCTGAGAGGAGAGGGGCAGGACCTCGTGAGGAAGCTGGCTCTATTCATATTCTCGCGGCTCGTGGCTTGATGACCAACGGCTGACGAAGAGGGGTCCTGGTTCTGGGGCTCTGGGAGGGTCCCGCTTGCATAGATGCGCTATACACGGTCTGGCAGATTCTCTCTGTGATTTGTTACGGTACCGGCAGAAGATGGGTCTGGGTCCGGGTCCGGGTCCGAGAGTCTGTTCTCTTTTATGCGCCAGCCTGCCACTTTCCCACCCGGGGCTGATTGGAAGACTATAAGCACATGTAAGTAAGTCTAGCTTTGTCTATTGCTTCTTAGTAATGACAACCAAGCGGCCAATATCCTACAGATTACCATTCATCAGCCGTCAAAGTGCGGGCGTCGAATGCAGGTAATGGCACAATAAAAACCGTCGTTGAGCTCGTCCAGCTTTGGTGGGGTGTGCTGGGTCCAGTCTAGCTCCAGGGGTTTGAGAACAAGGGCGATGAGGTGATTGGCCGGCGCCGCGATTTCGAAGCAATTGGAAATCCACCGTTGCGGTCGAGGATGCAGATGACTAACGATTTGAAACCAGCTGCCGAAGAACAGCCAGCGCACCCCCACCCCGCCTGCCCAGGTTAGGGGGGCATTTCATCATTGTCGGCTCGGTAGACACATCTATGGCCTTTAATAAATTCTAGATACACAGCAGATTGAGCATGTTACCAACCAACCCACTGCCACGGAACCACACTTCCATTCCGTGAACTTCAGCCTCGTTCCGACGAGGTGGGTCCGCGGGGGCAGCATGCAACACGAATACGCGTTTGGGGACCCCTCGAGCTTAGCTCATCGACATCCTTCTACCGATTTCTGTCCATGAGTCGTCACTGCGACCCCGCCCCCCCCCCGCCAAAGTCAGTATCGTACCACACAGCATTAATGACTGACACTTTTTGTGCCCAAGGACCTTTTGCCGTGAGGAGGTTCGACCGGTGGGCCAGGCAGGTCTTTTTCCAAAGAGCCGACGGGGGCAGTCTTGATCTGATGGCGCCATGCGCCTGCGACTCTGAGCCCATGTCTGACTTGTGAGAGTTCGCATTTCAGTAGCGGCACATCTAGGGCTGGCAGTTCCAGATCCTTCGAGGACGTAGACTATCTTAGGCTTGTTCGATAACGTGGCTTGCCTTCCTGTAGCGATCGATCAATCAGATCGCCGTGTTCTCGCTCGTAAGGCGGGATCCGCCCAAGGGTTGATGGTTGCGTGCCCCACCATCCCACCTCCAAACCTGGCAGCAGCGGGCATGACAGTGGCGTGGCTTGGGACCTTATCAAACATCCAACAATATGATCGACGGTCCAGTGGGCTTTGTTTGAATATGTTTCAATCTCCCATTGACTGAGGCTGCTGAGCCTCTGTGATATATACCTAGGTAGATATACGCGTATGTATGTAGGCGTTGAAGCAATGCGTAAAAGGAAGTAACCCCTTGCGTGCGCCAAAGAAAATAAATACGAAAAACTCCAGAGTAACGCCGCTGAGTCCGGCATCCAATGATGCGGCCATTGCTTTTCCTCCTCCTATTCCTAAGTCCGTGAGGTCCTTGTGTGAATGATCCCATTTTGTTTCGCCCCGAGACGGAAATCAAACCCAGAGAGAAAATGAAAACCTAACACCGTAAATAAATGCTTGCGCCAGTGAACCCTGTCTAGTGAGTCTTTCTTTAACCCATCAAGCGCCCATAACAGAGAGACAGGGAGAGAAGGCACGTGTTGGCGCCCAGTGTGCTTTGTTGTGCCCGCACCACATTACCACGTCTCGGCAATGTACTGGCCGACTTGCTTCTTCAGGTCCCAGTACTTCTTGGCCTCGCTCCGGCCCAGGTTTCCCTTGCGCATGGCCACATCGATGAGCGACTCCTCCACGCCCTCGCCCATGCCCTTGCTGCTGCCGCAGACGAACACGCGCCCGTCGACGGCGTTGATGACGTACCACACCAGGTCGGCCTGGTTGATGACCTCCTCCTGCACGTAGCGGCCCTCGCCCACCCGGCTCTCCACCACGCGCTTCACCTCGTCCTCGTGCACCCCCCACTCGCCGCTGTAGATCTCGTCCACGAGCGAGTCGCGGATGCCCTGGAGCACCCACACCTTGTTGGCGCAGTTGGCCGTCTTGAGCCGCCGCTGCACGAAGCCCCGGAACGGCGCGATGCCCACGCCGGCCCCGATAAGGAGCATGGGCCCGTCCGACACGAACTTCTTGGCCAGCGGGTTCGCCATCAGGCCCTTGAACATAGGCACGTAGACTTGAGGGTTCTTCTCGCCCCCAGCCTGGGCTTCGATAAACTTGAGCGCCTGCCGTTGGAAGAAGCCCGAGCCAACACCCGTTCTTGACCCCTTTCTCCAGTCAGCGGACTCATGAACCGTGACTGCGATTTCGATCAGACGGTGTGTCTTGCCATCCCGGGTCTCGTACGAGTCGTGGGGGTCGTTGGACAGGGAGTAGAAGCGGGGCATCAGCGGTTGGAGCTGGCAGAGGAGAGCGTCCACGGGTGGCTTGGAGCTCGGGAACGCGTGTAGGAGCTGGGAGACGGAGACGTGGGGTCCCGTCCGGAAGTCGCAGAAGGTCCCCTGGCCCTCCGCGGAGCAGAGGTACATCAGGATCTTGCGCTCGTCCTCCTCGGTTGCGTGCTCGGCCAGGACGCGCAGCAGCTGCTTCGTAGGTGGGTAGGACTGGATGTCGGAGCACCAGGTCAGGAGGTCGCGACGCGTCGTGACCAGCTGCCGGGCCTGCTCCTCGCCCCAGACCGTGGGCCAGCGTCCCTTTGTCGTCCGCAGCATTACGGGCTTGTCACGCAGGAATCTTGGCACCATGAGGGTCTCAAGAATTTCGTCGACATCGGACTCACCGTTTGGCGCGGATATACCAATGGCTCCTCCAACCTTGAAGTCGACACCCTCTTCGTCTGGGTAATTGGTAATGTCAATGTCGAAGTGGAAGGTCCTCTTCTCGGCGCCAAGCCGTGTCAACTCGCGTGCTTTGTGCAAACGAGCTGGAAACACGTGGTGTGGAGGATGGGGCTGGACGAAGCTAGGAGGCTGGATGGTGGTGTCGAGTTCTTCGAGGGAAAGTTGTTGCAGGGTCTTTTGGGTGCTCTGCAATAGGGCATCGCTGACTCCATCGCTGCCCTCGGTGCCATGGGATGCAGTCGTTGGAGTGGGCGAAGGTACGTCGGATGGCCGCCGCAGTGGCTCCAGGAAGGCTGTCTGCTCTGGCAGGTCGATAACATTGTTCAATACGGTTGGGATCTCGTCGATCTTAAGACAGAGTGACCGAAAGGCGTCGTTATCCGGGTGCTGGACTTTTTCGTACTGAATTCCAGTCTTCTTTGCGCCAACGTTCAAACAGCAGCCACCGCCACAGCATCGTGCAGCCAGCTGTGCAGTCGATTCTCCTGTGATTCGCTGGACATCGGCAGCGCTCTGGGCAATGAGGCGCGTAGAGGCGCGCCTGCGTCTGGTCTCAGTGGTGGGATTGGTCTCGTCCACATCTTGCTCCTCTGCTGACTGCTCAGAGAAGGTAAGAGAAGGCGCGATGGAAGGAGCCTTGGGGCCGGTGGGCTCCTCGGGCGCACAACAGCTGGTAGACTCAGCCATGACCCGGGCAGTCTGTGAGTGCATCATGTTGGCTGGCGGAGGGGTTGAAATGGTGGTAGACGGTGGGTTCGAACTGAGCCCACTGGTTGGAGGGTAGAGACGGCTGTGGGAAGGTTGAGACTGGCGCAGATATGAATGAGTTGGCGCGGGTTGTGTTGGTGGTGGTGGTGTTGGATATCGGGTGTTAGTCTGTCGAATGCATAACCGTCCTTGTGGAGATGTAAGCTTTAGGAAATCAGACGGTCGAGCCACGGTCACTGTGGTTGGTATGCGGCGCGTATAAAACAAAAAAAGTAATCAGGGTTGGGATGATTTGAGATGGTGAGAAATCAAGCAAGCGGTCCAGTGCTTGGGCTTGCAGAAGATGCAGCACAGTAGGACACAACAAGGACAGACGGCAGTCAGGTAAATGTAGTTGCTTGGTCAGGAATTGGACACGGCTCAGGTGGTGAAGGGGGCAAGTGATGGTGGACTTGAGGAGTTGGTGACCGAGGTTGGGGTGCCTTTTGGTTTTCTTGGTCGCCCCGGTCTAGGGTGGCTTATCAGATCGCGTGCCCCGGCCGCCCCATGTCCATGATGAGCAAAGACTGACTTATTACAGCTCGCTCAATGACCATACCACCACGGCACAGTGCTCCGCACACGGTCCCTTGTGCAATGATGCTCCGATTGCCCAATTAGCACGGCTCCTCGGAGCCACTGTGCGGCTAAGCCTAACGAACGTTGGGGCGCCCACCGATGGTCGGCGCTGGCCGACAGTGGTCTTGCAGTCAAAGCCCGCCCCTTCTCCTCCCACTGGCCTGGGTGGACCTTGCTGGTGCATCACCCATGCCGGGCTCCACAACGTGTTCCTCTCCCTTTCAGCACCTACCCACACTCCCGGCCCGTTGGGATTGCCAGGGTCCCCGGGGGAAAAGGCTGCGTGTCTTTCCATTTCTCCTTAATTTTCTGGGGCCGTCAGGCCCTGCTCTTAATATGGAAGGCCACGAAGCCCAGCACGCAAGCCCCGCGGCGCATACAGTAGTGTACGCAACACGCAGCAGCGGTATGTGAGGCTCAGCGGTCGTGGACAGCCTGATGGGCTCTGTATCCTGTTTTCAATTGTTGCATCCAATTCCCCAGACCGGCCGGGCCCAGCCTGCCTGAATTGGAGCGCGCGCATCGCACAAGATGGCTGACGTCGTGACCACGGGGCAAACCTGCGGTGTGTGGGGATGTGTCTGGGGCGACAGAAGGGTGCTACAGTGCACTGTACGGCATCTAGACTAATCATCACCACCCTATCGCCTGACCCGGGACTGTTGGACCAGGCCTTGTCGAGTGTCATCTTTGGTCGGACTGCCACTGCATATTCTGCATCCCCAACGGATCGGAAGCATTGCGCGCACATGACATGTCATTGCATGACACGACAATCCACGACACTGCACTGCACCACAATTCATGACACGGAGGTGCTGGAAGTCAATCCCAGGCCGCGGATGGGGGAAGAAAAAAAACGGGAGCTTGGCATGTTTTGCCGAGGAGATGTGATGTCAAGGTCTGTTATTTTGGCAGGGCTGGAAGGAGGCGGAACGGGAGCGAGGAAAAACCTCGACTCATTTCCGGATCCGGCTCAGGTTCCCGGCTCTCAAGGATCACACCAGGCAAATTGCCATCTGTCCCTCCTCGGTCCGGGTATTGTGCGTCTCGTTTGTCTACAGTGCACACTATCTGTCTATTTGCCTATCAGTCCGCAAGAGAACTTCACGAAAATGGAAACCTCATCGGCAAGCAAGCGCGTTGCCGAGAGGAGGATTCCACCATGTCTCCACCATCTGACGATAGCCATCCTGATCCCCTTTCGTTATTTCCGGCTTCAAACCCTAGACGTCTCCCGTGCAGGAAACATTAACCATAATTCTAGAAGCGTCCCCACAGAATTAGCAACAGCGTTCGTTGACGTTGCCGAAGGCCCAGCCGAAACGTCCAACCGGCTGCCCTATCAGCTTTTCCGAGCAGCACAAAAGGGCGGGCTGCGCCGGCACAAAGTTTCCCGCAGCGGACCAAAGAGGAGAAACTTGACGCGCGAACGGGTGCTCCTCGGAGCCTTCCACCGCAGTCCGGGCTGGAGCCGGCAGACACGATTTGGGGGCTGACTGGCTAGCTGGCCGGCTGCTGCACAGTGCGACACGGCACGTTCGAACAAAGGCTAAATCTTATCTGATCCGCCACCGTCCGACATCGGGTACGCAAACATTCCCTCGGCTTCCTGCGCTAGCGCGCGTTGTACCGTTCCTTCCTCGCCCCCTCGAAGCTGACAACACTCCCCCAGGGGGGGGCTGATCGATCAGATAAGATTAGAAGCTGGGACATTCATTTCCAGCCATGTCACACCGACAACGTAATCCCGGGACACGGCCAACCGACGACCATCCTATCCTCCAGCTGGGACTGATTTGACTTTGTTGGGCCAATCATTCATCCTGGATGATGCGCCCGGCCGGGCTTGGGCGTTGAACGAGGGAGCTAGCAGGCTGGCTGAGAACCGAGTTGTCCAACCATCTACGCGTATTCCCTGGCATGCTATGATGATTGCTTTTTGTTCGCGTGTTCGCCCGGGGCTCAACCTCGATCCCCCCGTCGACAACCCTGTCTCCCCCTGAGTTGCTAGCAGCGGTCAACAGCTTTCGATGTTACAAACAAGGGCCTGGGACCACGAAGGTAAACCACGGCCAGCAACGCAGTGGATGCAAGATGATCGATACCACATTCAAGGACCCCGGAACATGTGTCACAGCAACACGCGACAGGGTGAAAACAGGAAAACTGAGCAGTCCTTCCGGAGGCCCCGTTCCTGGTCGTCAACATGTGGAGAGCCACGCATCTCCTTGCAAGTCATTATTTCAGTGTCCCATGGTCCATCTGGCTTGTTCGTTCCCACCGAGACAACACAGGGCTGGGGACAACCTGCCGTCGACTTGGCTTGACGTGTCAGCAGGATTTTCGGAAAGCGAAGCCTGTAGCCGACGAAACCGATCAAGGGAAAGGCTCACTGTGGCCCTGGTTGCCATTCAACCCGGGCGAGAGCTGCAGAAACAACACAGCTGCCGCAGAGATATCCACCACGGCCGAACACGGACATCGAGCTGACAACAACGGCTGACGCCAACAAGATACTCATCACGGTAGACAACGTGTAGTTTTCCCTCGGTGATCAGCAGCGGGCGCGTACTCTCGCGATTGACCGGCTTCCTCCCGTGTCCCGAGGCCCTCAGGAGACGGCCGGGGGACAGGGCACAACTGGAGAATTCTGGACTGTGACGGTCCCTCCTTAGTCTCTTGGGTAGGTGTGAGAGAAGTCTGTTGTTTTCCTTCCCGCAGTCGTGTCCCATTCCCGCTTTCAACACATCACACAGCACAAAGTGTGTCGTTCGCGTTGTCGCATCCGTTGAAGCCTTTAAGACACCGGGTCAGATTATGGAGTCATCGACGTTGTTCCTTTAATTGTCGCGTACGTCTAGCACTTGCCTTGCAATCCACTTCCCACGCTCATGCTATCGGCTAGCTTGAATACGTGATGCTCGAGTTTCCTTCTGAGTGTTGGCATATTCGCCCTCAGCCAATATTATTAGTCGTCAAGGGCCCAGTTTATAACCAGGCCCGCCCTTTCCTCCTCCCCTCGACTGTCAAGGGCAGTAGATCCCCCACAAGAATTGCGGTGGAATGAGGTGAGGGTGTAGATTCCAATGTCTGACTATGGGATCACTTGTTCTCGTCACAACGCCTACAGGAAACATTGTCTCCAACACTGTGCTGGCGGGCGGGCGCCAGTCCCCAGTTCTGAGGCCGGACAAGAATGGTGATGTAAACATTGCCGATGGGCCTTGGGTAACTCTTTTCATACACTTGTAGATAGTCAAGTTCTCCGTGTCATATCCCAGAATCCGGCAATTCGTCCGCTGGCACACTTGTGGACGTGGATCAAGAAAAGCGACGACAATGGTACGGTGGACTCGACGGAGGCTGAAGTCTCTCTCGCGCTTCTCTGTCAAGCTGGACGGACTACCATCGCGTGATCTATCCATGAAGCTGTTCATTGGAATGAGAGGAACACCTTGGGGACAGCGCATCTAAAGATGAAGCTGGTGGGCACTGGTCTCTTCTCTTTAAGGCTGTCCGCGGGGGAACAATTGCCCCTTTCGAGGAGCGGCCAGTGTTGCACCAGGAGCCGCTATACCGCCAGAGCGCGCAAGATGGTCGTTCTCCCCACAGCACGAGGCCCGATGATGTCTCCTCGAGAAGAGCTGGCGTGCGTCTTGAGTCACTCCCAGCCACCAGGCTGCTCAGCCTTAACCCCCAACGTGATCAAGCACCATTGCTTCTAGCCGATAAGAGTCGATGTCTGCGGATGCCCCTTGAGAGCGAGGACGTGCTGTGTAGTGAGTTTCCCACCCGCAACATCCTGTTAAAGAGGAGAGTCCAATCTTGACAATGCTCCGCGCCGGCTCTGACCTGTGCCGTCGATATTTCGAGAATGGCTACTGTCTGTGGTGGTGAGGCTGCCGGCTTCCATGGGGGGGCGTCGTCTCGCCATGGCTCCCGAACTCACATTTGGTTGTATCTATAATTGCCCCTTGATCGTTCTGGTCGTCCAGCTTGGACTCGCCAACGCTTTGCTTTTGTTGATTGGATCCCTCAGTCACAATGATCCCATTCGGCAGCCCTCATGGTGGTAATCGACCAGTACCAATCGCGACTCGTCAAGCTCTGCATCCACGGGCCAAGCTGCAGTGTCGGGCAGGCGGCTTCAAACAGTGTTACATGCTCAAAGCAGTACCAAGGCAGAACCAAACTGTTCAGCAGAAACGACGACACATCATGGGGTACGTCAAGCAAGCATCGTGACTCGAGTTGAGCTGTGTAGCAATGGTCTTCGTAGACAAATACCGCCAGGGTTCAAGTATCGCCCGGGCCGTACTGTCCGCGACGTCACCATTTGGGCGCAACGAATGTCGTACAGCGCACCGTTGTCACTTAGCGAGAGCGACACTCGATGGACCGAACCGACTCTTGTGTTTTCCCCACGTTTGTCTTCCTGCCGTCTTGGTTAGCATTGACAAGTTCCTGCAATCAATCCGAAGTCATGAGAAGGGACCAGCGGCTTTCGCTCTCACAAGCTTTGCGACCATCTCGATGCGGCAACGGATACGAGTGAAGGAATTACCCAGCATGGTAAAACGAGCACATGGGGGTGGCAAACCTTGGGGTTGAGCTCATTCCATCCCAACGAGAGGGCCTGTCATAAGGCTGGCCTTGCCTCGTGATGTATAGACTTTGACGCAGTGTCTTGTGTCCGTGAGCGTCCCGGTTTCGCTTTCGAGGCTCGCGGGCGGCCAGCCCCCTAAAAATAAAGTCGGCCAAGCATCTTGGTCGCAAGAATCATCCCGTGGAAAGCCTAGTGTCATCTGCTTGGCGCTTCTCTCCCTTCGTCTTAGGGTTAACTTTTTTCACTGACATCCGCAGAACCCAACGTGCCTCTGGGGGTGTCTGTTTGCCTTTGATGATCTCCGAGCGGCGTTGGGATGAAACAGGCGAGGAACATTTCCGAGAAACAGTGCGTCCTTCCGCCTGGGGATCACGCGCACATATATGTGTTTGCTTGCTAGTGCTTACTGGATTGAACAGCCCTCACGCTTCCGCTATCGTGGTGGAAAGAAACGAAGTGTGCGGAGGGCGCGAGGGCGAGAGATGTACACGTGCTGCCCACGATGCTTATCAAAGTCAAGGTGACAAGCCGATCTGATAGCTTGGGGAAGCCAAAACCTGACGGGCAAGGTTTCTTGTCTCCCACGATCAGATCAGCTGGCAGATCGAGCATCGATCTCGACAGATTGGGTAGCTCGAGCTGTGCAGGAGGTGTGCCAAGCACGTGAAGATCGAGTGCTTGGTGACGGGCCGGCGGATCTATGCTTGTCGTTCGTGTCACAGTCGATGCTACTTCCAAGATTGTGTTTACGTCTCAGGCCTCGGCAGTGGAGATGTCCCGCATGGCAGTCGAGCTTGTCAGCACTTGGCACCACCACGTCTATGCTCGAGGTCATTTTTTCCCCCAGCTCTGTTTGTCTCTTCCCTCCGTGACACACCACGTCGTGATATGCCAAGGTCGGTAGTTGGGCCCAGAATTGGTGATGGCGAAGACGGCGGGCCGCAAACCACCATGACGATTGATCCGAAGTGCTCCCAGCCTTGTTACCAGACGCGCGGGCGGGTCTGATACAGTCGTCACCAGGCCGTCAATGGATAGCGCGAGCATGTTAAGGACATGGTACAGCCTATGTCGGAGTTCCCGGCCGCACGGAGACAGCCGACGGAAGGTATAACCCTATTCATGTCAGGCAGACACCGCGTATCCAGGTACCGTAGCCTGGAACTGGTGACACATGCGGCTGAAGTTGCCCACCCACTCGGTTTGGGGCCAGCGGGCTAATTGGGATGGAAAGGTCTTGGCAGGAGCAAGTTGTATGCTTGTGACCGCTCATGTTTGGAGCGGCTAACACCGTTACAGCCGTTACCTTGACGTGCAAACCTGGCTCCAATTCTCTCACCCCGTTCGTTGGAGCGGACAGTGGTGTGGGTTTGCATTGCTGTTTGCGCGCGAGCATCGGCACATAATGCACATTCACGATTCGTGGGGAAAATACAAGACGAGTGCCGGGCGAAACCACGGCGAATTCTTGAGATGTTTGATGAGAACCAGACTATTCGGGATGCTTGGTCAAGTGACGGCAATGGCACTCCATTGATCACGGCTTCTGCTTGCTCCAGGCACTACCAAGTCCACGGTGCACCCTGGAACTGTGGACATGTCAAAGGTCCTCGGTGCTGAAGGCCTCGGTGCTGAAGGCCTCGGTGCTGAAGGCCTCGAGACTGTTTGGTTGGTACGGACGCGTGTGGCAGAAGGATGATCGGGCAACGGCCGAGTTCCGGAGATTCGGACAACGGACAGGAGAAGTCAGGGCAACCAGGAGGTGTGTGGTTAAGTCAGTAGCTGAGAAATGAGCCAGCTGGTAAGTAGCCTTGTGGGTTTGAAAGACGACGGATGTGGGGAAGAATTGTTACGAAAGCTTGTGTGGCTTGTTGCTGGTGGATTGTTGCTTATTCGTCCCTGGCAGGGCGAGGGGAAGCAGGAGGAGGAGGAGAGGCATCAAGAGGTGAGGTCCAATTTTACCGGTGATGCGGCTGCGACAGTGGGGTCAGGGAGGCTGCAAGCACATGGGCCAGGGAACGGTTCCTCTAAGGCTGATGGTCTCCACCATGCGGAAAATTCCCGGCTGTTAGGCAGGGACGAGCCCCAAGGTGCAGCGGGCTATTGCGTGCAGTCGGCTGGGACACGGGGCACTAACAGGATCGGCCGGCGTGGTCCAAGCGAGATCTTGAAGCGCGGCTGAAGCTGGTCCCGACACCTCCCCTGGCCGGCTCGTTTCAGATGGCAGCAGCAAATCATGTCGCACCTGCTGGGGCAGGTGCTGGGGGCAGGACCGACGACCTCCTTCCTGTTCCTGCCACAGCCTGCCACGGTGCCACGCTTGCCACGGCGGGCAGCCACGGCCAGGTACCCGCAGTTGGAGGAAACCCTTACTGCTCTCTTACTTCTCTTACATCCTGCAACGGCCGCCTCGGTCTCATCCCAACCCAGCTGGGACCGCGCTGGGACGCCAGGCCGGTACCAAGATCACTGTAGATCGGCAGCGCGATACCTGGTGCTCGACGCCTGCAGGTGCCAGCCGCCTTGCCTTGTCTGTCCTCTGAAGCGATGCCAAGCTTCCGGCACCACCATGGCCCATGGGGCCTCGCTGTCGTGAGCCCAAACCGGAGACACTACTACACAGACAGTGTAGCAGACCAGCGTCTGCCCTTGCCTGAAGCCTGTCTGGACTCTGCATTCTGCTGCAAGTCGGACGCCCTTCGCCATCTACGCTACCGCCAGTTTCCGCCGTTCGCCTTGGTCGCCCGATCTTTGGTTGTGCTGTGTGCTGTGCTGTGTGGGTTTCGTTTCCGTCTGTCTGTCTCATTATCCATCTCGTCTCCTCCACCGCCGTCATTGCTGTCGTACTTTTCCTCACCTCCACAGTCACACTAGGCGCCCTTCTCGCGCCCTCCTCTCTCCCCATACTTGCCTCTTTCAGCCATTCCAGCCTCATCGGGCCAGCATGCCTGTGCCATATTAGCAGACGGCCGCCGACGGGATCTCGCTTGGCTATCGATGCTGGGGTTGGATCGTTGCTTTGTTGTTCTGTTCTGTTCTGTTCTGCTCTGCTCTGCTCTGTCTGGTCCGTTCTCTGCCGTGTCGCCCCAGCGCCTCCTCCTATTACCCAAAGGAGACATCCTGGCTTCGACCGATCTTTTACTTTCCCTTACCGGATGCGATACTTCGTCATCTCTACTCTTCTCACTCCCAACTACACTCCTTCCGCTCAGCTTCCGGCTCCCCTTTCCTGGGGCAGTAGACGGCCTGCGCGTCCCTTTTGTATACCTACTTCCTGGCCTGCTGTGCTCGTGCCGAGCATCTTTGCTCAAACCTTCTTCAATCATCTCTTTTTACTGTAGCCTCTCGGATCCGAACACGCTTCTGTTCCTGCATCGTATACTTCGCACACCTTCATGAGACAGACCCCGCGGTTTCTCCAGCAGGCGACGACTTCGGCACGCAACAACTGGTCATGTGTCAAGCATCGAGTGTCACGACGAGTCCGATGGCAGCCTCACAACCATCCACATATTCACATTGCTGCCCCATCGCACCAATGTCCAACACATCATCGTCCCTGGGGCGGTACTTCAAGATGGAGTCGTCCACTGATTTCATATCATCCACGCCTGTGGTCATACGGAGTCAGCATCTCAGTTACTACGTCGCTATCGGCGCGATACTACTGGTGGCGTGGCTGTTCCAATCGTCACAAACGAGCAAGACGAAGAGCGTCAAGGCGCCGTTCTACAAGGCTTCAATATTAAAATGGTACTTCGATGCCGAAACTCTGGTCCGGGACTCGTACACAAAGGTACGGCACCCTCGTTGGCATTCACTATTCTTAATGGAGGTGGCTAATTCGTACGTCAGTTTCATGACAAGGTTTATCAGATCAAGGCCACAGAGGGGGTCCAAGTCTTGGTACCAGCCAAGCTTGTCGGCGAGTTGAAAGGCCTTCCCGAGGACGTTCTCAGCGCCACCGAGGCTGTCAGCGAGGCTTTGATGAGCAGATATACCAAGTTCTGCCCAGAGCGACACCAAGATCTGCTGGCGACTTTAGTGCGGACGAGGCTAACGCAGAATCTCGCGCGTCTGATCCCGCAATTGAAGGAGGAGGTCGAGTACATCACCGCCACCGAGTTCCCCGAGTGCAAGGACTGGACTCCAGTAAAGTTCCAGCCATTTGCTTTGAGGTGTATCGCACGGACAAGTGGACGGGCCTTCGTCGGCCCCTCGATTTGTCGACAGGAGCAGTGGATGGGAATCAGCATCAACTTTGCAGTGCACATCTTCCTTTCGTTGGTGAAGCTGCAGTTCTTCCCAGCCTGGCTCAGACCCATCGGGCAGTACCTGGTTTCGGACCTGGGGAAGCTCAGGAAGGACGAGACGGAGGCCAAGGAGATGCTGATCCCCATCATCGAGGAGCGCCTGCGAGATATGGACTACCCTGGCTATGAGAAGGCAGATGACTTGATTCAGTGGCTATTGGACTCGCTCCCGGAAGGAGAGAAGAGAGACTATCAAGCTCAGGCCGAGCTGCAGCTCATCCTCAGCGCCGCATCGATCCACACGACCAACAATCTCCTTGTCGATTGCGTGTACGACCTCGCTGCCAACCCGGAATTCGCAGAGGAGCTGAGGCAGGAGGCCATCGCGGTGCTCGAGGGCGACGACAACGGCTGGGCGAGGAAGGACTCGATGAGCAAGCTGAAGAAGCTTGACAGCTTCATGAAGGAGGTGCAGCGCCTGTCGGGTAACGTGACGTCGTTCATTCGCAAGGTCGTCCAGCCCATCGACTTGTCCGACGGCACACATCTCCCCGCGGGGACAAAGGTGCTCGCCCCGCAGTGCGGCATCAGCCACGACGAGCGCTACTTCTCAGACCCGGACCGCTTCGACGCCTTGCGCTTCTACCAAATGCGCCAGCGCAGTGAGGACGACATGAACAGACACCAGTTCACAAGCATTAGCGACACCAACATGAACTTCGGCGCGGGCAAGCACGCCTGCCCCGGCCGCTTCTTCGCCGGCAATGAGATCAAGATGATCCTAGCGTACTTCCTCATCAACTTCGACATCAAGCTGAAGGAGGGGGAATCAAGGCCCAAGGGCATGATGCTGATGATGTCCAAGACACCCAACCCGAACGCGGAGATCCTGTTCCGGCGGCGGACGGTGGATGCGTGAGGGAATCGTTTTGTGCCAATGCCAGCTAGATGGGAGCGGGCGGTGTTTGGAGCCTGATGAGCGAGCGAATTGGACGACCGAACCGATGATACCCTGGACACAGCAGAGAGGAAACACCCCGACACGAACAAGTTCCGAAACATAAACCTCTTTATTCAATCCACCAGACGACGCACAGGAAGACGAGAGAGCCAACCTGGCATATACATACATACAAGGCACGGGCCTGGAGCTCTTCTGTCGAAACCAACACAACCAACAGACCATACATATTTATAATGTACATAAACGTAACGTCACTTGTCTACGGGGGAAGGCAAGCGCCGGGTGGGATTCACCCACCGACTTGTGGTGGACCTCACACACCCACACACTCCCATACATGCATACATACATAGTTAGTCACAAGGGAATCGGCGTAAAGTAGGCGAAAAGCGGCGTGTGAAACGTCCGCACATTCTTGAATTCAGACTTTTGCCTGCATGATGAAAACAAAAAGCTTTATCTCATCCAAAGTGGCCGCCCTGTTTCACGGCACTGACAAAGAGCACAAAAAAGTGCCAGCTCCCGTGATCTGCACCGGCACTCCTGTCCCCCACACCGTCTTCACAGTGGTAGCTATTACCATGCGTAAAAATACACCTCATTCGCTCATAGACTCCTTAAACTCCGGCATATCATGGTGGAAAAACAAATTATCATCATTACGCTCTGCTTGACAACTTGGCAATGTTGTCCCCTCAGCTGTGTGGGACAGAATCAGCCAACGCCGACGCTATGCAATAACCACTTCCTCGTCCTGACCCGCAAACATTTCTTTTCTTTAATCCTCTCCTTTTCGCAGGAAAACACCCCCAAAGCGCGTTGCTCTACCCAGCCGAGAGGATCCCGAACAGATTTGCCGGGCTGGCTTGCGAGTCCACCACGCCGGCCTTTGCCGGCGCTGCTACTGCCGGGTTGCAGAGGGTGGCAACCGAGTCCTCGGACCACGACTGGGCGGGTTCGAAGAACGCCTCTGTCTCCTTGGGCTCGTGGGGCGTGACCAGGACGGAGTTGGGGTCGACGCAGTCGTAGAACAGCATGAAAACTCCACCCTGTGACAGGACGTCCTGCTCGCTGACCTTGTAGACGGTCTCGTCGCTGAGGCGCCACCATTGGGAGCCCGCTTCCTCGCCATATGGCTCTTCCGTGTCCGCCGGAGGGTTGGCTTCGTCCAGCCTGGTTTTGTTGACACCGTCGACTTCGTCGGGGGCGTCGTCTCCCACCAGATTTGGCGGTTGGTCCAGGTCCTCTTCGCCAGCCTTGTCGGCATCGTGTATACCTGTATTCCCTTTCTTGTAGCAGACGTAGTGACCGTTCTCGTGTCTACCGTAATGGGTCACTACAGCTCTTAACTCATAGATGGGGCCCGAGATTTTGGACGGGTGCGCATCGCCCGCCACCATTGATGCCCTGGCGTCGAGCACCCATTTCTCCTCATCACTGGCATTCTCTTGGGATTCACCGCCCTGTGGCTTTGTTGCCACCGGAGCCGACTTTCCCTCGGCACTTCCGATACACCAAGGGCCCAGGTCCAAGGTCTTGGGGAACTCGACCGCAGCGAGGTTCTTGTATGAGCGGAAGGTGCTTGGGTCGAAGACCGAGCGGTTCATGTGTATCACTAGGCTTGGCGGAGGTCTTCCTATCACTGCCTGTTTCGTCTTGGTCGAGCTGACCTTCTGCGAGTCCGGGATCTTGAGCTGCTTCAGGATCTTGTCATCGAACTCCTCGTCCTCCAGAACCTCTTCCACGGCCTGTAACCTGGTCGCGGCGGCAGGCACGGCCTTTGAGAGGCGCTGCAGCGATTTTCGGTATTCGACGAGAGTGCACTTCACACACTCAACACCTTGGATGGGTTCAAGCCGTACGAGGTTGTCCAGCAGCTCGAAGAGGTCGTAATGCGAGACGCCGACCTCGAAATTCAGGGTCAGACAGTTGAAGGGGATCATGGAAAGCCCCTCGGAGTGCCCACATGACATGCACGCGACGCGCTGGGCCGAGAGGCCTTCAAGCGGGTTGCGAACAGTCACCAGCTCCGAGCCGGCCTTGGACAGTATTGGCAGGCTCTGGTATCCACTGTCGTCGCTGTGTTGACTGGCCGCAGTATCGTCCCTGTTGAGGTCTGCCTCGAGACCAGTTTGTCGGCAGGCGGCCTTAGCAGCCTTTTCTATGTCCTTGTCAATCTGGTCCATGAGTTTCGAGAAGTACTCCTGCGCGTCTTGCTGCTGTATCGTGCTCATGTTCTTGAGTACGCTGGGGGTATATAGTGTCCTGCCATTGTTGGACGTGTCGTTCAGTTCGGCGATGAAAGAGCGCAATGTCCCGGCGGTGGTCGTCTGGTCTTTGGCTGGTGATGGCCCGGGGGTGGTGAAGCCGCCGAGGTAGCGCGGGAGGTGTTTCAGAGAGGTCAGGCCCTGTAAGATGCTGTTCTGGAAGCAGGAGTTGTCCCAGTTTCCCAAGCCAGCAGGCTGGTCCGACTTGGTCTTGGGCCCCGAGAATGTATTTGACAGTGTGCGTCGACCGGCCTCAGACACGGAAGCCACGATGCCGCCGGGCTGGTCGGTCCTCAAGATCTTACGGAGGACATCGCTCTTCGCGGCGTGGGTTGCGGGCTGTGGTTGAAGCATGGGAATGGGAAACAAGGGGGGGTTCACCCATCGGTCGACAGCGTAGAGCAGGCCGGCCCGGGCAGACGAAGACGACTGCGTCCCAGATGAGGTCGCCCACGGAGGGTAGCTGTCGGCCGCGGGAGGCTGCTTGGTTGTGGGCGAATTGGTAGGCGGCCGTCACCAGGAGCACGAGGACGGGGACGAGGACGCTGGGCTGGGATATCCTGTCCCAGAGCTTCTCTTCCGAGTAGTAAGCACCGTATGGGAGGGGATTCTGGTTGTGCACGGGATCGTAGCGCCTCAGGTTCCGGGCTGTCGACGAGGTCATCCTGAGACGACGCGCGGGTGACGAAGGTCAACGTGCACAGGCCGGCCGCATCTGCTGCAAGCAGTGACGGATCGATCGGTAGGGAGGTCGTTAGAGATTGGAGCAGGCGTGCGATGCATGAGAAGCCATGTCCGGGGGGCGCGTCGAGAGTTGCGGAGATGCTGGGCGTACAGTACAGCGGTAGACGAGTTGGCGGTCCCGGGTGTGTCGTCGTGACCGACAGGCCCCGTTGCATTGGTTGCGCGGAACTTTTGGGTGGAGGTCAAGCTAATCTGAGACCCACGCGCGGCTCGCAGGAATGTGGGGAGGGGGTCGTGCGAGATCGCCTGAGCTTATTTCCGTGCTTGCTGTTTTGTGAGGGAAGACCCCAGTTTCTTGTCAAGGTGCTACCTACTGGATAGTGACATGCGCACATTACTGCTGCTTTCGTCTTTCCTCTTCTCCTTCTCCATCACAAACCGTAGAATTACCTAGGCACTCGTAGTGTACTGTAGGAAGACATGTGCGCAGCCCAGCACAACTAGAGAGATGCCCTTGGTTCATAATCCATCACAGTACGCAGCGTGGTTTTTCACGCAGGGTGGTTCCACGTGGGGCTGAGCCTCGGAAACCCTGTGAGAGCCCCAGCCACTGACCACAAATCCAGGGAGCTCGTGGACTGGGAGATGCCATTGCAGCCGGGTTCGAAGCTTGTGTCCGTGGTTGGGCATCTGCAAGCTCCCCACTTGTCCATGCCATTTGAATGTACTGCTATCACAACCCTTCTTGTGCCGGCCTCTATACATCGCACACGGGAAAAGAGCAGAATTGTCCTCTCCGTCAGTAGTTGAGCCTTCGCTAAGAAGCCCTCCAGAAACCCGCCATTTATGTAGCCTGCCCCAGTGGAATCTCGTGTATAAAGAAAGGGGTATCTCTTGTTTCTCAGTCGTGTACGCGTAAACTCTATACCCACCACCACCATAACGAAAAGCCATGCCTCGATGGCGCCACCCGCCACCCAGTACAATGCGCCAAATGTAAACAAGAAAGGAAAACTGACGTGTCACTCGTGTCGAGTCTTGCTTTTCGCATAGTCGGCAAGGATTCGTTGTAATGACTTTAGGTTCACCGGCTTCGTGAGGAATACATCCATGCCCGACGCAATGGCCTCGCGCTGTATAGTAGCTGATGCCAGCCCCGTGAGTGCAATCACCGTCGCAGGCCTAAGCTTCTCGGATCGCTCGAGTTGCCGTATCTTCCGGGTACTCTCTAGTCCATCCATCAAAGGCATGGAAATGTCTGTATCGGGAGAGTATGGTCAACCTGCGCTCCTCTTTTTTTTTTTTTTTTTTTTTTTTTTTTTTAATAGCGAGGGAGACCGACTTACCCATCAATACAAACGGGTAGAGCTCCGGGTTGGTTGTATACATTTGCAGAGCCTCCAGACCGTTGACGGCTGTGTCGTATTCGTGGCCCAGCGTTTTCATGAAGGAGGCCAGAATCTTGAGATTGATGTCGTTGTCGTCCACAAGCAAGTACTTGTACGGGCTGGGCTGCATGGGCCCTCCCTCTTCAGCTGTAACGGTCGGGCCTGGACTAAGAGGTAGCTTTTGTGCCTCTGCCTCGCCTCCCGATCGCGGTGGGATGTCTTCTGAGGAATTATTGTCAGCAGAACCAGTGTCGCTCAACGCTGCAGATGCCACAACACCCTGGTCTGACACGTCCGGAGAGCTTCTCAGCCTGTCCGATGGCTCTGGAGCTAGCGCTGAGTCTTTCCTCGACTTTCCTTCCACTGACAATCTGGAATCTGATGTGTGGGAGTCAGAAGTGTTCGCTCGACTGTCCGAAGAGAAGGCTGACGGTCTCTTCAACCTCCTGTACAGGCTAAGGAGTAATGACCTGGCCAGCCTCCGTGGTCCAACCCTGGATATTAACATCAGTAGGTAAACAAAGAGGACAGTGTGTGCGTACAAGAAGGCTTACGGTTGAGAAATGAATTCTGTAAGCCGTGACTTTCTGGGCGAATTCGTAAAAGCATGTGCAGTCAGCGCACTCTGACAGACAATCACAGTGGGCAACGCAGGCTGGGATGCGTCGTCGTCGAGGCTGTTGAAAGCATTTTCGCTGTACAGGAGCAAGTCGGGAGTGTCCTCCTGCACGGCGGCAAAGGGAATGACCTGCATCCCGAGCCAATCTCGGCAGAGCATCTCCATGACCGCTGCTTCGGAGACTTGGGATGGCTGATCGGGCACCTTGTCAACGACGCGGTCATAGCACCTATCAAATCCTCTCAGGCATATCCGTAAGCCTCGTACCTGCTCAAATTGCTCGGTAAGAAAGGCCTTCCTTCTGCCGGAGGTTGTTGACCGAAGTAAAGGTAGCGCGATGCGCGCTGTAGTGCCTCGGCCTAGCTGACTGGTGATGGCTAAAGAGCCGCCGAGGATCCTGCTGATGCTGTGGACGAGACTCAATCCGAGCCCTGTGCCTGGGACAAGGCGGTCCTCTTGCGTGAATGGCTTGAAGAGGTCATTGCGCAGAAAATCTTCGCTGATACCCTTTCCGGAGTCAGATATTGTGATCACCACTTTGGATCTCTGTACCCGGTCGCGTGCTGGAAGTTCGGCTTGTCGCAAGCTGACCCATACGAACCCTTCCTGAGTAAATTTGAGCGAGTTTCCAAGGATATTCATAACAACACGCCTTAGAGCTCCCGGCTGCGTCTTAAAATCCCATGAAACAGTGGGGTCCAAATCTAGGTAGATAACAAGTCCAGGACGATTGGCATCGGCAAAGAACGGATGGTGTCCGAATGCTTCTGTAGCAGCACTACTGTCGAGGCGACCGAGTGCCCTGTTGTCAGCGTGAATGCCAACCTCCTTTTCCTTCAGTTGCGCAACAGACACTGTATCAACCCCTAGTCAGCCATGTATACACATACGTGGGGGCATGTCTAGCCATCACAAGTATAGGCAAGGGAAATATGATTGATGAGGCAGCAGTGTTGGCACACTCGGCAAATAAATTGTGCCGGTTCAACAAAGACGGTGAGGCGGTCACCATACGTACTTCTCTGGAAGTTATAACCGGCAAAAACGGCTGTATGCACGCGGTCAGTCATTTTGGTCACTAGGTTGTGTCGGGCGCGTGGCTCGTGAGAATGATGGACTACTTGATCCTGTATTTCGAGAGTGACGGACGATTTGTGACATATTGAGGACGTACCTTCCACAACCTCTTCCACGAGGCTATCCACCTGGGTTTCCGTTGTCATGGACATCATTCCCAGACCTTCCATATTTCGTCTCTGGCCAGGCATAGGTGGCAGTTCCTTTCTGTCTCTTCGGGCAAGCTTCGAAGATGTCATAAAGGTGTTGACTTTGCTGTGATCGAGTAACTATGACAGACGTGTGAGTGGCGCTGGAAGATAGTAGCAGAGCTGAGACGAGACGACGAGGAACAGATGGGAGACCTACGTGATCAAGTGTATCTAGCAATGTTCTGCCAGAGGTCTCGATAATGTGAACTGCGTCTCCTTGGAAGACATCCAGAGTAGTGCCGTGGAGCAAGTCAACAGCAGCGATGACACCGTGGAGCGGAGACCGCAACTCGTGACTCAGGGAGCTGAGGAAATCGCCCTTCACCTTGTCAGAATTTAGGGCGTTCAAGCGGTGTACCTCACCCATCATGATTGTCGCATATGCTCGGAGGTAGCTGAGCTCCCCTTCTGTGGTGAAGATGCGATTTTGAGCGTTCGTCCAGACGAATCCACCAGCAAACCACCTCTCCTTGATTTGGTCCCATAAAGGAACGATGGCCACACTCCTCGCGCCAGGGAATAGGGTTGTTATGGCTTGACCTTGGCCCTCGAGCGAACTGAAAGCCCGATCAACTCTCTTCTTCCCCTTTGCGGCGGAGTCGGTACTGGGCCTTGGACGTGATGGGGAGGGGTGTTTCGCTTCATCCGTCTCGGACCCTCCCGACAGCATCACTCCATCCACGTCAAAACTGAATATTTTGCCAGCCGGATACCGGCGGAGCAATGATTTCAACAATCGTTCTGGCACCAGCGTGTGCTTGGAAAACGATGCCGTGCCGTCTATACTAGATGCTCCGGTGGTAGAGTACCCGAAGACGTCACAGTAGCTCACAGGCTCGCCATGAGATTGTGATTGAACACCTTTTGGCTGATCGTCGTTGCTGGAAGATGCAGTGGATCGCCATCCGTGGGAATCAGTAGAATCTCTGGACCTGCGATCCTCGACAAGCCCACCAAAAGAACCGACGCTGGCATCGAGGAAGAGGGCTCCTTGAACCTCGATAGACTCTCTGATAATGTTTGCGGCCCGTGAGAACGCTTGCTTGAGATGCACAACATACGGATCAGGCACAGTAACACTTGTGGGTCGGTGAAGGAGCGCGGTAGCACCGACAGTGTGGGCTGACGCTTCAACGGTCGATGGGCTTTCTGATCTCGGGATAGTAGCGGCTGTCTTGGGATCTAGCAAGATTGACCTCGTCTCGGGTGATCTGCTGCCAAGAAAACGCAGCCTCTCGTTTTCAGGACTCAGGGCTGCAATATTATCGCGGTCTCGCTGAAGGCCCTGCTGTCTCTGGTTCAAGGACCCCTCCACCTGTCCGGGTGCATCTTGGAACTGGCCGGTAGAAGAGGAGAGTGTGGCTTGACCCTCGACAAATGACCCCAAACCACGCACCATGCGTTCTCCACGGTGGATGTTTTCAACGGCGGCTCGAGACTCGAGATGGCGCCAGACGATGATGGCCATATCGCGCAGGAATTGTTTCTCGTTGTCACCAAAGTCGAGCTCGCTTCGTGGCAAGTCGTCGTACACATGATACACTCCAATATTAACACCTTTCTTGGAGCGAATCGGAACTCCAGCGTAAAAGTGGGTTTTGGGCCAGTTTTGCCTGCAGAAAGCATCGGAGAAGCGCTCATCTTGTGCGAGGTTGGGCACGACTAGCACGGGCGAAAAGGGCGTAAACCCTCGGTCAGAGACATTCTCATGGTGAATCGTCGGCGGAGTTTCGAGGACCTGCTCGTTTGGGCAATTTGTGCCGCGGGGGATAGCAGTGCCTGAGAGCATAAGCTGGTGCGAATCTGCCGGTGCTTCGGCACCGACACCGAGGGACAGCGACTGCGTAGCCTCAGCAACCACGTACTGGTAGTCGCGGTCAAAAAGCGAGATGAGGCATCGAGAGACGTTGAGCCTCAAAGCAGCGAGCTGTGCACTGTGCAGCCTGTCAGAGGGGAGGCGGTCCGTAAAATTGTGAACTCTCGAGCTGTGATGATGCGACCAGGGGGCGTATAGCCCCCAGGCCATCCCTCATGAACCTCAGGAGAATCGTTGGGGGTGGGGCAGGGACGGCTGGCTTTTAAGGGCGCGGTGAATACTGACAAGGCAGTCAAGCCTGCATCTAAGCCTGGAGCTACGTGCCGTGAGTCGAAGGGCTGCTGAGGGTCGATTGGGTGTGTGTTCAGTATCAAGGAGCCCCCATACCTGGGCAAGGCAGTCAGCATGGCCTGCGACTGACGCAGCGGGGCCGGGCGACGACTTACTTCATGGCCTCTCTGGTGCGCGAGCCTTCGCTGGCGGGAGCCGAGGCCTTTTCGCCACCAACCGGGGCCTGGGCATCCTTAGAAGACTCCATTGTGGTCAGAGATGGAGTCGAGAAGGGAGTGCCCACGCAGACGGCGGCACACACGAGGGTATTCGCAGGCCTGCGGGACTACAAGCACTGGCATGAGAAGCGGGCGGGCAGGTAGGACAAGGCCCGGCGTGGACGGCGTGGGAAAGTGGAGGGGTCGGTGCAGAAGATGGCAAAATTGGGTCAAACCCATAGGGACGGCAAAACTGCCATTGCACCGGGAGGTCGAGACGTTGATCTACCTAGTGAGAATACAGCTAGGGCGCTGCTGGACCTTGGACCTTGGACCTTGGACCTGACAGGGCACGGAGTACGCAGGGTGCAGAGTACAGAGTACAGAGTACAGACGTACAGGGTGCAACCGCGGTCGCAGTCCGTCTTGAGAGCCGCCTGCTTGCCAGACGGCGATCTAGACCGTTACCCCGGGCTTCGACTCGGAGCTAGCCACTCCAGCCATTATAGCTCATTGCGGCGGTTGGCGGCGGTTGGTTCCAGCAGTGCCGTGCAGCCATAGCCAGGCGGCCTCGCTGCCTCGGATATGGTATGTGGTATGTATGTGTGCAGCAGCACGATACATGGATGGGTATAGAAATGCTGCTGCACGGTGGCATCGATTGCCGCAAGACGAGCGAGGACGGCAGCCCTCAGGTCCGGTGTGCGTACGTAGTCTGCTAGTACAGGCGCGGATCTGCGGCAAGCAGCAACCGGAGTCCCGACATTTCGGCTGGGGGGCTGGCGGCCTGGCCACTCGTGTGCGGTACCGTCGAGTCCGGCCATCCTGCTGCAGATATGTCTGACATTGCCTGCAATGTTGTGCATCCAGTCTCAGCCAGTCAGCCAGTATCCTGGTATGTTCATGTCCAAGGAAATCTCGCAGGCCTAGTAAGCGAAACATGGAGCAAGGTGGCGGGTGGCGAGGTGGCGAGAGGCAAATCCAAGTCCAATCCTTGATCACGCTCAAGCTGGTCAAGAGCCTGGCGGGAAGGGGCTGTTGTCGACCTGACCTGGCGCACAGGCTAGCGCGTGGGCGAGCACACAGCTGGTTTGCAGCTGTTTCACACCTGGTGGTGGTAGTGTCGTTGTCTTTGGGTCGGGAGAATAACTGCATGTCTGATGTTCCTGTGAGTGAGTATCATTCGATTTTCTCAGCTCTGCAAGGTCGTCATCATCACCTCACCTTGTCACTCGAGTTGTGTTTTTGCATGCTTGTGTACTGATGCAGTACACAGCTGCAGGCGTGGAGAGAGTGCAGAGATGAGACCTCCTATGTCCAACCCACAGCCCCGTAGATGGACAGTGATGCAGGTCTGCTTGCTGGCTGTTGAGTGCCCAAAGGTGCAACTCATGGGATTCAGCTAGGGATTGGACGGGGAAGAAACAGAGGTAGCAGACATGCCTGCGTAATCTTGAGCGAGATGCGACGGAAACAGATGCTAACCACGTCCTTTGTTGGTGACCAGCTACCTAGGTGCCCACCTGAATATTCGTCCCTCGACTTGACCTGCTCCTAAGTCTGGAATAGTTGTGAGGTCAGAGTTTACTGCGCTCACGTTGAAAGGGCGGGAACCTAAGATGAGCTTTTCTGAGTGAGGCTTAGCTCATTTAAACTTGCCTGGCGCACAAAGATACCCTGTATCGGGTCATGCCAGCAGCCCGGATCCTAAGACCATCCATGGATTCGACCAGGATACAGGCTAGCATGCCTACAGCCCAAATCCTAAGACTATTCAACCAGAATATAGGCTAGGTAACTAAGCAGAAGATTAAGTCAGCTTATATGCATTATTCATAATAATTACTTACTAACTTAAACTAAATAATATTAAGCTAATTAATTAAAAGAAGCAGTTATTATAACCAAGATAATGCTGGCAAAACAAGTCCACTAAGAGTTTAAGCTATTTATTAACAAGTGCAACCCTTGCATTAAATTATAGCTACTTTAATTATCCCTTATAAAGCCTATAATTATTTAAAACTTAAGTAAAATAATACTCAAATATATAATTACTTTATATTATAATTATTATATATATAAGAGAAAAACTTATTAATATTAATTAATAATTAATATATTATAAATTAATAAGGTAAAAAAGGTAAACTTATAAAGATTTTCTTAATTTAAAAATTATATTCTCCTTATTGATAAGCGCTTTATAATAATAATTATTTTTATAAGCCTCTTTATATTAATAAACTTCTTAAATAAATATTATAAAAATTAAATAAATTAATTAACGTTTCTTGCAATATTTATATATATATTTATTAATATTTAGGAAATATATATTTATTATATATAAAATCCTTAAAAAATAAATTTATTTTTAAATTTTCTTTAAAATTTAATAAAAGTTAATAAAAATAATATTTATTAATAAATAAAGTTTATAATTATTAAAGGTTAATATAATATTATATTATTAATAAATATAAGTTATAAATATTTTTAGCTAATATAAAAGGAATTATTATAATTTAAGCTTTGCCTATTATAATTAATTAATAAACTTTAACTTTATAAGAATAAGCTTTAATGCAAATATAAATAAAAAGTAAACTTTTTCCTTTATACTTTAAATATAAATCTTATTTAAATACTTTATAGCAAATAACTTAAGGCTAATTTATAATATATATTTAAAGTCCTTTTATATTATAAACTTATAATATAATTATATAAAACTTAATAAAATAAAACTTAAAAAGAATAATAATAGCTTATTAAGCTTTTTTTTATCTTAAAGAACTTTTATTTTAAAAATACTTAGCAACTTAATTAATAAAAATAAAGGCTAAGTTTATAATAAATAAAAAGATAATTAATATTAAAGGGGTTTAATTTTTTTACATATTTAATTAATTAAGAACTTTTTATAATTAATTATTACTTTATATTAATTTTATAAAAATATTTAAAAAGTAATTAAAAAGCTTTTTAAAAAAAATTTACTTTATATTTAAAAATTCTTTTAAGCAAAAGTATATTAAGCTTAACTTAATTATATTATAATAATATTATAAAAAAAATAATAAAATTTCTTACTTAATTTAATTAATTAATTTATATAATAAAAGCTTAAAATTAATTAAATAAATATAAAATATTATTAATAATTAATAATTTAATCTTTATAATAAAAGCTTAGCTTAATTATAAGAAATAATTAAATATATTTAAGGCTTTTTATTTTGCTTTATAATAATATAAGGGCGTTTTTAATGTTATAATAAAAAAAATAATATTAACCTTAAAATAGCAAAGTAATAAATATTAATATTATAATAATCTTAATAAGTAAAGTTAAGTATTTTTATATATAGCTAACTTAATTATTATAAGCATAATTATCTTAATTATTATAAAAAAATAAAAATATAGCTTTTATTAATTAAGATTAATAAAGAAAAAGAATTTATTTAAGGAAATATAAATTTTTTTTTATAAAATAAGGCTTAAAAGTAATATTAATTTAATATTAACTTAAGTTTAAAATAAATTAATTATATATTAATTAATTTAACATTATAAAAATACTTAAAATTTAAGAAATTTTTATTAATAAAGTAAATTACTTATAATTAAGCATTAATTAATTATAAATTATATAATAAATTTATAATTTTAAAATTTTAAGTAAAAAAATTTATATAAAAAGCTTATATTAAAAAGTTATAAAAATATTATTAATTTAATTATTAACTTATACTTAAATAATTATTTCTTATTAACTTATTTTAATTATTATATTAAATTATAAGGGCTAAGGTATATTAATTATAAATAATAAGTTAAGCCTTTAATATAATTAAAAGGTATTAAAATATAATTAAATAACTAAGTAAAAAGCAATATTTAATTTATAATTAAATTATAATATTCTTTATTTTTTATTATATAGCTATTTTTTAAGGCTTATTATAAAAACTTAAAAAAGGAAAATATATTATAATTTAAGCTTTATTTATTATAATTAATTAATAAGCTTTAGCTTTATAAGAATAAGCTTTAATATAAGTATAAATAAAAAGCAAATCTTTTCCTTTATACTTTAAATATAAACCTTATTTAAATACCTTATGGTAAATAACTTAAAGCTAGCTTATAATAAGAATTAATAATAAAAAGAAACTCTTAGCTTTTAAAGCTTAAAAATATTAATAAATTTTCTTTTTAATAATTATATTTATTTTATTATTAACTTATTATTAATATTTTACTTTTTAAAAATATTATATAATTAAATATAAATTATTATATTTATTTTATAATAATAATTCTTTATTTTTTATAAATAAAATATAATTATAATGCTTTATTTTCTTTTTACTTTTTTAATTAATTAATTATTATTAATAACTTTTAAGAATATATCTTTTTTAAAAGAAATAAATAATATTAAAAAAGATATATAATAATGCATTATTTAAAATTAATAATAAATAAGTATATATAAATTTATAACTCCTTTTTTCTTTTTTTTATGTTATTTTTTACGTAATTTACTTTTTAAAAGATTTTTTCCTTTTATTCTTTGCTAGCTTTATTTTCCTTTAATTTACTTAATAAAACCCCTTAATATAAATAATTATTTAATGTAGTATGGATGGGTAATGATGGATTTCAGGTGGATTTATCATAAATTCACGGGGAATTATAAATTCATAGTATTTTCATGGTAAATTCATTATAAATATTAATATTTATAGTAAATTTATAATAAATTTGCTATAAATTTACTATATATATATATATATAAGTAGATTCTTTATATATTCCCTTAAAATTTATAAGAGTATTAAATTTTATACTTTTATATTTATTAAAATAATAATTATAATTATATGCCTTAATTATATAATTATTTTATAAAAGAATTAAGTAAATTATAATTATTATTATTATAATATCTTAATATTTATAAATTAAATTATAAGATATTTAATAATTAATAGGTTAAATAAGTATTAATTTAAATTCTTTTAATTAAATAAGAAAA